GGACCAGAAGGCACAGGACCAGAAGGCACAGGACCAGAAGGCACAGGACCAGAAGGCACAGGACCAGAAGGCACAGGACCAGAAGGAACAGGACCCGATGAGATCGGCGCCACAGAAGACGGAAGAGGCAGAGTCAGTGATGTGGGAACTCCCGTAGGGACCGACGTAGGAAGCGAGGTTGGAGTCTCAGAGGAAATACCCTCAGGAACCGACGTAGGAAACGGAGTCGGGGTCTCAGTGGGAACCACCGACGGAACCGACGTGGGAGCAACACATCTCGTACAAATAGTCGAGGTAGACGTCAAGGTCACCGTCGAGATCGTACTCCCTACCGATGTACTCACGGAGCCACCTTCAGAAACCGTAGATGTCACAGGGCACGTTGTGAAGGTGACATAGGTAACCACCGTTGTCTTGTCCACACTCGAGATAGGCGCACTCTGGCCGGGAGTATTGGTAGGAGCAGATGAAACAGGGCCCGAGGAGATGGGTGCAACGCTCGATGGGACAGCGGTGGGAGCAATGCATTTAGTGCAAATGGTCGAGGTTGAGGTCATGGTCACCGTCGAGAGTGTTGTACCCACGGAAGTCGTCAACGTGCCACTCACAGTCCCGGTGGAGGTTACCGGGCAGCTTGTCACTGTCACCCAGGTGATCACCGTAGTTCTATCCACGCTTGAGACAGGCGCACTCTGTCCAGGTGTGTTGGCGGGAGCAGATGGAATAGGACCAGATGAGATAGGACCAGAGGACATGGGTGCCACGCCCGACGGGACAGTGGTTGGGGCAATGCATCGAGTGCAAATGGTCGAGGTCGAAGTCATGGTCACAGTGGAGAGTGTGGTGCCCACCGAAGTGGTCAGAGTACCACTCACAGTCCCCGTGGATGTTACCGGGCAGCTTGTCACAGTCACCCAGGTGATTACTGTGGTTTTGTCAACGGCCGAAGCAGAAGAGCTAGGCCCTGGAGTAATGACAGGCGGGGATATAACGATTGGGGTAGGTGTAGGAATCAACCGAGAAGAGGTCAGTTCTACAGGAGAGCTCCCAGACGGCACACTGTTGGATGGTGCACTACTCGGAGATGTAAAGCTGACTGCGCTGCTAGACGGCGTGAAAGTCGGGATTGTCTCACTAGACGGCGTGAAGCTAGGAACCGCGCTGCTAGATGGTGTGGCGACCGGTGTAGATTTGCTGGACGACGTATCGGTCGGCACAATCTCGCTGGAAGACGTAGCGAAAGAGACTGCAATGCTAGAAGCCACGCTGCTGGAAGAAGTAACATCCGGACTCTCTGGGACGCTCTCCGTTGGAGACTCCTCCGCAGATGTCCCAGTGACAGAATGAACTGCAGTCGACACAGGAATCGTCGATGTGACCACAGTAGTAGAGTCTGCAGGGCAGTTGGTCACCGAAGGGCCACAACTGGTAATTACAACTTCACTTGTGATGTAGTACGTTGAGGTCGCCAGCGGATTGACAGATGCATCAGAAGCGGTTGTAGCAGGAGCAGACGTATCAGGAACAGTAGTGCCAGAAGCGGAAGTATCAGAATCAGTTGCATCAGGAGCGGTTGTATCAGAAGCAGTTGCATCCGAAGTAGACGCGTCTGGGACAGGAGTCACGACAGCCGCAGAGGTAGGTCGATCCTTTCGAATGAGCGGCACGGAGTAGGCTCTCGCCTTGAGCAAAGACGCCGTCCCGGAAGCACTAGATGCAGTCGACGTATTACCAGAAGAGCAGTCGAATCCGATCTTGTACACACTCAACAAGCAGACACCGACTTGGGAGTCCTCGGCCAGTTCAAAGCTCACCGAGGTGGCACCGCCGCACTGGTCATTGGTGACATCGGTTCCGCTGACAGATACAGAAGCAAGGCTGTTACAAGTGGTACCATCAGCCATGCTATAAACAATGCGGATATCAGCATCACGAGAGGTGGCCAGCTGGAAGTCATTAATAGAGAAGTCTTGGTCCTTCGACGCAGACGAGATCTTGGGAGACGCGGAGCTGTCCTTGGTGAGCTTGCCAACGATGGATTTGACCTGGTCCTGTTAGCCATCGACTCTGGTTTCCATGGTAGAAGGCATGCTTACGTCGGAAGCAGTGCTGAAGTTGTTGCTCACGGAAAAGCCCGAGAACTCGAAGCCGTCATAGCTCGACAACAAGGATCCGACAGCCAGGTCGGACCAGTCAAACCCGGCTTGCTGCTTCGCAGAACAGGTGGTTTCGGTGTTGTCAGGACTAGTGAAGCTCTCATCGGTCCCCCACCACTGCAGATGTCAGCACTATCCCGGAGACTTAACATAGGCAGACTTACCAAGCTTGAGGCCTGTGCCACAGCGATGAGGGACAGCAGAGAGGCCGAGGCTATGGCCCTCATGGTGAACAAATACGCAAAGCGACTGAACAAGAGTGGTGTCTTGTGATGCAATGTAGAGACAGAGATAGACAATATCTTTTACTAGCCAAGAGGCCTTTCGACAAGGATAGTGAAGATGAGGAAGGAGGAGAAAAGAAGATGATGATGTCGAAGAGACAGATAGGTAAACAGCGAAGCAGTAAACGCAGTTGAACGAGTGTTAGGAATCAATTAAAACGAATGTCTCTATGTCCAGCAACGAGCACCAACAACAATGAGGAACAATAAATAGCAACACAATTTTAGAGAGCGAAGAAAGTAAATGGAAAGGAACCAGCGACCCACCTTTCAAAGAGGGCGTTTGATTTCTTAAATCCATAACACCAGGATGCTGCAACAGGGGGGTAAGATCCATAAAAAGCAACCGGATAAAGAGAGCCTGAGAAGAGAGAAACACACAGAGAGAGAGGATCATGCCCGGTCAGATACTCCACCCACACCATCCATTCACAGGCAGGGAAAGGCGTTCAGACAAGCACCATTGGTGGGCATTTTGAATTTCTCTTTTGTTGCAAGTAAGACATTCGAAGCAACCCCATCGTCAGTCGATGATGCGCGGGCAAGGTTGGTGGGACGAGGAGCCAATCCGAAGCCGAGGCGCCGACTGTTTGGCTAGTGCAGGAACATGTTGAAGGACCCTGACGAGGGGGAGGGGCGCGAAGTCAATGCGATCATCGCCAATCAGAATAATTTAGACGCCAATGCCAGAGCTGATCCCAGAAACGGCGCAGGTCCTGGTGGAGGTGAGGTAATGTGCCGCGGGGAGTTGGTCATTGTCTACAACACTCAAAGAGGACGTCGTCGCATGGTGGACAGACAGGACAATGACCGATCTCTTCCGGATTAGTCCCGTTGGCATAAACAATGACAACTAGTCTCAGAGGACACGCCCAGTCAGAACTTGATCTGTTCCTCAAAGCGAAAGGGTACCTGCCAAGGCGAATGGCGGAGCAAAGAGAGTTGAAGGATGAAGTCGGCGGCAGGGATGATCTGACTACCGAACAAAATAATCCAACAGACACACTCCCACAGAACCCCTCTAGGCTCACAACCACCCTAAACCCAAACGAACACGCTACAAGCTCACCGTGCAGCAGCCGGGCGTCTCGCGCAGCAAGCATGGCACTTGCACCTCCTCACACATGCGATGCCAGGTGCTTCGGTTCTTCCAACCGTGAACCTGGGCGGCTATTCTCTTCACCCAGCAACCCAATCAGCAAAAACCAAGACACCTTTCTACCTATGATCTATTTTCAGCATATTCACCACCCAAAAGACACCACAAGTGAATAATCTCATTGGCGGAACTCCAAATCAACCCATCGAAAAGAATAACCGCCGAGCAAAAACGAAGATCACAGCAGCAGCCTTTTTAGCGCCCTGATCCAAATAGATAGATGATGGCTGGGACCGCCGACGCAAGAAACAAATCAACTAACTAGCCACAAAGAACCCAAACCCCGAGGTTATCAAATCATGCAGAGCCTGCAGTTGAACACAGCAGACGCGGAAAATACTACCTCGCCATCCCACCTGCAAACGAAACTTCGTTCGTGTGTGTGAGGACACGATGAATGTGGAGCCAGCTCATCATCGCGGAAGCTTGACGGGCTGTTGGACAAGTCTGGCGGAAGGTTCCTTTTTGTTTTGGTCAACTCCCTAGAACCGATTAGTCTTAGCTGTGTTGGTCGAGACTGTGTCGGAGAGTACAGCCTTCGATTGATGATTCGGAGGGGACGGAGGGGGATTCATCACGACTCGTCATCGCTTGTCTCCCTATAATTATCGAGGTCGACCTACCGGACCCAAGCATTCGATGGCATGCTCTTGGCATGTTGCACAAAAGGCCCCGGACGTCTTCCTCATCTATCAAGCTGCAACACCGGACGGACCATCTAGAGCGTGGCTTGCATAGGGTGGTAGTATGCGGTTCTTCATATCCTCCGCTGCTTAACCGTCCGAGACATAACTAATTACCAGCCGATTATGCACCGTCGGCGTGATGGAGAAATCCAGCCAATTGGGCTTGTGCTCTCGCGGGGGTGCTACAAGGCTACCACTGGAAAAAGCACAAGAGAATCCTTGAAATTTGATTGCCCTGCAAATGACAAACGCCGTAACGTGACACATCGCATATAACGAAAATGAAAGCATAATATGAGATAATATGAGAGGTCACCTGAATCCTTCACAACAACAAGGTATATCCCCTTTAGAACTCCGTGGAACATCATCATCAGACTGAACTTTTGGCCATGGAGTGGTCCTCCATTCCTCTAGACCATGAGAGTAAATCGACTGTTTCCCGTCAAAATATGTAGTTCGCGCACCTTGCTATGCTTTTGCCAGGTAAATAGGTACAGACTTTAGATATCAACACTTTTGAATCAATGTACAATTGTTCCTATTTTTGGTTTTAAGTTCGGCAACCGGCAAACACATCCAAGTGTTTCCCGTGAGGCCTCAGTGACAAGGGTCATAGAAAGCTCGCACAGTCAACCTCCCTAGAAAGGAAGTTGACTGCGGCGGTGGGCATCCATCAACTTTCGTCGGACGGCTTCCCCACCGTTGTACCCATTAGCTTTGCGCTTCCGCGTGGGAGTGCGCTGGTCTGCATTTCGTGCGTGTCTAAACACACTTGCAGGGCGAGAAGGCGAATTGGCTGGCATAAATTCCCGATGCTGGGGCAGACGCAGCAAGGCCTGGTATCGGTTGTGGTTCCGGCGGAAGGCCGTCACGATGCCTCGGTCCAAATGGTTCAAGAACCGCTCGGCACTACTGGCTTGGTGAGACTCGCCAGCCCGGTTTGGGGTGGGTGTACCGGTGCCAGCATGCTTGGGCTGAACTGCCATGGGTGAAAGTAGCGTTTCCTCTTCAAACACCTTGTCCATCTCATCGTCCGATGATCCGTGCCCAAAATCGATGAAGTCTTCGACATTCAAAGCTGATTCCGGGTCATCTTCATCATCGTCCTCAAAGGAGCTGTCGACGGCAAAGTCACGAGACGGGTAGAATGCCTCCGGAGGCCCCATCACCTGTCCGCCTGGCGCGATGTCATTGCCGAGCGCTGTCATCATCAAATTGGCACTGGATGCTAGCATCGGGCTCATATCCAAGTGGCCGGGAGAGGCGAGAGCATCAGTATCGCTCTCATCGATGAGATGCATGGTGGTGGCACGTGGACTGTTGTGAGCCGTACCGCAGACACTGTTGGTAGCAGACTCTAGCCAGTCATGACGAGACGAGGCATAGGCGGGAATGATGACCAGATGCTTGCCAGTGCAATCAACGAGAGCAACAGGCTTGTGGGGATCTGCGACGAATGTACCCATGATAGGCCCGCGGCGACGGCCAATAGGCTCAGTCTTCTCTTCGGTCGGAGGTGCTAAGGAGGCAGACGAGTCGCGACGAAGGATAGATCTGGGATGGGTAATAGTCGCGGGAGGGGGGAGGTCTTCATCTGTGGTCTCGCCATCATCGGCTTCAAAGGGGTCAGCAATTGTAGTCTAGAAAATTCCCAAGCATCGTGCATACTGTCATAACCGCTCGACTCCGAGCCCTCGGAGACGGCATCGGATTCCACGTGATAGATGTTGGAATGGCCGTAATCAGACTCAGCGAACATCTCCTCCGACTGCCGGCGCTGGCGGGGATAGTTCTCGTTGTCGCTTTCAATCATGCGACGCAGCTGGGGATCCAAGCTGTCCTGCTGGAGGAAGTCACCAGGAATCTCGTCATCCGTGTGCGAGTCGCTGTCAGATGAAGAGTCCGAATCTTCTTCAAAGTGTACTCGCCGGGGCATTGGCGTTTCAACGGCAGTTTCGCAAGCCATCTCGTCGCCGAAAGTCTCCATGGCGCTGTAAAGCTGTTCCTCGTCGAAAAAGGACGCAGCGGACAGGAGCATGTGATCGTCAAAGACATTGGGGCCGGCCCAGTCGTTGGTGTCTGCGGCAGAGGCTGTGGTCAAGATGGTCTCGACGGCATGTTCATCCTCCGACTCTACAATCAACAGTTCTTCGAGCTTCTCGACATCGTTGTCCTCATCGTCTTCTCCGTCACTGATATAATCGACGGCAGCATAGATGTCGTCCGAGTTCTCTTCGTCCGAATCATCATCGTCTTCTTCTTCATCACTGCTTCTCTGGCCATCGTACCCATCGTCATCTGAGAATTTCATTTTCTTGGTCCGTTTAGCAGACTTCATGCCCGTCTTATGGGACCGTTCTCGACGACCATAAGACGGGCCGCGAACAGCCGGCTGTTCTTCTTCATCGTCGGCGTCGTCATCCTCCGAATCATTATCATCATCATCATCATCCTCCTCATCTTCATCTTCTTCATCGCTGAGCTCCTCGATGGAAGAGACAGACGATACACTGGAGACCGACATGGATGCCCTGCGTTTCCGGTCCATGCCCAGCGAACCAAGGGTGATAGCCTTATTCGAGGTTCTAGGAGAGCGACCCGTCAGGGCGTGTTCGATGGAATGGGCGGAGGGTCGACGGGTTTGATTGCGCTGGATACCCTTCGCGGCAGTCTGGGGGGACCGCTTAGGGGAGTGCGCGGGGGGAGGCATTATGGTTGTTTGCCCAAGAATGGTATTGTGTTAAGTTTGTTCTATAAGTAACTCGTCCAGTTTAACTTGGCACGAGCGAGTGTTGACCTTGGTAGACCAATGGATCGTCAAAGTTTACTACCCGTGAAGCCTCCGAATGAATCAATTGCGTCAGACTCTTCGAAGGCGGAATCAGGGACAGGGTTGTCGTAATACTGCGGCGGATTTCGACCGTCAATTCGTGAAGGCGTCGAGGAGTAGTGGAGATGAGAATCGTTACTGCATCCAAGATAAAGAGGGCAAGAGCGTGAGCGTGAGAGTCGAGGTGAAAGGTTTCTGGCAAGGTGTCGCGGAGCGGAGGGTAGGATAGCAAAGACTTTTCGGAAATCGCCAAAGTACCTCAGCGTCCAGAATGGGGACGTCAAAAGTGCTTCTCGTGTGAGTATAGTGATAGGCAATTCCGACGCTGGAATTGAGATGTTGCGTCGAAAGAGGAACAGATAGTCGTCAAGTCGATTAGAGATAGTCGGAGCTGCTGGGACTGGGAAGCATGGAAAAGGCAGCCGTGCTCCCCAGCGGAGAGATTTACAGCTCAACGAAGGCCATCCTGGCGCGGAACTCTTGACGATATCTGGATAGTGATTTAATGACGAAAGGGGTTTTGGATGGAGGGGTTTAGTGGGGGGGATGGATGTAGATGTGGAAAGAATCTGCAGAAGATGGGTAGAGAAGAAGAAGAGGATGAGGGGTGGAAGTAATGGGGGATGTTTGGGAAGGGGGAGGGAAAAGAGCGGCAGGCTTACAGCGCCAGCGGTAACTACAGTACCTACTTACTGAGTGCCAGCACTGGAGGAGATGCTCCATCCGCCGGGGCGGCGGTACGGGGTGATACGGTAAGCAGCGGATTACCAGACCAAACAGCCTCGGACAGTCTGAGGCGGGCCAAATTTTCCAGTCACGGTGGGGTATTGGCCCGGCCGGTCGCAGTCGCCCAGCTTGTCATTGGTTAGGAGCCACTAAAGCATGCATGCCCATTGGCGGACAGGTGTTCACCGCATCTTTTTTCTTTTCCTTTTTCATCCTAGTTTTGCCTGTCGATTTTTATTCCAGCTGTTCCATTCTATTTTTTCACTCTTTTTTTTTTCTTTGCCTGCATTCACTCTCCACTTCAATAGCTTTTGCATTGCTGGCTGGCTGGCTGGCTGGCTGGTCACTTCAGCAGCGGGGCCCAATCAACTCGAAATGAATGCCGATGGAGAATTGGAAACGGCCCAGTAACTACCACGAGGCCTGAGTCCTCAGGCTTTGAGAGGCAACATCCTTGTCCGCCTCAAGGATGACAGCAGAGGCCCACAACTTGGAAGGGCTAGGAGTCATCTAGACCAGAACAAGGAACAAGACCCTACATGGGACAGAGAGATAGTCAGTCAGTCAGAAGAGAGTGAGCGAGCATGTGAGCTGGATTAATCGAGGAACTATTGCTCAGGGTCAAGGAGCACTACTGTAGTTAGTTCCCTCGTTGGGTACCTGAAACTGCAGATGGCGGTCGAACGGTCGTGGTGCTCGAGGCGTGGGACGACCAGGAATAGGGAATGCTAAGCCGATAGCGCTTACGGGGATTTCCTGATTCAGGTGGCATTTGGTCCAGGATTGATGACTCGACTATCGAGTAGTCTAGTAGATACTCATAGCAGTTAGTCGTGCTAACCCGATGACTTGGCCCGCTCCCCCTCCCTCCCCTCCAGTCATCTCCCGGTCGAACCGGGTTCAAGAATCATAAGCTGCGGACGGAGTCACCAGGAAGACAAGCGAGAGGGAGGCCATGACTCACAAGTCCGGACTATGTTTGGCACTCAGTTGGGGAGTAGAGAACCCAGACGACAAGGACAGATGTTCAACCTCCAACGCTCATCAGAGTTGACGTACGGTCCATCTGTTGATCCATCTATCTACCCATACATACAGACTGTATGTAGTATGTCTCAAGTAATCTACAGCATCGACCCTCACGGCAGGAGCGGATTACTCTATTATGTCGTCGGTCGCTTTGATCACAGGCATGCAGGCAGGAATGCAGATAGGAATGAGGGAGAGCCCCTGAGAAAAAAGTCTCGATGCCGAAATGGAGGCATGCAGAAGAGGGCGGCGGGCCAATATTCGAACCCTCAAGCCACTCGACATCGTGAAGGGAGGGAGAACATGTTGGACCGTGCTCTGTCTGTTCCTGCACAGTGACACACACACACTACATCATCATTGATCGTCTGAGGAGCGCGATCTGGACTTGACGCATCACCGATCGATGAATCCTCTCCCCGTATACCTTTGCGGGTTCCTGGGTCTTCTACTCCGTACACGAGATTGCCGCCGCATGAGACTCTCGACTCGAACCTTTCGGGTCTCAGTATGGGAACAACTTCCGATGCCAGCATGGACTCATGATAATGGATGATGGATGCAACAGCCCTGCACTGCAGGCGATTGGATACATTCCCTCGGAATGAGGCCAATTCCACTGCTGAGATTGGCCGAGCCAGAGCTCGAACGGCTAGTCTAGTCCGGTTGTAGTCTAGTGTAGCCGCTTCGGGAAAGGTGCAGCCTTGCTGCCCGCCCTGCAATTCGAAGTCCTTCAAACTTTGCGCCGTGCCTGTCGCCTTGAGAAAGGTATTGATTGATGCAGTCATAGCTCAGCTTCTCGTGGCTTACTGCTCCATTCTGCTTCCTGTTACCGCGTTAGCCTTTTAGAGTCATTTAGGTCCGAGGGAGAAGGGCTCTATCATCCGGAGTGTACAGTACAACAAGTCAGTAGTTCATGGAAGAAGATAGACCCCAAAGCACATGGCCCAGTCTCTTTCCGGTGTCATATCAAACGCATGGTATCACCACGAGTACTCGTACTTATTAGATCTTAGCGGATCGACACAAAGATGAGATACAGATACTCAACATCAAACAATGCCAATGAACACACTACTCCCCAATTTTTGAATGCCGAACCAACCCCTACACCTATCTACAATACACCCCTCCAAAACATTACCAACACCAAACACCTTCCCCATCACAACAATAAAAGAATACAACCCATCCCATCCCAAAATCCCAGAATTGCAAGACCATTGTTTACTACTCAGTATCCCCAACCACCAAATCGGCACTCCGAACGATCATCCGATCAAGACCAAGCCAAACAATCCCAAAATGGATGATCTCTCCCCCCACCGCAGTGGCAACTTTACGTACATCGTCATCACTACTAACTAGGTAGCAACAAGAACGACCTCAAGCCACCCACCGTATACCCCCCTCGAGAGAAAAACCCGGATCTCAGGCATGGTAGCCTGTGCCCTGGGGCATACATACATACATAGATGCATAGATGCATCATGCATGCAAAATACATGTGATTGGTTAGAAAGAAGCGGTAAGGGGAGACAGCTGGCTGCTGGGGGTGGATGGATCGATTAATCGTCAAGGCGCTTTGCCCCCCTCTCTTCTTTCTCGTCCATCAGTAGACTGGTGAGCTAGAGTATAGTCTACTGCTTCTTTCTCTAACTTTCGTTCTCCTTCTCGTGGGAGAAAGGGGACGGGCGTGGGCTATTGAGAGCACGTGAATGGGTAGATCAGATACTAACCAGATATACATCTGAGATCCAGAAAAAGAGTGTCCTAAGCCCGAATGAACAACATACTAAGTAGGCCAATGGATGGAAAGGTAGGCTCCGCAGCAAGAAACTCCATCACATTGTCATCCAGCGAGCGAGGCACGAGTAGTGAGTGACTCCAGACTAGCATGTTTCCTCCCCATTCCAGAACCATTCTTCTGAGTACCCCGTAGACTGTCGGAAGACAAGACTCTTACCCAGACGAGACAATCTACCATGCTACACGTGGTCTGTTTCAACTACTACTACTGAATCCAAAAGATATCCCCTGGGTTCGCCGCAAGATCAAACCAACCTACCGAAAGCGACAAAAGAGATCAATACCAGTATGTACCGGTAATACCATGTTAAACCACTAGACCGGAGGCAGAAATAAGAGTGGGCGGCGGCGGCTTACTCACGATCGGCAGGCCGCCACAGAGCCCCATTGGTCAATGCGGGACCGGGCTCGACCTGGGAATTTCTGGAACTGCACCCCGCAACCTATCTAGGCTAGGTCTCTCTGAAGTCCTTCGATTTGAGTTCTATCTGCCTGATGGATGCATTCGAGTCATGTGCTACTGTTGGAGAAGAGGCTGATATTTGAGGTTAAATGTGCCCCCCTACTTGACTTTGTTGGTATGGAAGGAGTGTGGATCTAGAATGCCGAGTCGTCGCATTCGGAGACGGGGAAAAACAGACGAGAAAGCGGAGCGGCCTGAAATTGCCTGACCATAGGAGATGACGAGAACACGAAGGAGACAGCCAAATGATGAACAATTGCCACCCGGAGACAAGTCGCCCGCGAACCTTTCTGCCCGCTCCATTGCGCAACCGCGGATCATGTCATGTTTGAGGACGGCAGGGTCCGTTTGCGATTCCAATTCGTAACAGGAAAGAAAGGCCAGGTGGCTTGTATCTTCAAGATATTGTTGACTCATTATTGGATTGATGAACCTCAAACAAAGCAAAACACAACAAAACAAAAGGACATGATGGTATCAAAAACAGATATCGTAACAAATGGCTTGAAATCACGAGAATGTCCAATTCAGGTTCCAGGATATGGTTCGACCTTCGGCGTGGTCGGTTTCTGCTCGGCCCGGGACCAGATAGACAACCTGGACTTGCTCCGTTTGGGTTTCGAGAACGACTCCTCGGGGTGTTCATTCTCCTGGTTCTTCTGCTTGTCCTCTGCGCCGGGGCTGGTTGTCTCCCGCGCTTGTTGTGCTTCCTCAATGCCCTGACGGACTTCTGTAACGGACGCTCCTTGCGGCGCTGTGGTGGTCAGTGTCTCCGTGTTGCGGATTCGGTCGTGATCGGTGGAATCGTCGTTCAGCTTCCCAATCTCCTCCTCTGTCACTAGACGCTCGTTCTCGAGCCGTACCTCGCGGCCGCGTTTGTGGCAATACCAGAGAACAAAGAGAAGGACTGTAACGATGGTGAGCGAGATACTCTAATACAGTCACCCGGAATAAACTTACTGGTCAAAGCCAACGACCATAGCACATTGAGACCCAGCACAGCCGGGAATCGAGCTCGTAGAAACGCCACAATGGAGCGCAACATGCCCACCAGTGCAGCTGGCTTGCCGACAAGCTCCTTCAGGGTAGGAAGCTTGATGCCCATCTTGTTGGCCGCAGCGGCCGCCTTGCCCACGTTCTCGACATTCAGGCCGCTCTGACTGGCTTTCGCGGTGGCGGCAGCGAGGACCTCCGGAGCTAGAGTCTCAGTCCACTTCTCGGGGAGCTTCTCAATCAGCTTCTGTATGAACCCCGGGAGGTTAGAGTAAGTGCTCTGCAGCTGCTTGTTGCCATTGGTGAGCAGCATCTCCAGGTCATGGTAGGCGGTCGGAACGCCGTTGACGAGGTCCTTGAAGATCAAAGTGAATTTGCGCAACAGCTCCCGCGTGTCGTTACTCATCGAGAACACGCGGTTGTTCTCCGCCGCGAGGTTCAGTCGCTCGAGGATCTCGGTCATGTCCTCCTTCTCCTGCTCTGCCTCGTCCTTTTCTTTATCAGGTGTCTGCTGCTGCGATGCCCCCTCGCCCGGGGTATCCGTTTTAGCAGAGGTCTTCGCAGCTGAAGTATCCTAAGAAAGACACAAACATCAACATCCATCCCTCCATTCAAAAACCATCAAACCCCGCAATCGCGAACACAAGAGAGAACTCACCTTCTTCAAAACCGTACTCCGTCTACGCAACCAACTCCACGGACCCCTCTTCGGCGGCGAAGTACCACTGCCCTCAACTTTCGCAGCCTCAGGAGCAGCACCAGCATCCGCACCAGCACCAGCCGTAGTCCCCAACCGCTCCGCCCCCTCCCTAGCCTTCCGTTCCTCCTCCCCCAGCTCCCTCCCATATTCCTCGACCGGCGACACAGGAGACAGCGACTGAGGCTCCAGGCCCTCCGCACCAAGCGGCGAGACAGGCGACGTCTGGCTATTTGCATCGGCAGGGGCGGGTGCGGTTTCATGGTTTCCGGTATCTGTCATGATACCCCGGAGGAAATCTTCATCTTCGGCCGTGAGCACCGGGTCGTGGGGTTGGCGCTGAGACGCACGCCGCCAGGTTTTGAATTGCTGCATGGTGGATTTTTGGGATTTTGTTATCGCATGCTCTGCTCTTTTTTTCTTGCGCAGTACCTGCTATCGTATCAACTTTGCTCTGGGCCAGGTTAGCTATAATCCGGTCGGGGAAGCAAGCCGTGAAGCGGAGAAAAGAGCCGTTATCACCCACAGCAGTGTACCAAGTAGGTGGGGCGACAAAGAAAGTACACCCGACTGACCGTATTCCACTCGTGTAGAAACTATGAATAGTTATATCGTAGGTCACACTTTATAGTACCTTGGGAAAAAAATACCACAATAACACCCGGATTATCCAAAAGTGAAGGATGAGAATGGAGGGATGGATGTTATGCAGGAATGAAAAAGAGGCAAAAAAATGTTTCTCGCGCGCGCGCGAAGAGCACACGCCAGGAACCCCGGGAGGGAGAGGGGGGATGGGCGATCCATGATGATATCACCCCTTCAAGGGTGGGTGAGCGGCGCGTCACATGCAAGGATGAGTCCCCCGCATGTGCTGTACATCGCCACAGTTGTGGATGGTATTGTACTTGCACCGCCACAATTGCTTTTTCTCCGATAGATAAGCCTGGATCGTAAGGCTATTGGTGGTTTGTGGTGCTGATAAGGAAGAGTGTTGATGCACGGATTGGATGAAGGTTGCTTCACCTATGGTTGACGGGTACTTAACCTGATTTATGGATGGATTGATGCGGGAATGAGGTGTCTTTGCTATTGGAATGTAGGTTATTTGGTTGAACTTATCAAATTCGAGCTACTATGGTTATGAGATGGTATATCCGAAGCTGAAGACATATAATCACTTTCAATCAGCCTTTTACACCCGCAGACTGTAGGCATAGAAGTACTACTACTAGACCAAAATAACTCAGCACTTATGATTGAAGCCTGAGCTCAAACCGACTAACTTTTTTCCTCAATCTCCGTCCACCCCCTCACCTCATTGAAATCCATAACACGATACTCGCCACCAAAGCGATTCAGCGTATCATCCCAGTCACGATCAACCGCCAGCTCAGGCCGCCAGCGCACCGTGGCTGCCAGCCTCTCATCGAGTCTCCCCTCCAACCGATCAACAATAAACCCACCAATGGAGGGAATATGCGCGAAGCCCCTACCCGAGGCACCGACAGCAAGCAGCAAAGAAGGATAATCAGGATGATAATCGATGAGGAAGTTGCGGTCGACGGTATCTGCACACCAGCAGATACGGGCGAAGGAGAAGGGCCGATCGGCGAGCTGGGGCATGGTGGCGCGCAAGAGGGCGCGGATACGGTCCGCGGACTCGAGGGGGATCTGATGACGCGCGAAAGGGATACTACGGCGCTCGGGGGGTTGGCCGCCGCGGTCCGGATCATCATCGTCGTACACCCAATTGCAGTAGCCCGGGTGCTCATCGCAGATCTTCAGCTCGTGGCGGTCTGCGTCGGGCTCCATGAAGAAGCCCTGGTCGGCGTTGAAGAGGACGGGCAGGTTGCGGTATGCGGCGGCTTCGGAGGGTGTCATGCGGATGTGCGCCAGCGTCCATGCCGTCGGCCGCAGCTGCTTCTTGAAATCTAGGAAGCGGTCGGCGTTGGCGCCCGCTGCTAGGATGACGCGGTGCGCGAGGTGCTGCTGGCCGTCGGCTGTCTCGGCCCCGATCACGTCTCCGGATGATGAGAATGCGAACAGGAGCCGCACGACGGCGCCCTGCGGGTCGCCCGTGATGAACTTCACCCCCAGACGCTGCGCCTCTGTGATGGCCGCTAGGAGCGCGTGGCGTGCATGCACCCACCCGGCGCCGCGCTTCTTCCAGTACCCCTTCCACCCTTCCAGCGGACCGGTGAGGATTCCCTCTGGAAACGCCCGCCGGAAGTCGTCCGGTGTGTTCAGCTCGATTACCTCGTCGCCTGGACGGTTCCGTCGGTGGATATGCTTGAGGCCACCGGGCGAAAACGCCGAGGTGATGGACCCGACTTCGTGGAAGTGCGGCTTGAAGACGGGGTCGTGCTGGAACCCTTTGCTGAGGGCGGCGAAGAAGGTCCGGTTCGCGAAATCCGGGTCGTCATCCGCTGGGGATTGCACTGGTTATCTCAGTGATTAGTATCTACCTAGAAGATGCAAGTAATGAAAAGGACACACTGAATGAGACGATCTTGTTCACGTCATTCCCGGCTGAGATAGCAGAGGGCTGCGCGTACGCATCCAGCACGGTGACGTTAGTATATCCCCGCCGGGCTAGGTGAAGCGCAGTCGAAGCACCCCAGGTACCTGCGCCGATGATAAGAATAGGCAAGTGATGCATGTTATGTTCTGTCGAAGGTAAGGGGTCGATATGGATGTGCACTGAGACCGCGGGGCCTGGTGTCTCTTGAGATAGTTGAGCGCGCATTGTGGTCTATCCGGCCACTGCAAAATGAAATGACGGAACCATCGAGGATCTTATAAGTAGACTCACGAACTCCGATGGCCGAGAGCCGATAAGCCCAGCGCTAAGGGACAAATCACCTCATCTCTGGACCCGATTCCGACGCCCTCAAGATCACGATAAGCATAGGGTGTTGGCGGCGCCGTTAGTGCTCGGACCAAGCATTGTGGGTCGGATTGCATCGCTTGGACCTGCCATTGCTTGGCCTTAGCCTTAGCTCAATGGTCGAGAACCGAAGACTATACATATGACGATGTAGCAAGTTTTGTGAGATGATATAGAAATCCCCATAACATATACTGAGAATCTTAGAATGCCCATCCTGCCACTCTGTAGCTCGTGTGAAAAGTTGCGAACTATCGTAAAGAATGTCTACTCTCTAAAGCCTCGTCCATATTCCTCAACTCAGCCTAATCTATTTCCAAAGTACAATCGCCTTTGTGTTTCTACACACTCATACTCAATTGGTATCCTACACAGCTCCAATTTAACTACAAGAAGACCCAGAAAAACCTCGAGGCGGAGGCGGCTGGGGCTGAAAAGCCCAGACCCATTCATTATGTTAATGTCCCAATAACGAAGACCATATACACTGAAAGAGAAAGTAACAAGGGTTGAGCTGTTCTTAACCCTTATCACTAAACAGTCTTCCCAAGTCAACACGGCCAAGATTAGACAAATTGACACACGCGGAAACGTTGACAAGGACAGATCGAAAAGAGATAGACGCAAGGCCGACAAATCGACGTACATTACCCGTCTTCTTTGAACTGGAATCACGCAATCTGGATTAACCTCAGATGAAAATGTCATCCGGAAGTGCACAGCAGCGAAGAGCAGAACAGATTGGCTGAACGCACAAGAAAGGTGCATTTGACCATATCCACTGCTTGAGTGCTGCAACCTCGTCCAGGCATGCTGGGAGGCGAACCACCTAGCCAAAGACGAAGTCACGCCTGCTAAATACTAGGTGCCACTTCCTGCAACCCAGGATATAATTTGAGCTTTGTATCTTTTCAAAACGTTTTTTTGTCCCCTATGCTGTGCATACGGGTATTTTTGATATATGTGTCGCAGTAACCAGACAAACGATTCACAAAAAGGGCTCGATCCAAGCCCAGCAAGACATCCAGTCCATGCATCATACCATATCGCATCATGATAGGTTAGACGCACAAGCTTAGCCCTACTACACCCAAACAATCAGCAACCACGCCTTCCATCAGGGAAATTCAACAGACCGCAGGCGACTTACCTCAGCGATACCATCACCCTCCGCCTCCCTCACCTTCTTTTCCAAATCATCCACCCGATTACACAACGCCACAAACAGATCAAAAAAGAAGGGATGCCCCCGCTCCATCTCCGCCTGCATCGTCCCACTCTCCCGGAACACCGCGCGCGACCGGATGATCATCGCCAGGTAGCGTGCGCGCAGCCGATCCTCCGAGTCGAGCGTGTGCTCGTATGCAAACTGCGCAGACCGCAGAATCACATCGACGGCGATCCCGGTCCGGAGGCCCTGTTTGCGCAGCGCGAGATGCGCCAGAGCATCGGGTAGACCGTAGTGCACGGCGGCGCAATAGATGGCCGTGTCGCGGAGGATGAGGCCCGCGCGGTGGTGGTGGAGGGCTGCGGTTGGGGAGATGTTACGGGTTGGGTGAACTTGGTGGTTGTTGCTCCTGCTGACACCGCTGGGGGCGGTGGTGGCTTGCTGCATCCCGTTCTTCTCCTGGTCATCCTCCTCCTCGAGGTACCATACAGGAGCGGACGTGGAGCTGGCACCGTCGTCAACATACAAAAGACGCGGGTAGTAGTCGCCCTTGTAGAGCAGTTCAAGGAGACACGAGAAGACTTCTGGGTCCCTGGCTGCAGTATCAGTTTCACCATCTCATCAAAAACAAGTTATAGAGAAACGAGAAGAGAAGTATACTCACTCATCGGGCAAAGCCACCACCTTATTCAAGCCGCTCTCAGTGAACTGGTCCTCCAGCACAGCGCCAAAGAAAGTAGCCCGGGCGAGCACGTCTTCGTGCGCGACGAAGAGACGCCGGTCCGGGCCCACGATCACGCTGACTACGGGGTTCACGAGAGGACTGTAGAGTGAAATATTTATCAGCTTTGACAGTCCAGTTTGCAAGACTACTCAAGAAAAAGACGACCAACCTTGTAAGCGGCGGCTCCCCAATCATCTCCCCCTCCTCTGCCGCTCCCTTCCTCCCATTTCTGACCTTCGGCCTCAACTTCACCTTCCCACCTATCTTCCGCCTCGCAGACGACCGAACAGGCTTCCGGATCCGACGGCTGGTAGCCAGCAACGGCGAGGAGCGGTTCTTGCCGGCCATCGTGCTCCTGCCGCCCAGGTCCATCCACTGAGCCAAGAACGAGGTGATAGACATCTAGATGCGATAGATGCAGGAAGGATAACAGTAGTCAAATTAGAAGAGGGGATAAACTGAACGAATGAACGAACGAACTAGAAGCAGGAAAAGACAGGAATGACGCTTGCCGCTGGGTCATGCGCGGGATCGCACGAAGGGAAGGAGTATCGGAAGCTGTGATCATGCAAGAAGTCTACAGGATCCCTTTCGCAGAGCGTCGCCAGGGCTTCATCGAGGAAGACCCGTGGGTGCTGGGCTGGGGAAAGGGACTTGTGTGGTCTTGTGGATCTAGCTTGCGCGTACGGTCATCTACAGGGGTGTAGAGGGGCGTAGCGGGACGGTCAACTCCGGCAGCATGAAGAAGAAAGTAAAGGAGAGGAGAAGAGAAGAGAGAAGAAGGAGCAGAAGTAAGAAGAATAGCGAGAGAGGTGGTGGTGGTGGTGGGGATCATGTGATGGTGAGCGGCTGATCGATCATTCGTGCTTATCATTAGCCTAGATCGCAACTAGTCCATTAGGTGTACAATCTATACATTGATGCCTGTCACAGTGATCGTAACAACATCTCGCTAGCACCCGCTGAGAGCAGACATTTGAGCACACCCGCTCCATGAGTAATGTAGATAGAAAGAGGAACTGCAAGCATACAGACAGAGTCAACCCCATATAAAGACATGAAACACGATGATCGCTACCGAATATACCATGACATAATAACAATACCGTTCGCAACCATAGACAATAAGATGATGTGCACAAGTATGAAGTGCCGCTCTGATGAAGGCAACAAGTCCTGATAGACGCAAAAATATCAGACTCGGGCAGTCTTCTTCCGGCCCCGCTTAGGCTTTTCCTCATCACCAACAGGAGCCGAAACGGCCTTGGTCGGCTTCTTCGCGGTTCTCTTCTTAGCCGGAGCAGGCGCCTCAGGAGATTCCTCGGCAGCAGCCTTAGACTTCGCTGGACGACCGCGCTTCGAGGTCACCGGCTTGACATCCTCTTCGTCATCGGAAAGAGGCTTGGGTTGAGCGCTCTTCTTGGATCTCTTAGGCTTGGGAGCTTCTTCCTCCTGCTCATCGTTGCCGTCGGCCTCAACCTCAGCCTTAGACTGTTTCTTGGTCTGTGGACGACTGCGCTTCTTACTCTTGGGAGTAGACGCCTCGTCTTCCTCTTCCTCGTGATCTTCAGCCTGAGCTTGCTGTGCGTACTGTATCAGCTTTTTCTCGTCTTGGAAGATAAATCGAAATAGTCCGGAGAACTCACCTTTGCCGCAGCCTCCTTCTTGGTAACCTTCTTGCGGAAGCCAGTCATACCGGGCCGGTTCACTTCAACATCCTATTCATAGTGAGTGATTAGAGTTATACAAAGACAACCAGCAGACCAGGTCAAACAGTAACAGCCCCGAACACAATGCAGATAGCTTTTATATGCAAGCAGAAAAGGGTTAAATGTAAAAGCAAAAAAAAAAAAAGAAATAACTTACCCCCTTCCAATCAGCATCATCAACATGACCCTGCTCCAACGCCCTGCGAACCTTCTCCTGATTCTCAGGGGAAAGCTCATCGAAACCATCGAGAGCCGAATAATCTTTTTCGTCCCCATTGCTCAGCTCATCGATAGCTTCGTTCAGATTCTTGATGACCTGGGGGGTGACGCAGCCCCTGATGAACAAAAACAAAGAAAGAAGAGTTAGATAGAGAATTCTTTATCATGCAAAAACGGGACCAAAAGTGCTTCGCTCTAGCTGTAGCAACAGCAGGAGAACTCACCAGTGGCGATACTTCCAGCTCTGGAAATTGCCGGTATCCACCCAGCTGCCGTGGCGGAGCTCGCCCTTGGCGATCTTGACTTTGGCGTCTTTGCATTCTTTGTTCTGGCAACCGGCACGGCCGGTGCTCTCGTCTGGGAGATGATGTTAGTTGATGATCGGAGGCGGAATCGCGTAGTGGAATGGGTTGTAGCAGTGTGCATGGAGACAAGCCAGTATGAGAAGCAGGTATGATGAAACAGATCGGTTCAAGGGTTTAGAGCAGAGGATGTGACAGCTGGCAATGGAGGTTGGACAACATGGCAGACAAACATCGATTCCCCCTCCATGGACAACAGATCCCTTTCCGTTTGCGGACTGCACAGATGGATACAAGGTAAATCGTGCGGCGATGAAGGATAAAAAGTAAAAGAGAATATACGGGAGAGAATGAAATGAAGATGGACTTACCCAAGCGATATGCACCCATGTTGCAGTGGCAGTGGCAGCTGCTGTGCTGGATGTGATGATGTGATAATGTGACGATGGTGCTACGTGCTGCGGCAAGTCGGCAGGTTCGACTTAAGCACTAGAATGTACTGAGCCTGAGACCGCAAATCCCAAACAGGCGATCTTGAAGAGACACACAGAGAATGAGGTGGTGGTAGGAGCAGAGCGAGGAAATATAAGGAGAGGAGAAAAAGAAGAGAAGCGAACGAGGAAAGCGATCAAAGAAAGAACAGGAGAGAAAAAGAATGCGTCCGTCCCCAAACGCCCAACGGAACCCGCCAAAGACCAATGCCGCAGTGCTGGGAACTGGGCCCTGGCCTCCACATGTTCTCTCTTCTTATTGTTCTTGAGGTTTAATTCACTAGATTTGAATCAGGTCATTGAACTAGACAATAAAAACTCTTCTATCATGTGGGTCACCGGAATCAATCAGGTTTGTTGGTAAATATCGCTACACACATAGTATACAACCTCTCGGTCGCTACGGTCGGTTCTGCAGGAATACTTCGAGATTCACTACTCGGCTGGAACCGGTCAAACAACAAGTGGCCCTACTAATGAGTTTCACATTACTCAATTTAACAATTTGATGCCCCCGAATCATATTTGGAAATTGCAGCTGACCAAGATTGTACACTACGGTGCCTATTTCTTCCTTTGTTGCCTAATAGCTACCGGCACGGCTTGCAATAAATCCAATGAAGAACAAGACATTCTACTCTGCAACCCCATTCACTGTACTTTGGAACCAAAAGATCGTAGCATATTGCATTTAGGCATTAGCAAGTATGAAAATCTCCAGTGGTCATGGCTCCGCGCAGGTTCACGACGATCCAGAGGAGCGACACGATGCCTCAATCCTCTCCAAGTCTGCGATAAGCTTCTGCAGCACAACCACCGCCCCAAGGCTAAGCCGTGAAAGGTACTCAGAAGCGTCTTTTGCATGCGTGTCTTGCTCTGAGGCGGCCTTGTTATGATGTTCGATCATAGCCCGTGCGTCGAGGATAGCTCGGTGAAGCAGACAGGGCCGATTCATATCCTTCGCGTTCGTGGGACTAGGGAGGTATGTCCAGGCAAGAATGTCTTCAATACCAAACACTGGCTTACCCAAAGCATGCTTGATGAACTTCCGCGTCATGAGGAAGGTCTTCTCGGTGTACTGCATAGAGTCAATCCGCATCTCCTCAACTGTAGCAAGGGTTTCGAAGCCAGGCTCATCTGGAGCAGTCAGTACCTATTATAGCAACTTCTTCTAATATCGGGGTAAATAGACATACTATAGTACGGACGTTCGACCAAAACTAGACCCATTATGGAGACCAATATTTGGAGAAATGTTGACTTAGAAGAAGACCAGGTCTCGTCTGGGTCCTCTGTAGGCCACGACCCCAAAATGCTGAGACAAACACGGCCACTATCGTGAAGATTGGGGTTTATATCTCCTTCAGCAGAAGTCCAGTCGTGAAAGAAAGCCATCGGGGGCTTGTCCGGAAACTCTCCCGTGAAGTGAAAGTCAAACACAAAAGGTGCATGCTCGTACGGGGTATCCGCGGGCCCAAGAATTAGGGCTCTGACAAGATCCATGCGCGACTCCCACGTACGTACATAGATGCCAGCAGGAAGGGATTTCTCTAGGATTCTCCATTCCTTGTGTATGCGCTTGATTCTCAGTCCGGAGTCTGTGACGTCGCTCGAGATGAATTGATGATCAGAGGGAGGATGTCCTTCCAGTACCAGGAAAGCCGGAGGACTAGACGATGCGGGGGAACCTGCTCCAGTCACCCCTAAGTCTCCTTCAGCGTCGGCCATAGTGACATGATAGTAGGGAGCCTGATAACTGTCTTTCAGTGCATTGCTTGAAGCGTGTGGAAATCTCTCCACTGTGATATGAGGTGCTCCGTGACCATTAGCATCATCTTCTGTGACCGCCTCATCCTTGATATCATACTCAGTGTCGGAATCCACCGATACGTCATTCGGAGTCGACAAAGGCTCACTCGGATATATTCTATCAAAAAGCTCGGGAGGCATCAACATGATCTGCTCCATGGTTATCTCTACATCCATGCATGAATCCTTATGTGCCAATCGCACTATGACAGTGCCATCGGTGCCGGCTTTCACAATCATTCCAACAAAATCCGCGTGTAACCTTGCGCGGAAGTCTTCATAATGAATACTCAAGCGTGTAGGCGCTGGAGAGTCGTCAATCGTAATGCTTTTCTTGAACCAATCAGTACGCACGATGTCGTTCTTCATTGCCTCGAGGCTCCTCCAAACCGCTTCAAAGGTATTGGAAGAAAAATGGCTTGAGTTACCAATCGTATTGCGGGACGCAGGCCTCTCCCCTGGAGCTCGAATCACCGAGCAGTGTACCGTGCTAGGAACAAGAACTACAAGCTTTCCGGGTGACCTGCGTAGAGCAGGATTAGTGGCGAGCTCATAGAGCGACACCGGAGTAACCTCGGTGCTCAAACCTCCCAAATGGAAAGATTCACGACTAAGACTCAATCCGTCCTTCGCCCACTTGACAGTCGAGCTTTCGTACCACCGAATAAATGCTACTCTTTCCTGACTATCGACCTTCTGAATAACGCCAACTTTGCGGCCACAATAGCTTGAGTGTGATGCACATATTGGACTGCCTCCGGGCGAAGGATCATTCACATCGACCGAGTTTTTCAAAGTAGCGAGATCTCCGGGAAAAAACTCATCGATGGGCTTGGAGCGTGCCTTCTGCAAGTATATCGCATCTTGGGTGGTAATACTCCCGTCTTGCCATTGGACCGTGACGTCTGATTTGTATGAAACAATTCGAAAGACATTCAAATCGTATCCGTATGACTCTTCAGCCGGCATATGCTGGTAAGAAGGGTACTTGGTAGCCGCTTCCCTCGGGTCCCGAAAACATACAACACCACCAAGGGTCATCCAATTTGAAAGGCCCAGGTGCGTTTCATTTCCACCAGGTCTATTCTTTGGAGCCTGTACGAAGTCACACTTAACCGCATGTTTCAGGAATATTGATGCTCTGATTGTCTCCCACTCCTCAGTCGGTGTGACTGTGTCTACCCCGATGCCAAAGACATTTGGTATCTCCCACTGGACATAGTACTGTGAAGCCGGTGTAGCCAAGGTATAGACGCCTATACGTCCATGTGCTGAGCTCTTGACCCGAGCTCCATGCACCTCACGCATATTTGCAGAATTGACCCAGGCAAACCGGCCAGGATAGACATCATCAAGGCGTAAGTGTACTGGATCAGCTCCACTATGACCCGACACCCTGCTCGTTCTTCTATCGTCTGGGAGCCATACTAGCCTATCAGAATCAAACCAGACTGGAGATTCCACGCCCAACGGATCATAGATAGTGACGACCTCGTTATCCTTCGTTAGAAATACAGGGTCTCGGTCGACCCGCAGGATGTTGCCATATCTCTGATGATATATGAACCCGTCTCCCTCGGTAAATGGCTCGTAAGGCTCAAGGTCGCACATCGAAACATCACGTAACAATGTGGGAAGCTCTTCTTGCGCCGATGTCACCTTGGGGCCGAGAAAATTGGTCTTGTGTGTGAAGTTGAGCGGGCCATGCTCCTCAGTTAGTGGATTGGTGGTACGAGACACCACAGGCTCCAGAGTACATCGGTTTGAATGATTCAGGACCTTGCCACTAATTGCGTCGTTTTCTTGCCGTCTGACGAGTTGACCAATGTCCCACATCCTGGAGATCAGCTGGAGTTCTTGTTCAGGGACTAAGGAGGTACCCTGCGTTTCATCAGCGAAGGCGACAAACGCGTACCCCGGCGGAACCTGGCAATGTGCCAGAAAAGCTTAGCTAATGCGCAGAAAATATCGATGAGGTGAGTCTCATACCTCTTCAGTTTGCAGGAAGTCTTCCAGAATATCTGCAGGTGTTGATGGATAGGAGAGGATCAGATGGGTTTCTGGTGAATCATACTGGCCCTTCATGCAGTATAGGTCAGTTCAACGAATATTGGTCTACTTGGAGTGCAAAGGAGAAAGATACATGCCTCATAGTATGTACCCTGTTCATCATTAGCATCTAACAACAAGCGTAGCAAGTGCGAGGGGAGCATACCTCTACAGAACACACCCGGGAACCATGCAAAGCGATGCATATATCACCGAGTTGAAGCTAGTCAAAGGTAAGCAAACTAGAAACCAAGTATTCTATCAGAGTATTGCTTAGCTTACCGGAACACTGAATGTATCCGTGTCTCGTTGTGGCTCAGTAGTTGTGGCCATTATTAACGCGAGATGAACACACTGCCTGAAAGTGGAGGTCGAGGCTGCAAGAGGCGAGGGGTAAGAAGAATGAAGAGCAGGAGAGTGAAACAGAAGAAAGGAGACAGAAGAGACCTAGGGAGGTGACGGTATTTAACCTCGACTGATGAGGGGTGAGCCGCAGATTTACTTTCGAGTGAAAGAAGCTCGCTTGAGCCTTCAGGAAACGAATCGGTGCCACGGTTTGCTTTCAGCAAACGCAAAGAACCCACCAGTTAGGACAAGTAAAGCATAGAGACCTAGCTCCAAAGAAGGTTGACCATCATAAGCAAGCATCAACATCAGCAGGTTGTTGAGTATACTCATAATCCTAAAGACAAGCCCCGCGGCAGAGGGAAGTATAGATAGGAGGAAGGAATCCAGACCATCACAGGCCTTTCCCCTCTCTCCCAACAACATCTGCAAGAGGACTAGGCAAGAACAGGCCTCAGGCCTCAGACTTCTCTGAGTAAACAATCTCTCGTTGTACGACCTGCAATCCTCAGCCTATGTAATCTGATTAAAAACCCCATGTTAACCACGACGCAGTTCGTCAGCCCGTCGGACATAGTTGACTGTCTGCAGATACCAGTAAACCTCGGATAAACTTCCCTGCACGACACCAACGACCAACCAGTCTTGGCACCGCAAACCCACCTCCAAAAGCTTCCAGAACAAACGCGCCCGCCCGCCAGCCGATCATCAACTGAACGTATCACATTTGCGCCTCCAACTTGACCACCACTCCGAACAAACCGAACAATCCAAAGACACCAACAACAACATCATCACGCACCACCTTACCCCTCCTTCTCAATCACCGCCTAAAACCCACCAAACCGAGGACAACAAAACGAAAGAATGTCCGAACCCATCCCGGAATCAATCCCCACAAGCGCCGACCCGCGCAGCAAACGGCCCACGAAACGGCGCGCCGTGGGCAGCGGCGGCGGTGGCCCCTCGACCGCACACTCAGAGCAAGCAACGCAAATCGAATCGCTGTTCCGGGACCCGACGCGCGAGATCCGCCTGCCCGAGGCCTCCAAGCAGCGCACCTCCGCCTCCCTGCCGCCGCCGCCGGAGATCGTCGCCAACGTCCAGGGTTCCTCGGCCGGTGCTGGATCCGGCGAGTTCCACGTCTACAAGGCCAGTCGGCGGCGTGAGTACGAGCGTCTGCGCCTGATGCAGAGCGAGGTCACCCGCGAGAAAGAGGATGAGGGTTGGGAGAGGAAGCAGGCGGAGACTAGGCGGAAGGATGAGGAGAAGACGGAGAAGAATCGGAAGAGGAGGGAGAAGCGAAACGCGAAAAAGAAGAACCTTCACCCGAATGGTCCGGGAAATGGGGATGCGAAGAAGGGTGCGGCTGGCGGGGATCCGATGGCTGTGGATCGGAAGGATGATGGGTTGGCGGCTTCGAATAATGCTATGCTACGGGATGCTGATGGCGCGGGGTATGGGGATGCGGATGGTAGTGGGGAGACGCCGGGGATTATTATACATGAGGATTAAAGGCTTGCCTGTGTTGGGGTGCAAGAATAGAAAGAGTAAAGGAACAACTTTGTACGATATGAAGATACCCATTAGTTTGTGAAGTCTAGGATATTCATACAGAATTTCCAGAGGTTAATCGTGCAGCATTATGTACGCAATTTTACTTTCTGTGTCCGGTCCCCTTTTACTCATCGCCTCCACCACCAGGAGCACCCACCTGCTGAGCCGACTTGCCGCTGCAGATGTCGTCGACACGGAGGAGCAGGCACGCAGACTAGTCATTGAGTTAGCTTGGAATGGTACAACAACGATATGTTGCGGGATACTCACCTCGACAGCGGTCTTGATGCTCTGGAGCTTGACAGCCTCGGGCTCCCAGACTCCGTACTCTTTCATATCAACCAAGGCACCGGAGTCGCCATCCAGACCCCAGGTGGTGTGGCCCTCGACATGCTTGGCTCTCATGCGAGTGAGAACACGGATGGGGCTGGCACCGGCGTTCTGTGCTAACGTGCGAGGGATGACCTCCATGGCATCCGCGACGGCCTTGTAAGGCCATTGTTCGACGCCCTCAATGGACTTGGCCAGCTGGCTCAAGCGAACAGAGACAGCCATCTCAATGGCGCCACCTCCGGGGGAAAGGCGGGGGTGGAAGATAACGTTCCTGGCAACGGCCATAGCGTCCTGCAGGTTACGCTCGATCTCGTTCAGGATATCCTTGGAGGGACCGCGGAGAAGGATCGTGCAGGCCTTGGGGCTCTGGCACTTCCTCATGAAGGTGAAATATTCGTCGCCGATCTTCTCAATCTCGAACAGGCCACACTGGGTTCCAACATCAGACTCCTGGAGGTCGTCAACACGGTTGACAATGGTGGCGCCCGTGGCTCTGGCGATACGGTTGTTGTCCGTCTTGCGGACACGGCGGAGAGCTGTGACGTTGGCCTTCATCAAGAAGTGCTGAGCGAGATCTGACACGGAGTTAGACATATGCGGGTAAAGTCGGTTGGGCGCTTGGCCTACCTGAAACACCCTTCTCGGTGATGACCACATCGGGCTTCAGAGCCAGGATGGCTTCACACATGTGCTTCACCTGCTCCTCCTCAATCTGCAGGATACGATTCCAGTCATCCTCCTTGGTGATCTCAATGTTCGTCTGAGATTCACCCTTCTTGTACTCCAACGGGCAGTCGAGCAGGATAATGCGGGGGTTCTCGATTCTTCTCCGCATCTTGGGGTGGGTAATATCCTTGTTGACCATAACACCGTCGATGACCTCACTCTCTTCAATCTGGCCACCGGGGATCTTCTCGATACGAGCGTAGCGCTTGATGTCAACCTCACGCTTGCCGCCACCAGCGTCGAAAGACACAGTCCGGACAGCTTTCAGGGCGAGGCTGCACATGAGCTCGGACCACCGAGAGACGAACTTCGTGCCGATGGAGGACTGAATGAGAGTGTACATGGCCTTGTCGTCGTCGATGTCGACGGGTATCGAGACCTCCTCGACGATGGACAGAGCGTCGGCCAGAGCACGCTTGAAGGCGGAGATGATGACAACGGGGTGGATGTTGCGTTCGAGTTGGGGGAGGGCCTGTGCGAGCATTTCACCGGCTGGTGTATGTTAGCAAGCTGCTTCGACATGCGGTAGCCTGAAGCAACAGTAGTTGAGCGTCTGCATACCAAGGATGATGACAGTCGTCGTTCCGTCTCCGACCTCCTCGTCCTGAGTGCGGCTCAGTTCGATCATGCTCTTTGCGGCGGGGTGAGAGACCTCAATTTCTCTCAGGATAGCGTGTCCATCATTCGTCAAGACAATACCACCCATGGGATCCAGAAGCATCTTCAGCATGGCCTTAGGTCCGAGACATGACCGGATGATGTCGGCAACGCTGCAGTTGACAATCCTGTATTAGAGACCGCGGCGGGGAAGGCGGAGGAAGTTTTACGTACGTCTTCGCAGCGGCGATGTTGGACAGCTGAGCTTTACGGCCAACCTGTCTGTCACCAGCGTTGGTGTCTGTACAACATGTCAGCGATTTAAGAGCAAGGACAGGCAGACCCCCTCAAAGCAACATACTCATTACCACCACCGGAGCCTGCATTTTGGCGGTGGTTCTTGGGCGTGTGTGGCGTAGGAGGGAATAAGTTTAGCGGAATCGAGAGAATTCTGCGAGGAAATGCAGAATCTGATCAACAAGCAGCCAAACTGAGAGGCCGTTTCGTAGGAGGGGGAATGGAGTTGTTGTGCCCGCCGTCACCATCAAATTTCCAGCGCTCCCCGAAGTGGGATGGCGGACAAGAAGCTCACCGCCACTAGTCCGCATCCGGTCTAGTGCCATCCTCCCCCTGATCTATCAATTCCACCTGCAAATAAATGTCTCGGTTTCTGTTCTCTACAACTCTACAAACACATGATGATGAATCCTGATTAATCTACTCGTTTATTTCTACGCTGCACACAAAAGCTGTTTCTAGTAAAGATTCTTTAATTGAAATGATAAAACCATCCATAACACCTATGCCCAAAATGGTATCTTGCCAACGCCAGGGCTAAATGAATAGCAAACCCATTTTAACGCTTCCAGAGCTTGCCCATTCTCTGGACACTCCTCCGCACTCTACAGCGCATGGAGGAGATGATTGACCTGCTCCCCTTTCGCTGTCGAGGAGCCGCTTCCCGATTATCGGCCAGCCGTTCTTTGCTACCCTCAGAATCGGTCTCATAGAGCGGTTTTCCTCGTTCATCCGCTCGCGGTTCGTAGAAGTTGGGAGCAAAGCGCTTCAACCTGGTCGAGGAAAGCTCAGGCTCGTACTCCGAGACCATCACATCTTGCGAGGATGTTTCCAGATCCCCATCGTTCGCGAACCAGATACTGTCCTTTCCGTAGGTTGCTGTAGCCTGCAGGCTCTGTGATTTGCGCTCGCGCCAATCCTGCTCCGGCTGACTTGATGACGCCTGGGCATTTCGGACATGGTGAGCTTCACTCATCTCTTGGTCTGCCGTCAGCCGCGCCATCATGTTTTGGAACCAGGTTTCCGCGTAATAGCTGTGAAACGTCGGCCGAGGAGGCCGGGCCCCTGTTCCAGGGCGAAGCCCGGTGCTGGCTCGCTGGAAATTGTGTACTCGCTCCAGCTGGAGCTGGCGCATCGCTTCTTGAAGGTGCGTGGGGAGCTGTGCTAGTGCCGTTTCGTCCAGGTCGTAGAGGACTTCGTCCTCGTCTTCGTCCTGGCTGACGTTGCCGGCATCCCTGTCGCGTCTGCGACTTGCCCACGGGTGTGGGCTGCTTCTGCCTTGTTGGGATGATTCAGGACTTGGGGGCCTCGCGGTCGGAATCATACGGTGAGAGGCCATGATGTTCGCGCAGTCGTGAAGGAGTTTGGAAGGATGCTGTAGCTCGCCGAGGAAATACCGAGATCGGGCCCAGATGCCGAATAAGGGAACAATGCCAGCGGGCTGCTGAGCTCGATCAAGTTATTGATCGTGGCTATATTGTCCTGAATGAGTATATCGAATAAGGAATCACAATAGGTCTTGACTAACCTCCTAAATCGTGAAGCAAGCATCAATTGGTCGCTATTCACGCTGTGAATGGTACAAAGTCGCGATAGATGTCTTCCGACAAGCATGTTCCTGCACGCCGTACAGCGAAGACAACGATGACGTCGAGTGTCATAAAGTGGCATAGGTGTGGCTAATGGGCATGTTTATATATGCAGACTTTCCGCCCGACAGCCCCATCAAAAAGAGAAGATGTCATGTACCAAGAGGAGAAGTCATTTTATAAGTTGTCTTTCGCCTGGGTGGCCTCTGCGTCTTAACGGGATTCTTCGATATGCGAATGGAGAATTTTCATAAGACAAGTCATATGCAAGAAAGACGGTGAGAACAAAGCAAATGGCCCCTGCAAGTTGTGGTGCCAGTGCATCGAGGACATGAGTAGAAAACGTATATTCACACAAAGTCAAAGCATATTAACTAGGGTGCCTCTAAACTCTTGCTGTACACACATATTAGTCGGACACTATGCTTGTTCTTTCGAAGCAAGATCAGAACTCGCGACTTTCGCCAATATCGCAGACATCGAATACCCCGGTTTCCGGCAAATCATGTTCTCTCAATGCCTCTTTCAGCTTCTTGGGCGGCTCAAGCACTTCTTCTTCGGTTAAAACCCATGTGCCCCAGTGAATGGCCATGGCTCTCTTGCATTGAGTGTCCCGGAAGATCTTGACTGCATCATGAGGGTCAGCGTGCATGGTGCTCATAAACCATCTGGGCGCATAGGCCCCAATAGGAATCAACCCTAGATCAAACGGGCCCCGGTACTGTCCGATCTGCTTAAAGGCAGGGCAAGTGGGGAAGTTGTGCTCGGGAGCATGATCGTCAATGCCAGCTGGAAGTTCTGGAACGGCTGCGTACCCGGTGTCCCTGTGGAAGGCGGAGATCTGGGTTAGGAAAATAGCGAGTCAAGCTCGGATCATCGATCTTGAACCTACCCAGCGAAGTATAATTTCTTGCCCCCGGACTCTATTGACCACGATGCCCAAAGAGTCTTTGCCCGGTCAAAGACCCCTCTATTACTCGTGTGCTGAGATGGGAGACAGCCGATTCGCGCTTTGATATCAGCAGACTGCGAATTGACGTCTTCTCCCGCTCCCGCCACTTTTGCCGTCGAGTTCTGGGATGGCGAGAGAACGAAGTCGCGTTCATCCCACCAATCAAGCTCTGTTACGTTCTTAATTCCGAGTTGCTCGAACCAGCTCTTGTTACCCAGGGGAGCAAAGAAATGGCAATTGGGGTGCTTTTTGAAGATTTCGGTGATAGTAGGATGAGACAGATGATCATAGTGGTTGTGGGAAATCACGACTGCATCGATGATAGGGAGATCCTGGATTTGGCAGGGGCTGTCGGTGTAGCGCTTCGGACCCAACCAAGACAGCGGAGAGCAACGATCCTCGAGGACCGGATCGAACAGGACGCGCAGGCCGCTGGGAAACTCGACATAGTAACAAGCATGGCCGAGCCAGGTCGCGCGCAGACTGGGAGTAGTGCGACTGGACAGGAACTCGGCCTTTGTGACAGGAACGGTGGGTGGTGTGGTGCTCGGAAACTTGACTTGCCCGGTGATCATCTGCCTTCAAGCAGTAGAAATCATGCGCGCGTCAGCTCATCAATGCATTGCCAACCGGCATGTCGTCGCTTCCTGCGTCCCCAACACTTACCACCAGAACCGTGCTGCATGACCGAAGGTGATATCTTTCCAAGAGCTAGAAATTGTGGTCAGAGCCTAGATCCGGCGCATTAGTGTCGGGCTTAGGGGCTGCTTACTCCCACGGATTATGAAAGCCATTCTTGCGGTGATGAGCTTTATCTTTGACATCGCTCGGACCCGGGGATCCCGGCGCGAGCAGAACAGTCGCCGAGTAGAGGATGGTTGAGGCCGGGGTACTCATTCTGCGCTTCTCAACTGATACAGCACGTGGAATGGGTATACTGTGACGATAGAGAGACTTCCAACTCCTCCAGAAAGCACACATTTCCCAAACCCCGTCCTTTGGGGGAGAACACGAACTCTATAAGGACCAAGGTTCACGGGTGTGCGTGGCTGACACGGATCGGGTATTGACTATGTTGGCACCTGCTGGTCACCATTGACAAGGGAAGGCTCAAAGGATTTTCTTCAAAGGATTTCTTCAAAAGCAAATCCCTGTCAAAGTAGGGATAAGATAGTTCGATCAATGCAATCACTTGATTTGTTTTTTATCTAAAGGGGGGAAGTGGACAAGTCTAGAATCTCTATTCACTTCCTATCTCCGCTACTTAACGCCGGCTGACTACAGAGTGGGGGGAAGCGTGGGAAGCAATTCCAATGGTAAGGGACAAAATACTGCGCAATGAACAGGGATGAGAAAAGAAGACAAAAGAAAGATAATTCCAGTGCACTCATAGTTTGACTATCCGCTAAGCTTGAATCTGTGATTGCAGAATTGACATGACATCACTTGCGGCTCTGTAGTTTGTGCTAACTTGCTAGTCTTGTTAGCCAGTCATACTAGTAAGGATTACTGTACTTAAGTTGATGGAAGCATGCGATCATCTCGGCCCGTCATAACTCCGGCCGGCTCGGAATTAACAGGCTCATCGCCGACTCAAGCAATCATTCATGATCCAGCGGTGGCGGTGCAGGCTGATTGTTCATTTCTTGGTATGGACCTCAATGGACCGTCAAGTACGCCAGGGCTGCCGTCGCCTGGCGATCTGATCGCGCAGCAACGGAAAGATGCCATCCAAGCGGCCGGGCAGCCCCCAGCTGAGGGAGGCCTTCTCGCGCAGCTTACCAGCAATCCTTTCTTCACAGCGGTAAGCCCACAGAAAGCGCCCGAGCAGGAATGGGTGTGGTTGAATGAGGAAGGCAACTAACGCTGCGCTGGAACTTTTAGGGATTCGGTCTCGCAGGTTTGGGAGCTGGTGTGAGTTTGGCGCAAAAGGGACTCCGCCATGGCGCCGCGCTCCTCCGCCGGCGCATGCTCGTTGACGTCGAAATCAACGTTAAGGACGAGTCTTATCCATGGTTTCTGCACTGGATGACCTTACATCAAAGCTCTCAACTCAACCCAGCACGCGCCGCAGCCAGCAGGTCTGGTTTCATGGAATCGATCCTCCAGAAATTGACCCCGGGAACACGCCATCTGTCCATTCAAACGGAAAAGGTGGAACACACCAACGGGGCCATTCATACCCAATTTGCCCTCGTTCCTGGCATGGGCAACCATGTGCTGCGATACCATAATGCCTTCATTTTCGTCAATCGAATGCGCGAGTCGAAGTCGGTAGACTTACACACTGGTAAACCGTGGGAGACCATCACGCTTACCACCCTCTACGCACATCGCCACGTTTTCGAAGAGATATTCAAGGAGGCGCACGCTTACGCGGTTCAGGCGCACGAAGGAAAGACTACGATCTATAACAGCTGGGGTACGGAGTGGAAGCCTTTCGGAAAACCGCGGAGCAAGCGCCCATTAGAGTCTGTGATCCTCGATGAAGGTGTCAAGGAGCGTATCGTGGAGGATGTCAAAGATTTTGCTGCGAGCTCGAAATGGTACCAGGACCGCGGCATCCCATACCGACGTGGCTACTTACTCTACGGCCCACCTGGCACTGGTAAAAGTTCTTTCATCCAGGCCTTGGCCGGTGAGCTGGACTATGACATTGCCATTGTGAACCTGAGCGAACGTGGCCTGACTGACGATCGGTTGAACCATCTTCTTACTATTCTGCCCAGCCGAACGCTTGTTTTGCTGGAGGATGTAGACGCTGCTTTCTCCAATCGTCGCACCCAGACCGATGAAGACGGATATCGCGGAGCCAACGTGACTTTCTCCGGCCTTCTCAATGCTCTGGATGGAGTGGCAAGTGCCGAGGAACGAATCATCTTTCTCACCACCAACCACGTCGAACGATTGGACGAGGCGCTTGTCAGACCGGGTCGGGTGGACATGACCGTCCGCCTAGGCGAAGTGACTCGTTATCAAGTGGGTTGTCTGTGGGACCGGTTCTATGGGGATTTGGATCAAAGCGCAACATACCGCCAAGCGTTCATCAACCGACTTCAGGAATTGGGACTTATTGAAGACGAAGAGGGGAACAAAGCAGACTGGGCGAGGAGCACCAGTGCCGCCGCCTTGCAAGGCCTGTTCCTGTACAACAAGGGCAACATGGAAGGCGCTATTGCCATGGCCGAAGGACTTATGTTCAGGGTCCATGCTGAATCTACGGATAACAGCAGTTAAAATCTGTATTGTAAACTCAGTCTCATGTAAATTAGGTCTACGCACAGCTTCATGTACATGTATTATACACAACCAGAGTTTGTTTTGTCCTGCCGGTGGAAGAAATGCGTGTTATGGCAGCTACGCGCCTAAGCCCTGAGGTGTCTGTGGCCCGACCAAACCGCTGATGTCACGCTGCATTGTTTCCCCCCGCTTCTCTCATCCTTCCATCCTTCAATCACGTCCACTGAAAGTCTTCCGCTTCATTATCTCTGCAACTTCCGGCTATAGATGGTAATAATTAACTTCAAAACAGAGTCGCCAGTCATGGTCGTTGAATAGGGCGAGCAAGTGATAATATTGCGCTATCCTGCCACATGCAGACGTCTACCCATGCACCTTTTCTTCACAGACCACGCGACGTCAAATCATGCATCACGGCCGATCAATTGCCCTTTCGGCGACATCTGACAGCCAAATCAGATTGTCCATCACTCTGCTGTCACTTCCGACGCGCCGTGCTGAACAAGAGTCACGCCGGTGCCAAAGCGGGTAGCCTATCACCGCCGTTGCAAGATGGGGAATCTAAGCGCCGGCCACGGCGTTCAGGGATCCATCTCGTTCTTCACCCTAGTGGTAGCCTGTCATGTCTCAGACCCTTGACGCCCTCCATAGAGGCTTATCGAAGGTTATAGGCCAAGCCTCAAGGTCTATGTCCCGCACCGCTTGGGGATACGAGGTTGGCGACTGCGTTGCCAGGCCGTCGAATATATCTATGCTTCATCGCCAATTGCTTTTCTTGTGGAAAACATTGGGGAACTGGCTCTATTGATACGTTCAACAGCGGAGCTGTGAAATCATTGTTCGACTATCTCACTGGACATTCTGAGTCAACTGTCCTCCAGGCACCATGAGCTCCTTTCAGCTCTTCCCTACGTCTCCGGAGAATGGGACCTCCAACAACCCGTTCTTGAAAGGAAAGAGATGGCAAGCCGGTAGTCGACCGGCAGCAGATTCAATCCCTCTCAAGAACCTCAGCAGCAAGAGTACCGTGACGGAGGGGATGCTCTTTCGTGTTGACGAAAACGCAGACAGCGTCCAATCACCCCCAAAAGCACACATTGCTAGACCAGCACAATTCTCGCCAGTAGGGAGATCACAGATGCAGCACACACACCGGACCGCTTCACCTGGTAATTCCACTATACCAGAAGACCGTCCCACAGGTACGGCGCGGTCTCCATCAAGCTCGAAACGCAGCAAAGAAGTGTCCACGCCCATCTCGTACGCGAGCCCTCCAAAAACAGATTCACCTGCACCGCCGATGAAGTCCATGTTCCCCCAATACAATCATCAGCTACCGCTCAACCAGCAAGCATACTATCCTCAGGCATCAGGTCATACCCCTCGCAATTACTCAAGACCGAGCAACATTATGCTATCACCTGCACCAGAGATTGATCAAGCTCTTGGACCAAAGACTGTGCCTGCGAGTGTACTGAACTTTCCCACCGGAGTGCTAGATATACCGGAGATGCGATACTCTTCTGCCACAGACCTGAGGAGCCTGTGGGAAGCGGCTAACGGTCAAAGACCACAGAACATGCCCGACACCTTCAATCTACGTCTACAACGGTAAGGATGACTTATCACCAGAGTGAGCTTGATTGCTGACTTTGAACAGGAGTGGCCCAACGATATTCTCTTTCGGAGATGCTACCTCACCGTTTTATACGATGCAGATTGAGCAAACCGACGGAATCTCTCTGACGAGGGTCAACCCATCGAAGCCCAACAACAATGTTCCTATAATGACATTAAAAGTGGAGGATCGGTCCCGGCGAGAGCTACGAGGGGACAATTTGGTCTCTCTTTTGCTTCCCCGCTTGGCCGCAGTTCTAGCCCTGGACCAGGTTGCGGAGATGGTAAAGGAGCATCAGTTGCCACACCAAGACGCTATTGAGCTGGAGGCCGAGGCCCTCAAGCGCGCAGCAGACCAGGAGTCCTGTAAGCTGTTTTGGAATTCAGCGAAGCACAATTACGAGTTACACCACCCGGCTCTCTGCAAGCAGCCCCCCGCACTAGTCGGAGCGGCAGGCATTCCTCTTTCACCGGTGCGATCGAGGTACTCCGGAATTCTCCAGATCACGGTGTCCAGTGCCTCCGCAGAGTCGCGGTACAGCCAACCGCCGATCATATTAGCAACCACGCCTCTGTCTGCGAATGTGTTAGAGTCAGCCAACACGGCGGCAACTCCCCGAACGTCTACACTTCCCTTGATGGACTCGGACGAGCCGCTGGCCGCCTTGGACCTCGGAACTATGACCCTGTCAATCTCTGCTACGTCAATCATAAACACGGTGCCGTCTCTGTATGCGATTGATTCACTTGTCGCGGCGATGCTGGCCGTCGCTGTGTCGGATGAGTCGACTGGTCCGATCCTGAAGGAGCTTGTTTTGTACGGATCTGACAGGTCAACCACTCCATGGGGGCAGTACAGCGCAGGTCACCGCGGAGACCTGGTTGTAACCGCCGCTGAGCGGGAAGAGGCGCAGAAAGGCAACCAGCTGTGGTCGGCCGTGAAATCGGCTCTAACCGTCTCCGAGAAGGACGACACCAAGCAGTGGTACCAATTCTGGAGGCGCAACAAAGTAAAGAAACCAAAGAATCGGAAAATCGTGGTTGAGGAATTCGACATGGAGAGATACGGGCGGTACGGGCAGGGCTCCTCAAGGGAGGGGCAAAAGCTGCCGGGGATCACGCGAATCATTCTGAGGATTGTGTTTTTTGGTCTAGATGTGGTTGTGCAAATGCTGACAATGATAGTCAAGGTATTTGCCTGGCTGTTGGTGAACGCCACTCGCTGTGTCACAAGCGAGCGGTTCTGATTTCTTATGATTCCCACGCTTTGACTCTGATGTTGATATTCCATTTGAACAATTTTTTAAATGACTAGGGACATGCATATCATTCCAAACTTGCCGCCGTGCTGTTACATTTCATTGACTGATTCGATCGCCTCTTAGATGTGGGCCGTGTAGATCATGCTGAAACTGATTTGATTCGCTTCTGCCAGTGACAAGCATCCAGTGGACGTGATACATTGAGTTCGGAGATACATTCACCGCGAGCATACCTTACTATGTCGAGACATTCCACCACATTCCTGCCTTTCACAGTGCACCACACCCCCACTTTGTCAGCCAAACGCATTGACAGGGAGGCTGGCCCCGGAATCCAGGGGATGGCGAGCAGATCTGGACCGAGTAGCATATACTGTGCCGGTATATAGGACGAAGACCTCAACACCACAACATGCCATCGCACCGCCCAGCACTTACCAAGCCTATTGTCGTTGAATCGAGACACACATACACCGGTGCACCGGTGCACTCATTGAACATAATGCGCACAATCCTGCTGCTTTCCACGATCACCCTCGCGACGGCTACAACAGACAAGGCCCTGGGATATCTGCAATGCGCCGTGAGTATATTCTTTTGTGAGGGATTATCGCAACCGGCTAACGTCACAGTCTGCAATCGCTCGCTCCTACCACGGTCCGCAATGCTCGTCCCCCTCGGCGCTGGACTGCTTCTGCAATTCGCCTTTTGATCCTTCCGCGCTGGACCAGGCTACTCTGGATGATTGTGCCAGCGAGGGTGTTGGTACGAGTCCCCTGATGAACGTGATGGGCGTGAGCTGACCACATGACAGAAACGCAGGATATCCCCAGCTACATCTGCAACGATGCCAACGTGCCCGTGTCGCCTCGGAAGGGCAGTACCCCAATGGTGCGCATCGGCGTCATCGAAGATAGCGGCAGCAGCAACAGCAGCAGCACAGCTATCCCGGCCCTTCAAAGAGGCAGCCACCCCATGGTCCGCGTAGGCACGACAAAAGAGATCAACAACATCGACCTGAACACAAGCATCAGCCCAATGACCCCCAGCAGCACGGCAATCAGCCCAGCGGCCCACAGAGGCAGCGCACCGATGGCCCGCGTCGGCGACATCAAAGCCAGCAGCAGCAGCAGCATGGCAACCCCCAGCCCCAGCCCCAGCCCCAAGGCCAGCGACACAGCCGCTCCACGAAGAAACAGCCTCCCAATGGCCCGAGTCGGCACGATTGCCACCAACAACAACACCCTGAAACCGCGAGCCTACACACCAAACCTCCACCCGAACCCGCTCCCTCTGCCCGAGAACCTCCCCCTCCCAACAGACGATAGCCCACCCCCCTCCCCATTCCTCCCTGCTACCGCCGAGCAAGAAGAGAAAAATATCCCGCTGCCGCTGGACACCTTCTCCCCATCACCCCCACACACACCCCTCTCGAACCCAGACGAAACCCCAGAAACCCACACAACCACGACCCCCCTTTCAAACGAGATCCAAGATCAAGACCAAGACCAAGACCAAGACCAAGACCAAGACAAAAATCAAGATCAAGTAATCTACGACCTCACAACCGCCCAAACAACAGACTGCGCCTGCTCCAGCACCAGCACCAGCACCAGCATCAGCGCCGCAACAGCGACAGCGACAGCAACAGCAACACCCTATCACGTAGCCCCCGCGCCTCAAAACAATCCCCCCGCTCTCGCAACAGAAACACAGGAAAGCACAAGCGAGAGCCCGACATCCTCCCCATCCAGCACGACCAATACAGAAGTTGAGAGGGGAACGAGTCCAGCCGCAACGTCGGACGCCCCCGCCACATCCTCCACACTCACCAGCACAATGACCACCATCGCTGATAAGAGTACCTCCGTGCCCACCTCCTCAGTACTAAAGGTCGTGACGGTTGCGGCTTCGAGCACGAGCACCAACACTAACACCGAGTTCGCGACGTCGACGGGGAGGGGGCAGCCTGGGTTACAGACTGGGGGGTTGTTTGAGGGTGGTGCGGCGGGGAGGAGGGGGGGTGATGCTTGGTTGGTGGTTGTGGTTGTTCTTGGGGTTGTAGGGTTTGAGCTGGTTTTCATTTGATCTTGATCTTGGAATTTTGGGGGGGGATTGTTTGAGCTGATGCCTTCGTTGGATCGTTAGTCTTGCCTGGTGGGAGGGTATGGGTTTGTTTTACAGTGCTGGGATGTCAAAAATGATGGAAAGAGGATGTGTCTTTGCTGGGTCATGTCCGATACAATCTGGATGGTTGCTTGGTTGGGTAATGTTTGACGTAGTATGACTTTAAAAACTGCGGTAGCTTATGAGGATATGAATTATTGTGTTTCACTTCACTCTTCAAAGGGATAGAATAAACATTATGGCTATCTTTCACGTGTCTATAAACTCGATGACCTACTATGCAAACAAGGATTTACTACAGGTGAGGTGATAAACGCATCCACACCCGAGAACGGGTCACCTAGACCCATACCCCGACCCAGAGGATACCGCGAGGGGAACACACTGGAAGGAAATACACAAAAATCAAGCATGAACCGCCTGCTGCACACGGGGATACAGCTGCACCAAGCGATGCCACAAATCGGGATGTTGAGCAATCATAACCTGGGGATCCCACGCCATAGCCGCGAAGATCGTCTCGATCCCCGAGCTCATCGGCGTCATGAAAATCTGGCAAATCTGAAGCCCTATCACAAACGCGAATGCCATAATCACCGCCGTGAAGTCCCCGCCCGCATTATACGCGGGATGCGTATAGCGCAGGTACAGATACGCGAGGAGGGCGCTGACGTAGCTGACGAACACAGAGCCCATGGTGAGGACGGGGCCGATCAGGCAATCGGCCGCTAGGGCGTCGACGCCGCGGTCCTTCATCATGGACCAGGTATCGCGGGCGGCGGGGAGGTACGCTTTGCCGTACAGCGCGATGTGGCAGAAGGCGTAGCGGTTGAAGAAGGTGACCAGCCAGTCCAGCAGCGAGATCAGACACCCCAGCACCCAGAACGCGATGCTGCCCACCACGCTTCCCTGCGCCGCTTCCTGTCGCTGCGCCACTGAGCATGCTTGGCGCAGCATGTTGATCAGCGCGATGATCAGGCTGCCGAAGCTGATGCTGCCGAAGGAGTAGGTCGTGGCGCGTCGGAGCGCGCCCCGCGTGGCGCCTTTCGGCAGACCCGGTGATGCGTTGCTGCTGGGTTTGCCGCCGAAGAAGTACCACGACCCGTACACCCCCGCGATCGTCGTGTGCACCGTGTTCTTCAACCACTCGCTCACCCAGTACATCGCGAACGTCACGTACACCACCAACCCGATCACTCGCGCCGTGCTGCACCCGCCGCTGCCGTCGCGACATGCGGGGTTCGTGGCTCCGCTGCGTCCGTCCGGTTCGTACGCGACGTAGATGGAGACTAGCGTGACGGAGAACCAGGCGCCCAGCGCCACGGATAGGAGCCCGCCGACGGCGCTCACCAGGAACATGTGTCCGTAGTGCCGCGACACGTCGATGGACGTCTGCATCATGAAAGCCGTGAACGGGATGCGCGGGATCCAGCTGATGAAGCAGATGATCGCGAACACCCCGAAGATCAGGAACACAATGCCCCCGCCCCATTGGTGCTGCGTCAGGTAGTAGATGGCTGTCGCTAGCGCAAACACGATGTTCAGGATCCCTGTTACCCAGATGAAGAGCTTCGGGAAGTAGCGCGCCCCCAGCCAGTATGCGTACGAGAGGACTAGCGCCACGCACAGTACGAAGATCAGGAGGATGAGCGTGTTGGTGTTTAGCGAGAAGTCATTGGCTGAGTCGTAGATGCCTCCGCCGTTGTACCCTTTGTATTTGCTGTAGCGGTAGATCACTACCCCCGACACTGCGACATAGCCGAGGAATACGGCGATGAGCTGGAGGTGGTGTTAGTGGTGGGTGTGGTGGTAGCTGGAGGGTCGCGACATACCAGGAGACCGGCCCAGAGGTCGTTCCACTTCGGTTTCTCGACCTTGAAGGCTTCGTCGAAGCCGTACACGGCTTGGTTGTACGTTGGCGGTGGTCCCTGCGGCGGCTTCGGCTCGGGGCCGCGCTGATACCCCCCGTCGTTAGCCTGGTAGGGCTGCGATTCTGCCCCCTGGGAGTATCCATTGTTGTAGATGGGCTGCTGCTGCTGCTGCTGCTGAGGCGGAGGGCCGCCAAAGCTCTGGTCGGTGTTATAATAACTGGCTGCTTGACCGCTCATAGCTGCATCATGTGGGTGGCCAACAAGTGCGAAGAGGAAGAGGATCAAAGGTCTAAATAAGAGGCTTACAGTAAGTGCAGGCAGCGAAAAGCGTTATCAGAGCGGGAATAAGACATGTGCGTAAGGGGTAGCGAGACATGAGAGGAAAAGAAATGACGAGGAGAAAATCCGCATGCGGCGTTGGCCAGAGTTGGCAGGGGAGAGAGAAAGGTTACACACACCCAACAAGAGCGCGTCATGGTGAGAGCATTGATCGTCTCCCGCCGAACCCGTTCCATGGCTGCCTCAAACTTAATCTTATCCAGATAAATTGATCTACCTACAGTAATACACTATCAGTAAAAAAACCAGCTATCACAAAAGAAACAATAATTGCCACTCATTCGCGTTCATCCTTCTTCTGCATCTTCTATGTACAGTCCCTGTCTGCCCTCCGGTCCTTTCATTAGGTATTAGCCGGCATTAGTAGCGATCGAAAACAACCATGACCGGACGGCAAACAACTCAACAACCCCCCGCAAATCAGAAACACGATCTAACATATGAGAAGCTGAACGGAGTGGTGGAAACACACGAATCAAGCTAATTTGGGTATCAATAAATACATAGCATGCCCCGCCGGGCAACCCGCAACGCCCTCGTCCTTTTCTTTCATCGAAATCCATGGTGCCGCTTCATGTGTCGCCAGCCATCAGCGATACTGCGCTCAATCCCATGAGTCGGAGTCCGGGAGCGTCCTTGCGCCCAGTCATCCGTCGCGGCCTGAAGCTGACCCATGTTCATCGCGCGCGAGCGACGCATGTTCTCCTGTCGCACAGCCGCCCGTCGCGCCGCACGGAGTTCCTCGATCCGTCCCTGTCCAACCCGATGCCGCCGGACAAAGCAGTCATCGAGCAACGAATTTGCATCGAGCAGCCTTTTGGGGACGGTCTGCACAACCTGGAATACTTCCATCGGGTCTGACACCGCCATGATATCCTGCTCGCATGACTTAAAGATAGCCAACGAGACCCGGAAGAACGTCTTGGATCCTTCGTAGAAGAAGACATCCCAGACGCGGAGCGTGGTCTCCAATGGCAAGGTGCCGATAAATACAGACATGAGCCAATTCGTCAACCCAAGGGTAATGTCTGGCAGGCGCGAGCTGACAGTGAGGGCAGGCACCTTGCCATTACCCATGCCAGGTCCGCTTCCAGCAATCTTGTTGTAAATGCCAGGTGCCGATTCCTTGAGTAGCACCATCAGAATCCACAGGTCGATATTTGCGCCCTCGAGGCTGATCTCATGGGTGCTGGGGAGATAGACAGAGCTGATGATGTGCAACATCCAGAAGGTCTTCTCTTCCGGGAGAAACAATAGTAGCATTCCCGTGATGAAGTTCAGTGACTGGGTGTATCCGATCCGCGTGTTGTGGATGGCAAATGCATACAACACGCGCCGCAAAGATTGGATCATCTCAGTCTCAACCGTGACCGAAGCGTGCCTCGGATTGCTGCTACCGGAGCTAGCGGCCGAGTCCACGGATTCGGGCTTGAAGTGGATGTTGTCCGGAAAGGTGCGATGCAGATCACGTTCGATATGCTCCTTGTCGTCGTTGCTGGGGGACTCCATGGATTGTCGAACGAGCTGGTCGTAGAGGCCGGGATTGCGGTTCAAATGCTCGTAGCCTCCGGCATAGTAGAACCAGGCTGCACCGCGGTATTCGGATGGAATTCCCTTGCGCACAAACCGTTTGATCTTGTTCGATTTCGGAGGGAAATGCGTCGGCTCAGTGACAGGCAGTCGACTCTCTCTGAGCAGCTCCACCCATTTAGTTCTCCGGTGAGAGGCGTAATCAGCATACTGACCGTGCCACGCTTCGTACTGGTCGAGTGTGACGTGGTGGGTCGCCTTCCGGAAACCATAGCAGTCCCGGGCGCCAGTGCCGGGTAGCAATGGCGGTGGCACAATGCCAGGAATGACGACTGTGGTTTCCTGCTCCTGTGCAACAGGCTGGTCCAAGAGTTTGCGTTCGGAAGGGGGGTCCGGCAGCTGTTTAGAGGAAACAGCCTCGCCCAGAAATTCCTCATCAGGGGAGCTTCTCCCATGGGCCTCCAACTCTGGAAGTGGTGGGACGGGCGCGACGTCTTCTGTGGGCTCCAATTCAGGAGAATGCTCGTCAGAGCTATGGCAATCATCCAAGGTGATCTCTGTCGGCGGACGTGGGCTCAACGGTCTGGCCTTGCCCTCGTCATAAAAGCCCGACGAATCGTACATCCCTGGTGACCCGGGCTCCTCTGTAACATCGCTGAAGCCATCGAGATACATCGAGATCGCATCCTCCACACTCATGCCGCCCTCCTTATCGTAGGAGCCATCCGGGGTGTCAGGCGACAGGTCGGTGATGGAGCTACTCTTGGTGAGGACACTGCTCCGTTCGGTTCCGCTGGCATGTTCGATGCTCGACCGCGACGTCATGGCCGAGTTCACGCTGGAACGAAGAGCATCTTGTCCGCGCATCTCTGCGTATGTCCCAGGGGGGATGATTCGAGGCAATGTCAGTCCGGTGGATTCGTCTGGCAGGCGCTCTCGACTGCGATGAGGGTACGGACGCATGTTATGTAGTTTCGACGTGGAATTGGACGTGCGCAACCCTACTGGACCAGGCGGGGCCGTCCGGTAAGGTGGACGATCGACCTCCCCTTCTCTTGGGGGGGCCGCCCTAGAGCGAGCCGGCGGCTGCAGAGGAAAGGTGGGGGAGCGGTAAGCCTGCTGGCGAATGACGAAGCCATCATCCTCCACAGGTAAGGGAGAAACCGAGCCCCATGAGGGATCGGACGGCGGCGGGATTGGTGGACGAGTTCGAGGGGAACGAGGCACAGGAGGTGGTGGGTGAGTCGAGAAGGGAGGCCGAAGGCCGTCCGCCGTGGCAGGTCGTGGGAAGGGAGGGTTGAGTCTCAGAGGATCTAGGCGGGGTGGATTCGGGATTCGGCGTCGGCTAGGGATATCATGCGCGCCAGTAGGGGGCGGCGGATAGCGAAAGTCTCCATTTCCTGTGACCATGGCCACGAGCTGTTGATGAACCCCAGTTCCCGCTGGACATTTGTCGACAACACTTGAGTGGAGACCGGAGGGGGCGAACGCAGGCGAATCGATAATTCTTCAATAACCGATTCAGAGTGGACTTGGGAGTTGAAAAGAAGAGACTGGAGTTGACTGATAGGAAACGAGAGGAAGAAGGAATAAAAATAGGCGCTTATAAGGAGCCAGGGGTGGAGCGAGAGGGCGATAAACGAGCGAAGAATAAGTTGAGTGCGCTGGCTAAGTTGACAGGCGCGTAGATGAAACGAGCGGAGGGAAGCGAAGCGTGTGTAAGCGTAGGTAAGTAGTTACAATAACGGTCATGCCTCGTTCAGCCCAGAAAGGAACAGTCCAACCGCAAACTCACGATCCTACCAGAGGGTCAATTCGAAACTCCATCCCATGACAGATCGAGTCGAAAAGAGAAGAAAGGGAAGTAAGAAGGGGAGGGAGAGGGAGGAAGTGGAGGGATAAAAGTGAGTGAAAGAGAGAGAGAGAGAGAGAGAAATGGATTCAAACCACGAGCGGAAAGGGAAAAGGGGAAAAAAAAATGGCGGCGGATCTGGATCGGGGCTAGCGTCAGGCTCGAACTGGAAGCAGACCCTGTGCGGTTTAGCCTCGTATGAAGCATTACCGGTTTCTTTACATTTTACTCACATCTCTCGTCCTTTGCCAGGAGTTTCAGACTGACGCCAGGATGAGATCAGTCCAACTGGAGCTCGGGTTTGATGTTGATTGTAATAATCCCCCCCTCTTTGGGGGCTCAGTCTCTGCACTCTCGGATGCACAAGGGGGGTTTGACTTGGGGAGTTACCCAAAGGACAACTTGCTGTAGTCACTACCAACCTACAGTGGACTGATCAATCAGACAACCCAAAATCCACCCATCTATCATATCAGCTTCTCCCCCTGCTGACAGGTCAGTCACTTACTTGCATCCGCGGATGCAGGCTGCATGGTTAGTGTCTGCACTGCCGCCGCACCGGAGAAACTCAGGAAGGATCCGACCCGTACTGTAAAGTAGGTTTACAGTTTACAGATCCGATGCTGACAATCTCGGCTTCTCAACGGTGTTGGCTGTTCGGGCCTTGGACAGACAGATCTAATGATGCCATCCCAAAAGAGAAACCTGTTTTGTTCAATTTCACCACCTCTGCATTTCTTACAGTTGGTATGGTTCATACAGCAGTGGGGCGCAACTGGGTTTCAGTCTCCCTTGGGCGCCCACTCGGGGAAGCTTCAAAGTTCGCCGTGGCTCGCCCAGCTGGGCCGTCTCTACCAGAGGAACTGACGGGTCACTCCCGTCGGTGGCTTTGACACTGTTGACTGAGTGAGCGAGTGATTGAAGTATGGAATGGGAATAACCCAGTTCTTCTCGAGATCTTTGCGCCTGTTGACTCTATGGTACACAACCCTATCATCGAACCGGACTCTTCGGAGTAACTTATCTCCTGATCTATTGATGCTGACAACTGGGTGCATTTTTATTGTTCCTGACTCAGGTGGGGGCCGACAATTGGACGATCGTCCCGTGATTGCTCCCCACAAGCCCGGCGGTACCTGAGGTTTTCCCCTTCTTCCCTAACTTAGGAAGTCCCTTCCATCTTCCCCTTCAGGCACCATTCAGGCATTGCCAGTAGTCGCCAAGTCAGAGCCAACCAAGAATAAGTTGGACTCTTCCATCAGTTCCATCAGGAACACCCTCGCAGGGCCCGCTTTTCTTCCATTGACGTTATCCGCAAACTCGGTTCTTCAACACCTTTGGCCCTTGGGGCCTTGATAGAAAACTGTCCCGCTTGACTTCATCTCCACTTACGCCCGGCTAATAATCGTTCCATGGATCGCTTGACTCGCTCCCCGTTCGTTCACCCAACGGGCCTCCATCTGTTGATTCCTATAAGTAAAAGCCCCGAGATGCTCAGGCCTAGACCTCTGCTGGAAAATTCTACCACCAACCCGATTTCCACGTCAACTAAACAGCCGAGTTGGCGACGGAAGCGAACCAGCCTCATTATTGCCCGCACCAGCATCACCGTCCAGACGCCGCGGCCGCCATGCCACGTTCAGAACCGACACACCACGCGGTGTTTGATCAATGATCACAGATCTCCCTAATCATGACAATAGTCTCACGCCCTGGCGCAATCTTAATTCGGGGAATGCGGTCATGCGGTGGGTCTTGGCGATGACGAACATGTCAACCATTCATTTAAATATAGTCGAGCGCGATCCTCGTCTCGTTGGCGCCGTGCTGGGCGCTTAATCCGATTTGGTTTACCTGTCGACAATCCCTCTCGCCCGGGTTAATTAAGATTATCGTTCTATTTCCTGGCAATCTCTCTTCCCCGGGCCAATGACCATGTTCGATTTTTCACAACTGCGTCATCGCTGTTCCTTGAGTTTGCATAGAGCACGGACTATTGCTCGCATCCTGCAGTCCAGCGTGAGTTGAAGCCAGGGTTACATCGAAATCTCTTCGTTCAACGCGCGCATAGACCACCCCTCGATATCGGCTCAGTCATTCGACCGAATCCAGCGGGGAAGAAGGTTTTCATTAGGCTCGGTAGAAGAAGCGACGATGGCGCTACGAGCGGACTGGCAGTTCCAGGATTTGTCCAAGGCTACTCTAACAAGCAGGCTCTTCAGTAGCCGGACCTGAACCAAGCGCATGCCTTCCCGCCTCGTTTTACCCCCAACATCTGCAGCCTCGCTCGATTGTGTTTCGGACCTGCTGACAGCTGCAACCAACGTTTGTAACGGCTGATCCAACGTCATCATTGGATTAGGCAGGAGTTGAATGATCTACTTTTTGCTCGCGCTACAATTATCTTGGAAAGAGGCTGCTTGGATAGCCGGAAGAAGGCTGTTAACTAACCGGGTTGTACTGTACTACGTAGGGACTGTCCATGCTACGTCTAGACGGATAGCGACGCTAACCAGATTCCAATCGGAGCAATGATCGTTTTAGAACTTCTTGTGAAATAAGCCTGATTGGGCTATACTAGTAGCTGTCAGGGCGGTCATAGAATGACAATTCGGCCACTCATTGCTGTTGTCCATGCACTTGATCAACACAATAAAGTGATCGGCTGGTGGCGCATTTGATCTCAGCACGGGGAAACCATATTCTACGCAAGTACGCGATTCTGGGCCTACCTGTCTGACAATATGTAAAGTGCACTCTGTAACGTCCATGCCTCAGAACCTACGGACGGTAGCGATGCGACATCCTCCTTCGTAGACAATATACCCTGCAGCCATGCAGCCGAATGCAATCAATTCATGCAAGCGTCTATTGACGACAACGCTATCTCGAAAGAAAAACAAGAAACAACAGTGAACGAACTCCATCCCACCCTCTCAAGCAACATCCTCATCATAGAACCAGTAGATAGAACATGTATGTATGTATATTAAGTACGATGCGATGTGAAGCCGACGCCCAATCCTCCTTCCTCCCCACACCCTAACCGACCAACACAGAGTGTACTAGTATCGACCCTCAACCCCCAAGCAGCACCAATATCCTATCCTATTGCCCCTATTCAACCCCCAGGGAACCGAATAACCCCAGGTCTACCCCCAGGGAACCGAATAAACCCCCCTCATGCCCGCCCAGAGGAAGAGGAAGAAGCATACTTCCGCGTCCACTCCCTCGCCACCTCCTCATACCTCGCAAAATCACTCTTATACTGCTCGGCGATCCGCCCCTCGACCGCATCATCCGGCATCGGCTCCGCCAGCAGCTGCCGCGCGAACTGCAGCACCGCCTGGATCCGCGAGCTGGGCTTCCACTCGTCCGCCCGCAGCATCCCCAGGCACATGCTGCCCTTGTCGTCGTTGGTCACGTTCGGGTGGTAGATCTTGGTCCGGAAGGAGACCGTCGGTGGTTTGAAGGGGTATTCGGTTGGGAGCGTGAGGGTTAGATGGAAGGTTCCGTTCTGTAGGCCCCGGTCCCCAGGGGTGGGGGGAGGGGTGGTTAGCTTGGGTTCTTTGGGGGTGTTTCTCTTGGTTTGTTTCGGGGGGTTGGACTGGGGGTTTGGACTGGGAATGTGTAAGGATGTGCGTACCTGGTAAGGCGAGTTTTCCGGCCCCTCCATGTAGACGTTCCAGATGTACAGGTTCGACTCGTCGGCAAGCTTGACTGTTATCCCTTCGGGAGCGGTTTCGGTGAGTTCGGCGAGTTCCTGGTTCTGTGGTTAGAATTTTGTTCTTGGGTTTGAGTGCGGGGAGGGGGAAAAGGGGGTTACCTTTGCTATGCGCTTTTGGCTTCCCATTTTGGCGGTTTGCTGCTCTTGGCTTTGTTGTTTTGTCGGGCGTGGTGAAGAGTTGGTCGAGGATGGAGATGAAGATGAGGTGAAGCGAGCGGGGTTCGGAGGGTGAAACTGTCAACAGTCAGGAGCCTGATAGAAACAAGTTCGAAACACGCACTGAAACCCACGAGTCGGAGAATGTCAGATAAATGCAAATAGATGTGCGGGCTGGTTGGCTCAAGCTGGCTAGAACTGGGACTGGAACTGAACTGGACTGGACTGCGACTGGAACTCGAACTCCAGCTGGAAGCTCCTTTCAGGTGGCATGGCGGGGCGGGGCACGGGCGGGGCGGAAGATCCGCCGGAGTGGAAGACGTCAGTCTCTCTCTCTCTCTCTCTCACTCTCAGCTTCTCAACTCAACTCCGCCTCATGCACTCAACATGCCACTCTCATTTATACCTAGGGCTTCGTCGCACACATTCAATACCTGTCATTGTTCTTGAATATACAATATCGAAGTTGACAATCTTGAGTAATACAAAGGAGACAGAACCGAAATATATTAAGAGCAAAGGAAACACGAAAACCCCGGACTTCAATTCCAGTCTAAACAGCTGCGGCCCCGTCCTTGGTGTTGCCAATGGTGGGGACACTTCTAGCTGTTTCACCCTCCCAAAACCTCTCTTGTCTGCCTCCGTTCTTGCACAGGCCGACCAAGTCAAAGGGATCGAAAAGAGTGAGGAGGAACGGGCGGTGATCATCATAGCCTGGCCCTTCCAGCTCGGTGATTCCATCCCGGGCTAGATAAATCTTACAGGAGCGTGGCAGCCATTGCATGGGATGAAAAATGTTCAGCATGGTGGTGTTCATATACATCACAGCCGCCTCGAACAACCAGAAGAACCACTCGTCCTTGAGGACCGGACTGATGTCTTGGATGTTGGACACGTTCAGGCTCGCCGCAGTGAAGTACTCCACCGTCCGATATATCGTCCGCACGGTGATCAGCCCGCAGCTGCAGTATAGCACACACAACGCGTGCTTGACCTTGCGGTTCAGCACCCCGCCTCGACGACAGTTGTAGTGGAATTTTGAGGTCAGCGCAAGGAACCCGGCCATCAGCACTAGCTGCAAGATCAGAGACGCCTTGAGCAGCCCTTTGCCGATGTCTTGCTTGCGCTGTGTGTTCTCCACGTTGGCCACCAAGGCGCCACCGTTGCCAGTTAGCACCTCGATCACCAGGCTCATGGCGAGGAACGTCGTGAAGACCCGTCCCGGGTGGATCGGTGAGTGGTATGGGATGTAGTAGAGGATTCGTCCGAGAACCAGGTAGTTGGCTGCTTCGTAGACCGGTCTCGACATCTGTCAGTCTGGACATCTTTCCCAGCGAGAGCGGTTACTTACGGGCCAGCGAGTAGAAGAACGGTGCTGATAATGTAGATCACCAGGTTGTCCCAGTGGCCCCAGGCGGCAACTGCACGCAACACAAAGCCGCCCGTGAAGAGCATCGCCGACCAGGGCAGGAGCCCGGTCACTTTCCATGACTTATACTTTCTGCGGCCGTCAGCAATCATCGCGAAGGTATGAATCGATCTTGCGTACCTGCATTGGTAGATATGCCAGATGCCAGAGATGGTGAACCAGATGGCGAAAGTAATGGGAGCCCCCTTGTTAGGAGCATAGTACCATAGACTGTCCTCCTCTATTACATTATCAGTATTTCAATTTAGACCTCGTATGCAACATCAGGCTAAAGTACATACGGTACGGCGATCTTTTTCCAAGCATTGCGATGTCTGGGCTGAAGGATATCGAAAATCAAATTGGCTAGTAGATGTCGCTACGCTGCTTGGAGAGATATAATAAAGAAATTAGATATAGAAAAGACGTCCAACATCATTCCCTTGTGCCCATGAGGGACCCCGAAGATATATAACGGCCAGCATGTGGCAGGGCGCGAGTAGCGAAAACGAGCAACCTCTATCCGGTATTCAGCCACGGCCCTATGACAGGGCCAAGATGTGCCTCTGACTTGGACATCCCACCTTAATCGACCACCTCGGGGGCTGGGTCATAGCCTTGTGGCCCAATCGTCCACCACGGTGATCGCCGATGAGACCAGCAACAGATCTCTCTCCATAATGTAACCGGTGCGTGAGTTGACTGGCTGGACAACATCAAGCCTTCTTCAAATTCCCACCTGATGCTGAAGCTAGCCTGTTGGTTCCAACTCCTTGGTTCTGAGGGACCCTGAAGGACACGCTGGGAGACTTGCACTTGACGATCTCCGCGGACAACAAGCGAATACGAGCAAGGCTGTGCTGGTGATGATTGGCTTCACGGATCCAGCCTCGAGGGGTCTGCTTTTGCAGGTCAACAGGGCTGTGTGATCGGAATAAGGTTGACACCGTATAAGCTATGTGAGGAGTCATTTGGGTGGCAGTCTGTCATTGTTCCAAGTTACAAGGACCTTAAGGGCAGTGAACTAAGAAGAAAGAAGGGTTGATGCCTCACCATGGGGGCACCAACCCCGGATTTTCCCCGATCCGGAAGGCGTTGCCGGGACGACACAAACAGCCCGATTCGGACAAGAGCCATCAACATAACGTGACGTGACCTTTCCAATCGCCATCTCCAGCTCTTTGCACTTGCAGCAAGGCCAAGAACGCCGCAATATCTCTGCTCGAAACAGGAACGCCAGCCTTCGATGCGGACAGGCACTTACTAACCAGCAGCAAACATGACTTCCACAAAACCCGCTCCCGCATCCCTGTTCCAGGTCTATCTTCGCCTGCGCCCTCCTATGTCCCAGCATGAAGAAGACCAAGCCGAACGTTGCTTGACCATCGAGCCTGCAGACCAGAAATACACCACAGACGACGAACAAAATGTATCTCCTACCCATATCACTCTGCAGCCACCGAGCGACTCCCGGAAGCGTGCCGTTGAGAAGTTTGGCTTCACAAAGGTGTTCGACGAGTCCGCTTCTCAACTGGGCGTCTTCGAGGGTACGGGACTGGAGAGTTTGATTAAGGGCGTGTTGTCGGAAGGGCGCGACGGCCTAGTTGCGACCTTGGGTGTCACAGGTAGCGGAAAGGTGGGATTGTCTAAGCGAGGTACTGGATGGTAATGCTGACGAGAACAATCTACAGAGTCATACCATTCTGGGCTCTAAGACGCAGAGAGGTATTACTCAGATGAGCTTGGATGTGATCTTCCGGTCCCTCGCTTCGACTATCAGGCCCCTCGACAACTTTATCAGCCCCCTGCTTCTATCCTCTGTTGCTGCCGCCGATGCTTCCGAAGCCCAAATCTTCAGTGCGCAAACGTTCCTCGAAGCCGTATATGGCGAATCGACCGATCGTGGCAGAAGTCCCAGAGCTCAGACCCCGATGAGCGCTGGGAGAGCCCATACTCCCATGGCGGTACGGAGCCCTTATCCCCAGCCTACTCTGCAACCTACCCCAAAGCTTCAAGTGTTGGTCCCTACAAGCTGTCAATCGTCCGCTGCGTATGGACCGCATCCAATCTCGAAACCGGTCAATGGAGGCCTCCCCACTCCTGGCCTGCCCAATCCCCTTTTTATACGCTACAATCGCAAGGAAACGGATGGCAAGCCACCAGGCTCTCGTCTGACCACTCCTCGCAGTCGCTGGAATCCCTATAAAGCATGTTGTGCTAACTCACCATTTTTCGCATTGAAGGAACCCATGCCAGCTCTCATATTTCCCCGTCGTCAAATGCCGTTGCGGGCTAGTGCCCTTCCTCGATCGCCCGATGTCAGTCATCTCACAATGGAGCTCAACCCACACTCGGAATACGTTGTTCTCGTGTCGATGTATGAAGTGTACAACGATCGCATCTTTGACCTTCTCTCGCCGGCCATAGTCCCTGGACAAGGAAGCACAATGACCCGCCCGGGAGGTACGCAGAAGGATCGGCGCAGACCTCTGTTTTTCAAGTCCACGGAGGGCTCGCCTGACCGGAAGGTCGTTGCCGGACTGCGCAAGATTGCATGCAGCACTTACGAAGAGGCTTTATCGGTTCTGGAGGTTGGACTTACCGAGCGCAAGGTCGCGGGCACGGGGGCCAACAGCGTCAGTTCCCGGAGTCATGGGTTCTTCTGTTTGGAGGTCAAGAGAAGGATGCGCAACAAGAGGACCGGTGAAGAGACGTGGATGGGCAATACACTCACTGTGGCAGATCTAGCTGGTACGTGTCGGAGTCCTTCCCCACGACATCTTGATACTAATTAGGCCTTAGGCTCCGAGCGCGCGAGAACTGCAAAGACGGCTGGATCTACTCTTGCTGAGGCAGGCAAGATTAACGAAAGCTTGATGTATCTTGGGCAATGTCTACAGATGCAAAGCGATATTCAGGAAGGCAACAAGGTATGCCACCCGAAGACACTCCTGCTTGACGACTCTGCTGACACAGACAGGCTACTATGGTCCCATTCAGGCAGTGCAAGCTCACGGAGCTCCTCTTTTCCAACTCTTTCCCTTCGCCTGGTCAGGCTTTTGGCCAATTCCGTCACCCCCAGAAGGCCATTATGATTGTGACTGCTAATCCGTGGGGAGACTACAATGCCACTTCGCAAATCCTTCGCTACTCCGCTCTGGCACGCGAAGTTGCCGTTCCCCGAGCCCCCTCGGCCACCGAATCCATCTTGTCAAGCACACTTGGCTCTCGCCATGGATCCATTGGCGAAGGCGACTCGGCAAATGCAGCCGCTGCTGAAGAGTTGGAGAAAGCACTCGCTGAGATCGAGCGACTCAGAGCCGAGAATGAGAACCTCTCGGTCAGACTCGCGGAGGAGGAGATCGTAAGAACGGACTTGGCCGTGCGACTCAAGGCAAGCGAAGAAATGTGTCTCACCATCGAACAAGAAGTTCGTGAAGAGTGCTGGAACGAGATGGATGAGAGAATGGAGGAAGAAAGGCGCCGATGGCAGACTGCCTGGGACGAGCAAGTGAGTATCATCACCATGCGCGTCTGCGGACTTTGACTAATGCCGGGCTAGACGGGTCATAACGAAGAACACCTGGATAAGAAGCTCGAGCTATTCTCCCGTGGCTTCCAGAGTAAGTGTCTCTTTGTCTCTGGTTTCTTTCACAGGGGATACTAACAAAGAACCTCCAGTCCACGAAGACCCAGACACAGCCACCAACGAGCGCATGGAAGACCTGGAATTCGAAAACGACCAGCTGCGCAAGAAGATCGCCGCATTAGAGCGCGAACTGACCTGTCGATCGCCCACCAAGAAGACCAGAGCCAAGCCCCCCACCACCACCACCACAACCACGCTCGAACCCTCCCGCAACACCAACATTCTAGGCCGCGAGAGCGACATCGAGAACGCCCTGAAGCGCATGGATCAGCTCAAGCTGGCAGATAGCATATTCTCGCCGGCCCCGCCGCCTCACTCGTCCCCGGGCAAGAAACATCGCAAGATGGCCACGAGGAAGTGGGATCTGGCGCCTGAGGAGGATATCTACTAATCGCGCTTTCGGATGGCTGGCCTTGTTTTGCTCCGTTGTCGTCGAGGTGGTTATCTTCTAAACAGCCATTGAGACTGAACAATTTTCCCGTTGGAGGATTTCTTGCCTGTGCTTATTTGGGGGTTTTGCTTCTGTGTGGGTTATGTATGATATCCGTCTCGTCTGGACTGCTGGTTGGCGTTTTGTGCGTGCTTGTTTATTACCGGAGATTCTAGTACTCGAGCCGATAACTATTCATGTCGATAGTAATTTTATGGTACAGTAGATTACTTGTTAATACTTTCCCGATCTGGTGTGGCTGTTGGTGATGCCGATATTTGTTGTTGTTGTTGTTGTTGTTGTTGCCTGGCAGATATATGAGCCAGCCAGCCTAAAAATACAAAATGGGAATCAATCGAAGCTAATAAACCAAGAGATGAGGCAGAGCCAAGCACGATGAAGAGAGAGAGAAGTTGCTAGCTGCGGCGGAAGAAGAGAAGAGAGAGACGGTTCAAGCATCCGCAGGTCAGGCTAGGTCATGTTCTCGTCGTCATCATCATCATCCGTGCCCGCGATTTCAACTGGACCAGTTTCAGCCTCGGCTTCAGCTTCATCGACGGTCTCGTCCCCGTTCTCATCACCTTCGTCTTCTTCGTCTTCGTCCTCTTCGCCTTCGCCTTCGTCCTCTTCGCCCTCATCTTCCTCTTGCTCTTCGTCCTCGTCGCCTTCCATATCCACGTCTCCTTCGTCACCCTCACCCTCACCTTCATCTTCCTCGCCATCTTCGACCATGGTATCGCCTTCTTCTCCCTCCCGTTCTCCATCGGCATCACCCTCCTCCTCATCCTCCTCGCCGTCCTCCTCATCCTCCCCATCGCCCAGCTCCGCATCCTCCCCGTCGCCACTCGCCATTCCCTCCAACTCAGACTCCGGATCCATCGAGCCATCCCGCAGATTCGGGAATAGCAGCTTAGGCTCCGAAGTCAACTTGGACAGCTTCTCATCGTCCATTTCGCTGAGCTCACTCTCGTCATCCGCACTATCGTGCAGACTAGCGGGGGTATCGCTCTGCTGGCCGGAAGCCAATCCTTCCGCCAGAAGAAGTCCGCCGGTTTTGAGGGTCTTGTTATTCTTGTCTGGCCCTGCAGTGGCCGAGGTGGTGGATTCGGAGGGGTGGGTTTGGTGATCGAGCGGTGCGGTGGCGGATTCGGTACCGGTGGGGGTCTTTCGCGTACCGGTCGCTGTTGCGGTGGTGGTTGCAGGGTTGGTGGTAGAGATGTTGGCGCCGGCGGAGGTAGGCAGCCGGGGTGGGACTTTACGGTGGACGATGGCCTCGGATCGCTTCTGGATGTCCCGTCGGGCGATACCCTTGGTGCGGCCACGCGGGGCGGGCGCCTCCGAGGCCGGTGCAGAGGTGGGCGGCGTGGGGGTGTTGTCGGCGGCGCCGTCGCTGTTGATTATGCCGCCGGCGTTGAGATGGTCGCCTTTGATTTTTTCTTTGTTTTCTTCATGTGCTTGTTCGAGGACTTGCGGCATGTTGATCTGGTACAGGCGGGAGTAGACGTCGGCGATCAGATCCTCCAGGAGCGCGACTTTCATCAGGTTGTTGTTGAGTTTCTTCAGCTCAATGGCGTCGCGGATGAGTTCCAGGAGGGAGTCACTTCCGGGTGCTAGGTCAGTCAGACCCTCGAGGCGCCCCGTGTTGGTGACAAATTCGTCCCACCCGATCGGTCTAAAGACACTCTCCTCGTGGCCTTCGCTGATATCCGCCGCACGCCGGATCACGCTGGCATAGGTAAGGCACATGTCTTCCCACAATTTGGCGTGGTTGACAAAGTCGCCCTGCTTCTTGCGTACGCGGCGGAGAAGTTGGTCGAGGTTGGCGCGGTCATCGAGCTGGTCGAGTAGGGCGACGAAGAAGTACGCGTAGCGCGTCGTGTAGACGAAGTGTCGCCCGGGACGCTCGAATTCTGGTCGCCAAACTTGAATCGTCATGGTCTTAGTGAAGATTTGCTGTGTGAGCTCGTTCTTGGCGGCGGAGGCAGCGTCAATAGAATCTTGATCATCTTCATAAATGATCCGTGCAGCCTGAAGAGAGGTCAGCTAGATCATACAGTATGTGGCGAGGTTAAACCTACTCTGTATGCCATGCGGTGGTGCCAGTTCGACTTGTCCGCATTCTTCAAGTTGCGAAGCACTTCAAGGATGTATCGCTTCCATGAAGCCTTGTCTCCCGGTGGTTGCACCTTGCGAGACCAGGGCGTAGCGAGAAGTGTCTTGCTGGCGTCGGCGGGCTTGAGGGAAATGTAAGCGTTTGACACAGGGATGTGGGAAGAAGCGTGGACATACCTCTAACGCCCCGCGCCGAACCAGCTTGTGCACTATGGTTACAAGCTTGTAGTGAGGTTCGAATATAGGCTCCGAGCGCGAGTCTCTGCGTTGCGGAAGAGCATCAATTGCGTCAAGCAGGGAATCCAGTAAAGTGTCTAGTTCGATTTGTTTGGAAGTCCCTCTGACAGCGTCATCACAGCTGTACATCTTCCAGAGACATTTGCTTAGCATGTAATGAGTCCTACATGAAGTTAGCCTTGATCATTCGCACCGCAAAAGCTAATACATACATCCAGTTTCTGGGTTTATCCACAAGAGAGCGCTTGAGGAGGTGGCTGGCTAGATTCCACACGGAGTATAGCCTCATCTCTTTGAACGGCCGGCCTTCGTACATCTGCTGACTTTCCTCGTTGCTAAAATGCCGCGTGAAATCTGCTAGACTGAATGCCCCCATTGACAGCGGTTCTCTTGAAGACGAGTACAGGCGAATCCCAAAATCGTGGAAAAGCTCTGCTAGCATCTCACGAGTTTCTGGTGTCGGGTCTGAGGTCGCCATAGCTGTTGAAATGGCCATGGCATAGCAATGGATAGCATACCGCTGCCAGATTACCAGTTCCGCTCGGTTGTTGTTAATCCTGTCAGCAGACCAGGTGATGTCTTCTTCCAACTTGGAATCATATGTCTGTCCTAATCTGTACCAAGTCTCCCATCGTGCAGTCCCATGCTCAATGTCCTGTCTGAAGCACATGACAGCATCGTCGAGATCAGTGGTTGGTACCGGATTCAAGCGTTTCTGGGAGCGGAATCTGGTTAGAGCAGCATTTCCCAGAAGGAAGTACCAGCCATTCCGAGCAATGATAGCACTTTCAGTAAGCACCGGGATCAGCGATAAACCTGCTACACCTTGAATGGATCGGAAGAGCGCTAAAGGATTGATTGGAGACTTCAGGTAGGCATTGGTAATGCGCTTGTTGTATGACAGTGGAGGGGATGATTTTGTCGTACCGATGGCCTGCTGCATCTTCTCAATAGTAGACTTCAGCTCCGACTTCGACAGGTCCTTGATGCTCATCCGCTGAGCCTGTTTCATGACCAGGTTAACCATGGTGATAGCTGTGGTCCGATCCAGCTTTTCCGTCGGACATTTGTGATCGTCTAGCTCGCCATATAGTGGTGAGCACTTGATGCCATTGATGTCGTAGAGAAGCTGACAAATGTCCCATTCGGTGTCGTCATTCACCCCTATGGCGAAGAGCTCAGACCTCATGAGTTTCAAGAATTGCTTGTGAGACAGTTTGCACATATTGCGAATGCCCAGGCATTGATGTACAGTTCGCAAGTAGTTAATTCGATCCTCCGCAGAAGACTCGAGCTCCGTTTCTTGCGACATGGCTTCTTTCAAGAGCGTGTATTGCAAGATCCAGCAACGAACCTGCATCTCGCGTAGTCTATCCTTGAGGCTCTCTAGAGACCTTGACAGCGCCCCGCGAACCTCTGCGCCTGAGACCACACCCACGCGAAGCAGATCCTCATACAATGAGAAACTATAGAGAATTCTGGTCAGAGAGGCCACGGCAGCAATGGAGGTCTTCAGATGATCCATGTCAAAGCACTCGTATGCTTTGCCTGGGTCCATCAGCACGGCTGTCACAGTTCTATTCAGAATACCATCAAGCGATTTCAGCCACCGAAGCAGAGTGATTTGGCGATGCTCACTGGGTTCTTCGGACTGCGAAGAACCTTGGAGTTCCTTCATTATGATTTCGATGCTGCGTAGGTGGCAGGAAATGACCTTGGGCGGATAATCGATTTTCTTGTAGGCATCCTGGAGTCTTCGCCAGAGGAACAGTCTCAATGTGGCATCGCCACGATCTAGGAAAGAACCCATCTCAGCGATCTGAGAGGTGGGCCGACCATATGGCTCGTTATCCTCGTCAGCCCCATCAAACTGAACAGATGTGGGCTCGAGGATAGGTTCAATAGTCTCAATGAGATCCACTGGGTCTTCCGAGTTGGGGTTGAATATCTTCATGAAGAAGTCCATAGACTTGAGCTTTGAGATTTCTTGGTCGACGGCTTCGGAGGACAGCTCAGGCATGATGGCATTATTCACAAGGCCAATCACCGGATTTTTGAGACTATCAAAAAGAAATTTCAGTTCTTCAAGACAGAGCAATACATGCTCCCTTTGGATGTCGCTGGCCATGTTGGAATGGAAAGTCGATGCCCAAATGTGGCGAAGAGCGAAGCTCTCTTGGCTGCTAGTACTGGGGGTGCTGTGGTCAAGGAAGTGTGTCAAAGAAGTGCGTGCGAGGAGACCCCATCGCCCCAAGCGCTCACGCTGCTGGATCCTCGTGCTTCCATCCACCTCGCTATTAGGATTATTGATCGACGCGTATATGTCAAGATGAAGTTCAAAAAGTGTTTGGATCATTTCCAGATCTGAGAAGTGAGCAAGGGTGTACGGAAAAGTGGATTCAGACCCGTGGGTGAGGATTTGGTTCTCAAGGCTTTCGACCTGTTCGCGCATGCTCCTGTAGATAAACTCGTCCTGGTGCAGCAGGAGCTGTACCACAGTCTCTTTCAGTGAGTCTGGCCACTGCAACGATGTGTAAGTGGACTGAAAAGCAGGCCACTCCTTCGGCACATCATGACTTAGGGAATGCTTTGCGAATTTCGGCATCAACAGGGCTTTAAGCCAGGCAAGGGCAGCATCGCGAATATGTACGAAGTCGTCGTTGATCATTGTCGTGAGACTAAAAAGGTTCCTATCATCAGTGAGTGCCTGCTTCACCCCCAGCTTCCTGGCCGACTTTCTCGAGTGTTCCAAGAAGATAGCCAGCCCGGAGTTTCCCATTCCCCGAATGTCCTGAAGGGTAGACAGGCTGTCAGGTTGGTAGGTGACCTGGGATCTTGCTTCATCCCAGTTTCGGAGTGTCTCTAGTAAGTCCTGGACGAGGTGATGGGGTTCGCGGGAATCATCATCAGCCGAGGCTTCAGCTGTATCTTTCCGCTCCGCCATCGCCCGCACCGCTTTTCTGAGCTCATCGATATCACTCAGATCTTCGATACCGCATTTGGCCAACAGGTGGCCAACAGCAGACTGCATCGAGTCGTCGGCCTGCACGTACCCTTCCAGACGGTCCTCGTAGAACCTAGCATAGTCGGCAGCCAAGTCTACCGCCTGGGAAGAATTGTCTGCATGCGCGGCTGACTCTCGAAGCCGTGTTCTTCTGCTCTTGGCCCGCAGATTCTCGACGTCGTCGGGCTGAAAGAACGCCGAAGATCGCTTTCGCCCTGTTGATACCGGTCGAGTACCGGCGTCGTCCATGTTTGCGCTGTCTTGCTGGTTGCCCCGGCTGGGAGGCTCTGTGGACTGTGTCTCTAGAGACTCCATAAGTTGCTTCTCCGCGCGTTGATCAATGGAGGAATGATCGTCAGGACCTTCTGATTTCACGCGGGGTGGCTCATCCGCAGCCTGGTCAAGATCGGCAGGTGCAGGGTCGGGTTGTTGCCTTTCGAACTTTAGCTCCTCTGCCGGCGGATGGTAGGCCGGAATTTCGACTTCTACGGTATATCTCAGCTCGGGACTGGGCGCTGGAAGCGAGATGAAGACTGACGATCCAGGTGCGATCTCCGCGACGCCTGATTCATCATCGATGAGGGATTGGAGTATAGCTTTTCCCAGGGCAGCCCACGTGGGGCTGCCCGGCCTGATTTCGTGGCGGACGCTCTGGAGGAAAAGAGGAGACTTTGACGGCGGCATATCCTCGAGATGCTGAGGAAGTGCGGGGAGGTACGGGAAGGGGTCAGCCTGCCTCCTGAGGAATTTCAGGAGAGCTTTTTTGGGCTTCTTGAGGGGCACTTGCGACACGGACAGTCGATCCTGCACTGACAACAGAACCTCGCGCAAACGTTCCTCGGCAAACGTCTCCTCCAAGCCCAGCTGCTCCGTGCGGACTTCCAGACGATTCTCATCATCTGCCAGGACGCTTTCCAGGCAGTACCGCATGAGGCGGTAGCTTTGCAGAGTGCTACAGAGCCTTGCGCTCTGTCTCCAGAGGTTGAGATCGGAATCATCGCGCTCCAGCGCCTCGGCGAAGTCTGCCAGAGCCGCGCCGGCCTGCTTGGTGACCTTGGCCGGTAGTTCCTCGGTATCAACGGCGTCGGTAGTTAGTCCCTCCAAGGCCGCCCGTAGACCATCTAACAGAAATTGACCATGGTTCTTGTAAGCCAGATAAATGGTCTGCATAAGAGTGCTCGAAGTGGAGTCATTAATATCAAACTCGGCAAGAGCCTCGGCGGCACCCGAGCCCCCGGCATCCTCAACTGGAAGGTCAGGGTCCTGCAAGTTGGCGCGCTTGTAGTCGGAGATGGATTCAGGGTATTTGAAGATCTCCGAGTTCAGCAGGGCATCATAAGCCTCCGCGGCCTGGGCATAGAACTGGGGACCCTGGGAATGGAGCTTCAATGCATTTTGGTAGAGCTTGAGGGCTTCCTCGATCTGGATTTCCTTCGTATCGTCGACCTCTTCCTCCACCAGCTCATCAGGCTCGATATTGAGCGCCGCCCAGCTCGACATGATGTCTTAGTGATCTTCAGGGCGCGCAAAGGTCCCAGACAGCGGTAGAAGCCTTGAGCGTGACCGGCCGCATCGCAGGACTTTAGATCCACCCGAGACAGCCCCAGTGAGAGCGGGAATTCAGCGAAGGTAAGTCCCGATTGTTGCGTTCCGGATGAGATGGAGATCAAGAAGTGTCGTCGGTCGGTCTAGAGCTGAGCAGCAGGCCGCGACTGACACGCATTCCGGGGAGCGGCGATTAGATAAATCGCGCGGGCCCAAAGAGGAAAGGCGGTCGGTCGGTGAGTGCCTGGCCCGTGCCGTGGCTGCCTGAGGTTGGGATCAGGCACTATTTCCTATTGATTGAATGATCGGCCAACCGACCGGCCGTGACGACGACGACGACGACGACGACGTCGACTCCTGCTGCGCCTCGCTGTCTTTTCTGTCTGTCGTTCGATTCTAAAAGGGCATATCGCTTTCAAGACTCGAGCATCCTCACGTCTTGCCTGCCCTCCCCTCGACCGACACACTGTTTGCGCCATGGTCGCGCCCGCAGTACCCGAGTAAGGGATTCCCTCTTCCCCTCCGCCTCCGTTTACGTGTTCTCGCGGACTGGCTCGCTATCTAATGGTCAATTGCGGCCCACACCGTCGTTGATAGGGAAGCTGACATCCCCCTGAATGTGTCTAGGATCTATGAGGAGGAGGACATCTACGCCGCCGTCGATGCTCGCTCGGAATCCCTCCAGAACCTCCGGGAATTAGGCCCGCCCGACTTGGTTTATCTGGTCAAACAACCGAAGACCAGTTCCCATCGCCAGGTATGTTTACCGTGATCGACCCGGTCGGCATCCAGGAAAAGACAAGAGCTGACTCCACGGCGATGCATTCTCTAGACCGGAGTCTACCACCATGTCACCGGTGTCGATGCTTCGTCCTCCGCCAGCTTGGCCGCCTATGTCAACACACTCACCTTCTCCCCGTTGGATAAGACGCACAAGGTGGTTTCGGGGATCTACTGGTTCGCACACCTCGATCGAAGCGGCTCGCAGCCCACAGTCGTGCTAATGAGTGTATATACGCAGCTGCTACAATGCCTTCTCCCACCTGGACATGCGCGTGGAAGTGAAAATTCCCGGAAGTCTGGAGAGTTATTGTATCGATGAGCGGGGCGACAAGCGCGTGGCGACGGAGGCGTTGTGGTTGGAGACCTTCCTCTGCGCTATCCTGAGGGCATACACCTACGCGGACGATGGCAGCGGCGATTCGATTCGCAAGATTGTGGGAGTGCGGCGATTTAACCCGGTGACGAATACTGAGATGGAGCACAAGTTCCTGGACGCGGCGGAGAGACTGTTCTTCCTGGGTAAGCCATTCGCCTACCTTCCTGCCGTGACACCAAACTAACAACATCATACATAGGACGACAGCTGAGTTCCGATCCGGAGACGCAAGTACCCAACACCGTCAGCAACCATCTGACGTCGGGCCTCCTGAAGTATATCCAAACCACTGGGCGCTACACCTCGGGGATTAACCTGTTCGAGAAGCTCCGCACACGAGACGTGGAAGTGTCGTCACTTCTCGCGAGGGTCCTAATAATGGCTGATGAGGAGGTGCAGGCAGTGCGATTGATGTTCGACGCTTTGCAGGACGTACCCATGGACTACGCGCTGCTGGACTGCCAGGCCGCGTTCTGCCAGGGCAAAGGCGAGGGCGAGATGGCGTTGGAGTGCGCCAAGCGGGCAGTCACGGCAGCTCCGAGCGAGTTCAGCACGTGGGCTCGGCTGGCGGAGGTGTTCGTCGGACTCGAGCAATGGGACCTGGCGCTGTTGACGTTGAACTCGTGCCCGATGTTCACATACCAAGACAAGGACACCCCGCGCATGCCGCAACCGACGCGCATCATGCTGCCGATTCTCGCCGAGAGCATGCTGGAGGAGATCGACGAGGGACAGCCGCGCCAGGGCGATCCAGCCGACTACGTGCACCCGTCGTTGCGCCGCCTGCACGCCGCGAGCTACCAGGGCACCTTCCTGAAAGCCTACAACCTACTGACAAAGGTAGCAGCGGCCATCGGATGGGACCAGCTGCTGAAGATCCGCAGCGAAGTGTTCGTCATGGAGGAAGAGTACCGGGTGGAGCAGCAACACTCGACGTCCAAGCACACGCGGTCGAACACGCGCACCTCGGCGGAGGTCAACGGGGGCGACGGGCAGGATGACGCCGAGAAGGAAGAAGAGGAGCATTCAGACTTGGACTCGCAGTCCCCGAACGGTCACAAAGAAGAAGAAGAGCCCGAGAGCTCGATCGAGAAGCCGGAACAATCCATGGCATCGGAAGTGATCAAGTCCGGCAGCGAAGACGTAAGCCCGCCCTCCCTCCCCCCCCAAAATCCCATCAACTAAACCTTTCCCACTCTCATCGCTAACAAAAACCCCCAAGCCGGACCCAAACCACACCGCATACACGCAATTCCGCAACAAACGCCTCTGCGAACGATGGCTAGACAACCTATTCATGGTGCTGTACGAAGACCTACGGATCTACACGATCTGGCGCACAGAGATGGCGCAGTACCGGCAGCAGGCGATGGAGTACAAGAAGTCCGCGACGGAGTGGGAGATCCTGGGCGAGCTGGCGGAGCGCCTGCACCACTTCGACGAGGCCATCGAGGCCTACCAGCACTGTTTGACGATCCGGTTCGCGCCCAAGGCCATGCGCGGCGTGCTGAAGCTGTACGAGAAGAAGAACGATACCCGTGGTATGCTGGGCGCGTTGATCCGGTTGATTGCGTGGCAGTATCGATGGTATTCTGAGGTTGGTTTCTTCCCTTGACTGCGCTTCAACGAATACCCCCCCCACCCACAATTACTGACAGATAATAATGAAAGTTCTCCCCCGAACTCCTCTTCCTCATCCGCAAACTCATCGAAGACGAAGGCGCCGTAAAGGTCCGCAGCATCGTCCAGGCCACGAACCTCCCGCAGCCCGTTCTGGACCTCACGCATCAGTACTGTCAGCTTTGCGCGACGTTCCGGAGCAGCGGGAGTGATGGTTAGAGATGTTCCATATCGTATGGGTCAGGGTCAGTTCGATGCAAGGAAAAATGGATGGTAAAAGAGGTGGGGGTTGGTCGCAGTAAACAAAAAAACACATCTCAATTCAGCAGCACATCATTGTATGAAGTAAGATGAATTCAAGTGAGGTAGTGGGGTTTCGTTTCTTGTTGAAGTATTCTTTGCATCCCGGTGGATGGATTGAGGGAGGATGAGAGGATGAGGAGGGGAGGGGACGTTCCGTTATGATGCAGACCTACGTACCACTATTGTCTATTGTCTATTGTCTATTCTTCTTATGAACTAATTCTTATGTTTGTTGTGTGGGGTTCTTACTTTACAGCGTAAATACTCTCCCTGGGAAATACTATCTCGGGTGAATGGTATTACAGCCTTGGTGAATCCTGTCCTTGGAAGGTCTGCGGGAACTTAGACGAGGACAGTAGCAAGGCTACTTATCTAATTCGATACGAACCTGAATGATAAGCAACTACCGTAGGTAGCTACTTGCTACTGCCCAGCAAAATCATCTACAGACACCAGTCTTACACCCAAACAAAAGCAGCAGATCGCAACCAACGAAGTCAATATTATGCAAACCAGCAACCATAGCCGGCACAAGATCAAAATAAACCCCAGGAAAATCCTGTCGTATTAGATAAAAAATAACCACAGGCCGGGACCGATAAACCAACTTGCGAAGCACAATCTCAAGATTCCTCCAAATTATCCCCCAGTCCCTAGAAAGAAGTAGAGACAGAAATTCACTCCTCATCATCCTCGACATCAACCTCCGGCTCCTTAGGAACAACAGCTCCCTTGGCCTTCGCGGCCGCCTTGGCGGGCCCACTCTCCTTGGCTGTCTCCGCAGCGTCATCATCGAGGTCATCATCATCAGCTTCCTCTTCGACATCATCGTCGGCAAGTTCTTCCTCTTCTTCCTCGTCGTCGTTGTCATCCTCACCGACTCCGTTCTCGCCGTTCTGTGCGGCCTCCTCCTCGTCTTCGTCGTTGGCCGCAGGAGCGGGGGCGGTCTTTCGTTTCTTGGGTGCTGGGGCTGTCGAGAGAGAAGAGGTTAGCGCATCAATGCACAACGATATCATCGGGGTTGGTTTGCTGTAATGATCATAAAAAAAAGAGATAGGCGACTAACCTTCCTCTTCCGGCTCTTCGGCCTCTTCATTGAGTTCTTCCTCTTCTTCCTCTTCGCTGCCGAGGTCGCTTTGGTCGACCTCGGAATCCTCGTATCTGCGACTTTGTCAGTGGGTTGTAGCGATTACTTGTCGCATCAGTGTGAAAGTTGTCGGGGAAGGTTTAGTTAAACGCGCATAGATGAAGCGAAGAGAAAGCGCTTCATGCGGAAAGAAAAGTGAATGCGAATTGAGAAGTCAAGGGGAGACTCACTCCTCTTCCTCCTCACTTTCGTCACTGGGCAGGGCTTGAAGCTCCTCCTCTTCCTCGGCCTCTTGCTTTCTCTTACGGGTAGACATGATTGAAGGTGATTAGGTTAGAGAGAAAGGGGCGCTCAGTCAATTGCGCAATTGTAGATTGATAGATATAGGTATAGATGAAGTGAAAGTACGAGGGCAATGAATAGCCAGGAGCTGTATGGTAGTATGAGAGAAGTAGTAAGGGGAAGTGTGTGAGAGAGGAGAGGAGAAAGAGGAAGGGAAAGAGGGAGAGAGATTGGGGGAGTGGGAGAAGTATAAGAGGGAGAGGAGGGAAGAGGGAGGGAAGCAGAGGAATTCAGAGGGCAGCAGGACCGGCAGGGAACAGACAGGCAGACAGAGAGAAAGCAGACGGCCTCCGCTTCCCCCTTCCCTTGGCCAGTTTGGTTTGGTTTGGGTGAGGGGAGGAGAGACCCGGCCGCGGAACGAGTGAGTGCGTGAGTGAGCGAGCGAGCATTACTTCAGTCACAGTCAGTTGGCGCGGCCGGGAGCCAGCCCCAAGCAGCTCAGCGCAGCAGCAGCGCGGCGCGAGAAAAGCGCGCACTTGGCTGGGGGTAGGGGGAAAGCCGACAGAAGCTAAACAAGAAGAAGAAAGCAGCAGCGGCGGCGGCGGCGGCGGCGGCGGCGCAGCAACACAGCAACAGCAGCAGCAACAAGCTGGGGCTCTCGTTCCTGTCGCAGTGCGCGTCGGGTTACCCGTACCGAGGCCGTGCGCATAGGATGCTAAGCAAAACTGGACGAGTGACTCCGCAGTGATGCCATGACGAGATGAGGCCCGGCGGCTCTCGCTGCTCGGCTGCCTTGGATCTCAACTCGCCATGGAACGATAATACATTTTCGGATTGGAGTTCCCTCAGACCTGAGAGAAAAGTGAGCTGCAACTGAGCGAGAGATGAGGCCACATCATGATGTGCTCTGGCAGTGCTGAGACAGGATGAGTGATGATGCACAGAGAGAGGAAGACGAAAGAGAAGCAAGAAGGAAGGAAAAGAAAGACAGGGAAAGGTGGATGGCGTACGGTAAGGTAAGCGGGGTGACAATACCAAGTACGGGGAAGCTGGGAACTGCCCGGGTGCACAGACCGTCCGGGGCCATGCATTAAGCATTTAGTGCATTGTGACTGAAACTGAAACTGAAACTTACCAGGGCGGTTCCAGGTGTGAGTGGACTTAATTGTCCTCAACGCGTGGAAGAGAATCAGAATGAATCATGATGTCAATCAACCTCTTCAGGGCGATGTCCATCTCTGGACCATTACGCAGCTTACTCAAAGTTACTTAACTAACTACTGCATAATCCTACCATACAGCTAAGTAAATCCAACCTAACGCGATTCGGACTACTCTAGTGCAAGCTTACACAGACTCCTCCCTCACTTTCCCCCGGCTGGCTCGGATTATGTACTTTGTGCCTCGCAGGCCACCTGCCAGACAAAAAGAGTATCATTAACACACGGTGCTACCAAAGAACTTGAACGTACAATTGCAGTAGAACATACTGTAGCACAACACTAACTTAAATCCACAGTAGCAGCAACACAGCCTGTCACAGTTCGCACCCGAGGAGAAGGAAGAAGGCTAGGGCAAATCCATCCAGGGCCCGCCCGCCCCCTGGAATCCTAGTCAGATCGCGCAGGGACGCCGACCTCCACAGCCGCTAACGGGGTTAACCAGTTCATTATCATTCCTCAAGCCGTCTGTTCCAGCAGAGTATTTAGTCTCATTCTTACTCATGGAAAACCGCAAGGACGCCGCGGGGTCCGTTGTGCCGCGCCTTGTACACTATACAGCGTGACCGCGACCTCCATCACCCCAATGCTCTCCCCGCCTTCCCCTGCATGATCGAGGCGATGGAACCTGCGCGTATCGCGGCCGACATGAACCTGGATCTGGTCTACCTCGGGGTCAATACAATTCTACGCGTGTGCGGCGATGGTGCTGCTGCCCAGCGAGGTGAAGGAGACTGTCAGCATAGTGCATACCCACACTCGCGTACTGGCTGGCCCTGGGTGGTGTCGAAGCCGAACCACGGCCCGATGCTGTCCGTTCTCCAGGAACAGGCCGCAGAACACGCGACACACGCGCTTTCGAATCAGCTAGTTGGCGCGCCAGGCCGTAGTGTTGCTTCTGCTTTCTCTGCTCAAGTTAGTTTCTCGCGCCGTGGTGGTACAGCCATCGCCCCATTGCCAGGCTGTGTATTAAACTGGGAAGAAACGATATCCAGTTTCAGTGGATGAACCAAATAGTCTATTACGGTTTCTCATCCAACACAGAAACTCTACGCTCGAATTCAGTGGGCTAAAAATTCAAAACTCGCCACGCTGGGATCAAGCAAATTCTCATCCAGGCCAAATCCATAAGTGCCAACCATATCATATATCAGATCCGGCGGCGGGAATCCTTGGGCCATCGCGTTAGCACCGCCTGGCACATCTAACCCCTGTGCATCAGTGGGTGCGGACTCAGCCACAGACGTGCCCTTGGCCTGCCACGAATCCCAGGTGTCAAACCGTTCCAACATCTTCCCCAGTCCCCGGGCGATGTGCCTCGTCAAATGTCTCTCGCCTGCGGAGACACAGTTCAGCAATTCAATCACCCGCTCCACCAGACGCCGCACCTGGCGACCGTCAAGGCTGAGGTAGGCCGAGTTCCAGTTAATGGCAACCTTGAGCAGGAATACGGCGGAGAATGTGACCATTGTGTGCGTGAAGATAGGGACCCCGACTATTGCGTCTCGGATATCTGGTTCCTCAAGCACCATGTTCAGGCAGGCCATGGCGGACGCGATGGCAGTATTGGCGGACTCTTTACGGTCCATCGAGAAGACGGGGGTGTTGGACGGAGATAAAGCCCGTAGCGAAAGGGAGTTCAGCTGGAATTTGGCGAAGTGGTAGTGAAGCACCACTCCCTTCGATGGATATGTCCGGACATACGGGCTATCGCCTATGATTCGGCCAAGAATGTTAGGGGTGTCTCACGATATATCATTGGACGGACAACGTACCTGACCGTGGCTGCCAAAGCAGACGCCACTGATCAATAGCCACATTGTAGACACGTAATTGCCCAAAGTCTTCCTCTGTGAAGGCTTGCTCCGTATCACTTCCAAACGTCCGGTAAGCTTCAGTCAGGATCATGAACAGAGCCACTTGAGCCATGAGCCGTATATCTCCGGGCACAACCAGCGGCGACTGCAGAAATGTCTCGTAGTTTCGAATGGCGGTGTCCTCGTGAATTACTGGTGGGCGGCCGTATGCGATACTGAAATGGTGATCACACACGTACATAAGATACCAAAGCTGGGCACGCTCATACTGATCATTGTGACCACGCATCATCTTCTGGTAGCTCTGATGGAGGCCTAGCTCAGTGGCAATGCGAACCGCATGACCGGAGAGCTTCCAGCTCAGCTCCGACAACCAGAAAGCGCCGACGCAGAGAGCACGAATATCGTCCAGAGTATGCGACCGCGTTAACGACATACTCGACACAAGTGATACATACTCGCTATAGCACCGGTTCAGCGTTTCCGTACGGTTGGGAATATGTAGTGCGGCAACCGTAAGGACAGCAGCGGAGAGAAGCGTAGACGCGCGGCGGACGGACGTCAGATCGCGATGAACCAGAATTATCCCACCCCAGAGCAGCTGGTTCATTGTCCTACTGAAGTACGCGAAAAGCTCTTCAGCTTCATGAAGCGAGATCAAACCCCGAGAAATGAAGTCCTCTTCTAGAAGCGTTATTTTGGGTCGTTCGATAGGATTATTGCGCAGGTTGCGCAGTTTCGTAACTTCGTATAAACTCCGCATCGGCGCTGGCACCAGCTCACGGTCCTGGAGATCTGGTTCCTGGGAAGGCTCTCGGGTAACATCCATGACCGCCCCAGGCTCAGCCGACTGCTTGATTGCGGGTGATCCAGAGAAAGAGGGCTGTAGGTCCGACTGGGACTCAGCAGGACTAGTACCACCTTGGGTATCCCCTCCAGAAAACGAGGCGAGATCTGGGAGCCCTCCTTGACGTAGAAGATGCGAGACTGCCGCTTGAAGCTGTTGGATTGTGGCTGTAGCTTGCGACTTCCACCTGAATTCGCTCGAGGTGTTAGAGAGTGTACCTCGAAGTAGTGAGATCTACGTGCACTTACGTCACATCATCATCAACAAACTTCTGTGAAAAGTCATTGACCATGCATTTTATGCCGCTGCGCGTACATTTCGTGCAACTTGTTTCGCCAGCCTTAAACTCACAACGTATCTTATGGCGTTTACATTCTGCGCCTTTTGTAGAGATAAATCAGAATCAGCTTGACGAGCTCTTCATCATGTGTGCTCTGAGGTCAAGTGCGGGGCTCCGCAAACATCCCAGCAGAGGAACTCACAGGCGCGGGCTTTTGAGATTTTCGGCGCAGGTGGTCGGCCGTCGGAAATAAGAGACGGCTGTCGGCTATGCGGACGTGGGTTCTCATCGAGATTCGCATCATGTGAAGAGCGCTTCATGGTGGTGCTAGTGGTGGTGGTTGATCATGGACTAATGGTGGATCGGGGATACTCCGGCATTCTGCACCAGCAGTGATAAGCAGTTAGTTGGTGGTAAGGATCTACAGAAGCGATCCAATGGTTCCTATCGATGCTTGAGACAAAGAAGCTCAGTATTTGCCCGTTGAAGCACAGAAGACAAGCCAATGTGGCACAGGAGCGAGAGAAGCAGAATTGAAGTGGGGAAAGGACGAGCTGTGAAGACTGAAGATGAAAGAAGATGGGCGGGTCAACCCCGCTTCGACGGACTGGAACTGACTGGACCCTGACCTTCCTCACCAGTCAACACCTCTGCGATTGATTAGATTACAGGGTGCTTAGAAGTACAATGGATACTACCATGTTATCTTTCTGAACACTCTACTTGATTGCACTCCTGACAACGATCGCATACATCCCCCCCTCCTTTGTTGACATTTTTCCTTTCCCGACTGTGTCAGGCACGGGATCTGGGGAAACGCTGCGGGGTAATTTCAAGAATCGTCAACAATCAACACCCATCCATCTATCAGGGCATTGACTTCGACTGAGAACACGCTTCAGCCATGAGCTAGTACAATAGAGTCGCCACTAACGCGGTAGTAGCTATCTCCTCATACTTATGCATATACTGCCTTCGAGAAAAAAACTAGCGCAGCTTGCCCGCACTCAAACTCCATTGGCCATTCGCTCGCTTCGCAACATATTTCCATGACACACCAATCGTCTATATCATGAACAAGCTCAGCATGTGAAGATTATGGAGCAAGCATCTACCGGGCCAAGTCCGGTCTGCGGAGACAACAGAGCGTCCACCTCGGAGTTAATGCGAACCTGCGGAGGACAGTCCGACCCCTCACCATCGCGAGCCCAGCTGCACAGCTGCACAACCAGTCCACTGCAACACCATCAAACAACTATAGAGCCTTAAATAAACACACAAATCGAATACCCCCGACCGCAGCTCTCATCCCCAACAACCCCGTACACCCCAACATGCCGAAAAGACAATCCTCATCACCGGCGCCGCAGGCTTCATCGGCCAAATCAAATCCTCGCGCAAGACCGACCTGAGATGCATTGGAGAGGGTCGGTGGAAGGGAGGCGCTGGCACTGTTGGAGGAGGAGGAGGATGACACTGCGTTGAAGCCGATCTTGGAGTTTTGGCCCACGCGGTTCGATAATACCCAAGCGATGGCGCTGGGGTTCAAGCGGAATGTCTCGTTTGAGCAGGCTGTCAGAGACTATAAAACTGAGCTGGAGAGGGCGGCGCATTGACAGAAATACGATGTTAGACTTGGAACCTTGGCTTTTTACGGTGGGTGTGTTATGTACAATCTGCAATTTCGAGCCATACGAGATAGAATATAAGACATTAGAGAAACAATCATGGTCACATATCAAAATCCAACATCCATCATAAGGCCATCAACTCCCTGCCTACCCGACCGTCCGGTCCTCAATCACACCTCCAACGAAATAACCACACATGTCCGAAACCGAGAAGAGGGTAATAAGAAACCGGGAAGATTTATTTCCAAACCTGAGAACAACCTTAGCCAAAGACGCACACGAACTGGCCCCCCGAAAGACATCGGGAGACCTAATAGCTAGCCCAAACCTGTCCATCGATAGCCACCAGGCGATTAAACAGCTGATTACGGGTCTTCATAGCAGTGAGCTGATAATTCTGCTCAGGCAGACGACCCACAAGATTCAACCCGTCGACGACCTCCTTACTGCCGACGGCCCAGCCCGTCACAAGCTTGCCCTTCCAGCCGAGGCCGCCGACCTTGCGCATCTCCCGGATATCAGCCACGGGCATCGTGAACAGCACGGAGCCCTTGGGGCGGCGCGCGAGCGTTGGGTCCGCGCCTGCCAGCTGCACCGAGTGGTCCGTCGTGAAGTACAGCACCGCCGGCGTCGCGGACTGGTCGATCACCAGCACCCCGCGTTTGCCTCGGTACCGTCCATCGAATTGCACGGGCCCCGACGGTAGCGTGATCTGGCCCTTCTTGCGGAGCACGCCCACGCGTCCTTTCGCGCGCTTGGAGCCGACGGCTGCTTTGGCGCGGTCGACGGCCAGCTTGCTTTCGATGCCCGTTGCTGTTGTGCCCCGGAAAAAACCGATCATGCGGCTTGCGAACCCCTTTTTGGGCGGGTGAGGGTGGATTTCGTGTGCTTCGGGTTGTTCGTGTGCCGGGGTGGGCGCGATTGCGGCGTTGATTTCTTCGTCGGTTGCGTCTAGTGGGATGTCTTCGTTGCGCACGTCGGCCGGTTGCGAGGGTGTGGTGTGCAGGGAGTGGGAGGGGGGTGGGGGCAGGGGCGCGCCGTTGGCTTCGCCGATGCGGAGGAGCGTTAGGGTGAGCTGCGCGTTGGTGGGGATTCCCTTGAGCAGGGAGCTGAGGGTGTATGGTCAGCGATGGGTGCTGTTTTGGGGCGGGGTGGTTTACGTACTTCTGAAGCTCAAGGAGTTTCTCCCACCGTGGGAATTCGCGGTTCAGGTATGACACCGCTCGCCTGATGATTGGGTCACCGAAGAATGCAAAGCCTACGCCAAAGGTACTCATCTTGACCAGCATATAGCTGGAGATAATGAGAGAGCCTAGGAAGCCCACTGATAGCACGCTCGCCAGGCGCAGGTAGGGGGTGATCATTGAGAATGGGGGTGTCGGAGACAGTGCACTACCAGCGTCAATCACGGTCACATTACAGGTTGGCGGCTGGGTGACTTACTTGGCAAACCTCTCGTAGGTGTCGATAATATCAGCAAGGATGCGCATGGCTAGGTTCGCAGCGTTGTAGACTGTATCCCTCATCGGCTCCTTAGTCTTGTCGTGGGACTCGTCCGTGGCCTCTCCATGGGCGGCCGTCTGCGCATCCGCTGCACTGGTAGCTATCTCCATGGCATCAGGCACCGACGACTCTATAGGCGCGTCGTCCGGAGTTCCCTGGTCATGCTTTCCCGCTACGCTACCCACGGCGACACTGGCCACACTAGTCATGAGATTCGAAGCCTCCTGCTCAGCTGCTTCACCTTTCATGTTCTCCGGTGCTCCTGTGATGCTGTCATGCGAGCCCAGAACCCCTGCTTTGGGCTTCTGGATGCCACCTGTGCCCGCGTTCACGAGCGGGATTGGGGCAGGAGGGAATAAGAATTCCCGCGACTGGGGGCTGACGACCAACACCAAGAGCAGAGCAAAGAATGTGGGTGCGACGAGATCAAGTATCCATGCAGCAAAGTAGACCTAGAGTCATAAGCCAGTCAATGCCAATTACGCCCACGAATATCCTTGACGGTAACCTACAAGGCAGAATCCTGCTGTCCGGTTGCGCTCCCCCCACGAGCGTAGTCTTGCAATATGTTTGACGAAGGCAGTCAGAGACACCACGATGGTGGTATAGAAGCGCTCGAGGGTTGCTCGCAGTTTGTCGGGGGAGAACTGCTCGTCTTCCGCCCGGTTCAAGTCGAGCCGCTGAAGGGGGGCTTCCGGCATTGCTTTGACATAGTAGATTTGCTGCGAGGGTCAGCTCCAGAGCTTGCTTGGAATGACTTCTGGGGCGTTTACCTTATTGAAGCGTCGGATGAGCATCCAGAGGTCTTCATTAGACAAGCCTGATACCACGCGCTCGTGGATTTGCTCAGGCGGTTTGTCCCATCCCACATCTGTAATGGTGTCGGTGTCGCCGGCCCTCTGGGCAAGCCCCTTCTCGTCCTGGTCCACCTTAGACAGGGCATGACTGTCGGTAGGGCCGGTTACGTCGGCAGTGGTGCGTTCGGCTTCTAGGATGCCCCCGCGGCTGTTCTTTGTGCTGTAGGAGACTTGCTGTACATTGTTGGCGGGATCAGGTTGAGACATTCTGCAAATAGGGGGTCAAGAAGGCCGCTCATTAGCAGGGATTAGAGCGGAGTAGTATAAAATTCTGGGGAGAGAAGACAGAAGCAGCAGACGCCATGTCAAAGGGCTTTTGAAGGTGACGGAGGTGGAGGTGGGAATTGACGTCATGCGTGGCTAGTCGAGCTTGCAGATCGGAGAACCAGTGTTCCTGCATCTCGCCGGGGGTGTCTTAGATTGATCTCGATCTCGCTAGATTATTTAACAGCACTCTACTCTCTTGGCTTTATCCACTATCTGTTGCATAACCCTTATCCTTGTGCGATGTTCTGATGGCCAACTATCACGCAACTCAATTTTATAGTTTGCCCAGCTTGAAACAGTAAGCGAAACTAGGGACCCGCAAGCGGAAGGAACGCTTGACGCTTCTGTATTCTATATGAGATAGATCTTTCTTGAACGATAAAAAAGAACTAACTCTAATAAATTTATAGAAACCAGACTTAGTCCATAGCTCTAAGATATGCTCATTCAATCCATAAGGATTAATAGTTAGAGTTGTCATTCTCGTAATCTTATAGTAAATTCTGTTGGGCTGTTTCCTCTTAGATCTCAAGCCTATCTAATAGATTCTTTGGAAAGATTGATTGGAACTCTGGTTGTTCTAATCATAGTCAATGGTAAACGTTGGTAATCTTCATAATCCCTCTTTCTTCTTGTCAACTATGCAATTATAATCTTATGAGATTAACTTTGTTTATGATAGTATAGCCTGGGATGACTAAACTTAACTTATTAGTTGTGAAGATGAAAATTAATGATTAGTATAGTCTAGATTAGTACAGTCCGAGTCTTATTACTTGCAGTTACTTCTGGGGCCTGGATAAGGTTATCTACAAGCTACGGAGTATAAAGACTTCCCAAAACAAATCTCTCAACGCTGTATGACACATGCCAGTCGACTACCTAGCTAATTACAATAGCAATAAATGGCAGTCGAGGTCGATTGGAATGCCATAATCGCCACCAAAAGGGCGGAGCAGATCTCAAGAATCCCCGCCGAATGTGCTATATTAGGGTATAATTTCGACACCTCCAACACTGTGCAGTCACACCTCATAGAGCGCGATGAGCAGCCAATCCAACCTGTTTTGGACCTGGCCGCAGCGCATGACAAAAAGCCAGTCAACCTTGGGTCAGTCTGGAAATGTGTGGCTGGCAGGGAGAACTTCTTGAGCAAGTGGGGAGCAGTCTGGAAAGAGAACTGTTTGGGCGTCCTCATCTGCCCGGCTTCACGACAGGTCGCTCCTCCACATAATCATCATGGATGAGGAAACACTCTCTGTGACTGAGATTACGGCAGAATGCTTGGGCACAAATGAAGGGGGTCGTCTATAGAAGGGTTTTACTTACCGCTTACAATATTATTCGTCCTTTGATCGTTCATTTGATCCTACCCTTTATTGAGAGCAATGAGCGTATCAACCTATATTCAATCCATTGGTTCCATGACGTATTCCGCATATGGGGTTAGTAGCTAAGGGCTTGATTTTGTGTCTGTAAGGGTTGGATACCGCGTACGTCATTGGTCGGGATCTTGGGGTGGGCTCTGGCTGCGATTTATAATGGTGTTAAAAATAGTTGATATTGATGAAACTAGAGTATTATGGTGGCTTAGGCTTTTGCTGTTGCTGGTGGGTTTCATAGGCAGCTATTTGAGAGATTGTGAGCCATACTAATTAACTTGGCATGTCAAATACATCACTCTAGGTTTCCTCCCCCGTACATACTAGGAACATGCACCGGGATCATCATGGAGCTCTCCAGTATGTATGTACAGTCGGGCCGTCGGTGGACCGAGGCTTAGTTTATTTGAAGGTAGGAATTAGTTATAGTAGCAAAGGTCCTCGAAGGCGGGTCCTGCACCGCCACACGCGCGCCACAATTATCACCTGCACCAGCCACGGGTGGCGACCGCCGTAAAAGGAAATACGCGTCAATCGCTCGGAAAGCGCGTGGGAAGCGAAGTGAATGGGAAATCCGCACGTCACTTCGCATGGCCAGACCTCCACCGTGGCCGCGCAAGCTGACCCTTCGCGATCCGATGTGGGTACGACAGCACCGTCCTTCATCTCTGTCATTGGTGTGTCGTCGAGAACTCCCACTGCCGTATGCCCATGCCCATGGGGTCTAGCTTCGCGGCAACATGAGCGAAACTTGTGCCAATCCCCTGCTGTTGGGGTGGATCAAAGAATGGCTCGACCAGGCACGAGAGCGCAACAGCAAGGGCGCCATTGTGTTAGTATAGTGAAAACTCGGGTTCTGTTTTTGAGACGCTCGCTGATGATCCGATAGGTACAAAAAAGCCTATGAGTCGATGAAAGCTTGTCCGCTGGCCTTTCAGCATCCCTCGGAGGCGCAGCAGCTCAATGGGCTAGGTCCGAAGCTATGTGATCGCTTGACTGAGAAGCTCAAGGCCTACTGCGAGGAAAATGGGCTTCCCATGCCCGAACACCCCCACAAATGTTTGTTTTATGCTCTTACGATCGTTTTGGATATTGTGTCGTTCTAAGATTAGTCTCAGCCGGCAGCAAGAGAGTCTCGGATGATGGAACGACAGAGGCCCAGCCGGCAAAGAAACCCAGGAAAACCAAGCCATATGTGCCTACCTTGCGGTCTGGCCCTTACGCGATCATTTTGGCTCTCGCAACCCTGGATGAAAATGCCTCCCAGGGTATGACGAAATCACAGCTTATTGAGACGGCACAACCACATTGCGATAGTTCGTTCACGGCGCCGAGCGACCCATCGAAGTTCCACACGGCGTGGACTTCGATGAAGACTCTGCTGCAGAAGGAGCTCGTCTATGACTATGGCCGTCCTCTGAAAAGATACGCTCTGACGGAGGACGGATGGGAGGTTGCCAAGAGGATGAAGGTGGTCGCTCCGTCGGACCCGAGCCAAAGCACGTTGCCGTTTAGAGCGGAATCCGTGAGTTTGTTGATGTCAGGGGTATACAGCTACCGTTCTGGATAACTGACAATAACCTTTACCAGACTCAGCCCGATGCAAGCATTGCAATCCCTGATCGCGCATCAGACAATGCACGCCCGCAAGCCTCCCGTCAAGAGAGCCTGGAGTATGAGGAACTTCCTCAAGAGAACCCCAATACCAACCCTCATGTCTTTCCGGACTTTGATGGAGCCGTGACGCCCATCGTGATCCCGCCGAACAGCTTCACAGTCCAGCTGGTACTGGACGTGCGCGAAGTGCGGTCTTCCAAAGACAGGGACTATCTTGCCAACGAGCTCAGCAAGAAGGGAGTCACGCCCGAGGTGCGCGCTCTCGAGCTGGGCGACGTAATGTGGGTGGCCAAGTTCCACGATCCCACCTTTCTGTCGCGGTACGGGGAAGAAGGTGACGAGATGATGCTGGACTGGATCGTGGAACGCAAACGCCTCGACGATCTGATCGGCTCTATGAAAGATGGCCGATTCCACGAACAGAAGTTCCGGCTCCGGCGATCCGGGATCAAGAACGTCATCTACCTCATTGAAGAGTTCACCGTCACCCAAGACCTGAACAGCGCCATGAAATACAACGAGATGGTCGCCTCGGCGATCGCCTCAACGCAAGTCGTCAACGGCTACTTCGTGAAACGAACCAAGAACCTCGACGACTCCATCCGCTACCTAGCGCGGATGACCTCCCTCCTCCGTAAGATGTACGGCACCGCATCCGGCGAAGCACCCTCCCACACCCTCACCTTAATCCCCAGTCGCCAACTGTCCTCCTCCGAGTCATACCTCGAAACCCTGGAGCGCCTCCGCGCAGAGAACCCCAACACCACCGTCGCCGTAACCTTCTCCACATTCTCCGCCCTGACCTCCAAGTCCGACGTCCTGACCCTCCGCGACGTCTTCCTGAAGATGCTCATGTGCATCCGCGGCGTGACCGGGGAGAAGGCCCTGGAGATCCAACGCCGCTGGCAGACCCCGCAGGCCTTCCTCCAGGCATTCGAGGCCCTCGATCCGCGCAACCGCGAGAACCTGGTCTCCGATCAGATGCAGACCCTCGTGACTCGCAAGAAGGTCGCCAAGGTCCTCAGCAAGAAGATTGCCGAAGTCTGGGGTGAAGATGGTTAGTTGGGAAGTGTTGCTTGGTATCGAATTACTGGATATTTTAGTGCCGTGGCTGCTCCGATACTGTAGTTATTGGGATTACGTTGGCTCGATAGTATCAACGAATAGATATAGAGTCTAAATACATACTATCCCACATATTGAGCATGCTTTACAACTTTCACAGAGAAAACAGACCGACAATGGTTATTTAAATCGTCCGTAGACACATTTCCACAAGACATGACTTCAGCTTATTAAACATTAAATACAGGACTCGCCCAACTCCACCCCCACTCCCTTTCTCTACCTCAGGAAGCTGAAAGAAAGGGGGGTCCGGGGGTTCTCCCCCGGCAACCTTAATGCCAGTGGCTAGGGACGAGCTACCTCCGCCCAGAACCCCACCCTCTAGGCTTCCACCTAAAAGCGAGAGCAAGACTGCTAAGCACAACCGAAATACTACTCAGCGCCATAGCCAACGAAGCCCAAACAGGACTAAACCGCCAGTGCGTCGGCGTGCCGGCGCGCGTATGGCCACTGACTATCGGGTAGAACACGCCGGCGGCGACGGGCACAAGACAGACGTTGTAGACCAGCGCCCAGGCGAAGTTCCACTTCACGCGGCGGAACACCCGGCGGCTGAGTGCCACGAGCTGCTGGATCGCGTGCAGCTCCGAGTGCAGGAGGATGAAGCTTGCTGAGTTCAGCGCCACGTCGGAGCCGCTGGCCAGCGCGATGCTTACGTCTGCGGCTGCGAGTGCGGGTGAGTCGTTGATGCCGTCGCCTACGAAGGCGACGATTTTGCGGGGCCCCGAGGCCTGGCTTTCGAGGTCGGAGGGTGGGGACTGGATTGCGCGGATGAATTCGGCTTTGCCGGCTGGTGTTACGTTCGCTTGTACGTGGTCGTGCGGGATGCCCAGTTGGTCGGCTACTGCTAGTGCGGTGGTCCGGTTGTCGCCGGTGCACATGTAGATGCTGACTTTTTGGCGGCGGAGGTCGGCGAGGACGGGCACTGCGGATGGGCGGATGGTGTCGCTGATGGCGAAGATGAGGGCTGGAGTGAATGGGGCTGGGGGGTTCGAGGGCCCGGTGATGCGGCGGAGGAGGAGGATCGCTGTGGATTTGCCGGCTGTTTGGTGCTTGGTGAGACGCTGGGTGAGGTCGGGGTCTTCGGTCGTGGGCGTCGTGTTGGTTAGGGCGTGGAGGAGCCGTTGGTTGCCGATGGCGGCTTCGTATTGTTGCTGATCGCCGGGGTTGGTGGACGTGGTCATCCTGAAGGTGCCTTTCATGCCCTGCCCAGTTCGTTCCTCGATGTCGATGCTGGAGACTTGCGTTTGCGTCGATGGCTTCTCGCGGCAGAACTCCGTGATGGCCCGTGCGATCGGGTGGTTGCTGCTCTCTTCTAGCTTGCGCGTGACTGTCCAGGCGATGGAGAGCAGGTCGGCGTCGGCGATGAGCTCGTCATGGTCTGAAACCTGCAGGCTGCCTCCCTCAGTGAGGGTACCGGTCTTGTCGAACACGATCGCGTCGAGACGACTCGCCTCTTGGAAGGCCTCACCGCCGCCTTTTACCAATATACCCTGCCGAGCAGCCAGGCCGCCGCCGACGAAGAGCGCAGTCGGCGCGGCGAGGGCGAGACCGCACGGACACGCGACGACAAACACAGCGATGGCGAATTCCAAGCTCCAGAACGTCCAGCCACCCTGGCTGACGTCCAGGTAGTCTTGCGGAAGCGCTCCGGACAGACCGAGGGAGAGCCAGATGATGAAGGTGAGAATGGCGATCAGGGTGATAATCGGGACGAAGTGGGAGGTCAGCAGGTCGGCCACCCTCTCGAGCGGTGCGCGTCTGCTCTGACCCTCTCGTACGACCGAGATGATCTGATCCAGCATTGACGAGCTTCCCAGGGCAGTGACCTGGACATCCACGGGCTGTCCGACGTTGACGGAGCCAGTATACACTGGGTCGCCCGCTGACTTGTGTACGGGCTTGGATTCTCCAGTCAATGAACTTTCGTCGAACTGGTAGGAGCCGGTACCAACTACTACTCCGTCCGCGGGGGGCGAGGCGCCGTGAGGAATGCTGACCACATCCCCGATCTCCAGCATATCAACACTGGTCCGTTGGTAGCTGCCGGCCTCGGGGTTGTTCTCCGCTGGTGCGCCTGCCTGGGTGCTTTCATGGACCTTCAGCAAGGCCTCGCTTGGCCGCAGCTTTCCGAGGGACGCCACCGCATCTCCTGTCTTGGCCTTGCTGTATGCCTCCATGAACCGCCCAGCCAGGATGAACATGGTGAGGAACACCACCGTGTCGAAGTAGGTCGAGCTATGCGTGCTGGACGAAGACCCCATGGACGCATCCATGATAAGCACGGCCAGGGATGAGACATACGCCACCGTGGTTCCAGCAGAGATCAGAAGGTTCATGCTGCCAAAGCGGTAGAATCGGCGCAAGATTGGTACACGACTCCCAGGACGCCAGAGTGAGTGTATCTCTTTCATGGCTCGCACGTGGAAGATGTCGGCGCCATAGAACATGACCGGCGTGGTCATGATAAAGAGCGCCCATTCGAGGCGCGATGCATCGCCTGCCCACATTGGCTCTTCGAGATATTTCCGAGTCGGGTTATCGGATGAGACAAGGGTCATGAACACGATCCCGAGCAAAAACGTGGGGATCGCCACTATCAGGACAAAGGTGAACCGAGTAAGGAGACGCCGTCGTTCATGGCGTTGCATCGCCCGAGAGCGATCTTCCACACTGGGGGGGTGGTAGACCGTGGCTGTGAACGACTCGTGCGACTGCCCGATCGCCTGTAGTATAGTTCTTATGGTAAGGGACGGTGGTTTGGGTGTATATGTCACGGTGAGAATCGGGTTGTTGACGGAGAGGGCCCCGTCCACCTTGACATCCGACAGCTCCTGAAGTGAATTGAAGACCTTTTCCGGGCAATGGTGACAGAACATGCCATCCACATGCACTGAGACTGTTCGTTCTTCGACGATCTCGCTCTCTTGGCATGCGCCATTCGGAGCAACACTGTTGACCGAAGCATCATACCCTAGGTCCTCGATCTTCTCCACGACAGCGTCGATGTTCTTGCGATCCTCAAACTCGATTCTTCCACTGTGCGTCAATAGGTTTATGGATACTTCTACCACAAAGGGCAGTTCTTCCAGCCCGCGAGTGATCGCGCCGGAGCAAGACCCACACGTCATGCCGCTGATGGCGACCTCTGCAATGTAAGTTGGCGTAGGCTCCTTGCGTCTCGGTGCGACAGTAAGGCTTTGAACCTCATCCAGAGAAGCCTCGAAGCCGATGTCCTCGATCTGCTCGGCGATCTTCTCGGCATTTGCCCGCGGGCCGACGAAGACCACCACCGCACTATTCGTGAGTAAATTGACCGTAATGTCCTCCACGAAGTCAAGCTGCTTGACTTCATTAGTGATGCTGTTGGCGCACGAAGCACAGCTCATGCCGCCAATGCTCACACGCGCACTAAACCTCTCTTCTGGCGCCTGTAACGAGCTGTCTGCTACCGACGATGTCTGCGACGCTACGTTTCCTGTGAGACTCCCAGACACTCGATGCTGAGACACGCGTCCAGCGCTCTTGTCGTCCAACGGACAGCTGCCCGCACCCGGGGCAGACTGATAACGCCGATCCCCGTCCGCCAGATCAAGCCCAGCCGCCAGACTCTCCGACTCTTCCTGCCTGCAGGCATCACAATTCTCGATGTGTCGATTATTGCCCGGGGCCGGCGGGGCGTGGGCGCCGGGCTGGCCGGCAGAGAAGATCGAGTCGCGGGGCAGCCACGCGGTGGTATCGAAGTCCGCGACCACGGAGCCCTTGGGCTCGTAGCTGGTAACATGATGCACGTCGAAGGAGGCGTCGATCAGCGCTCTGACCAGGTCGGATGGCTCCACGCCCGCGGTATGCATAACGCGAACTTCGTGCGTGAGGACGGACACATCGACCTGGATCACGCCCGCGATCTCGGATAACACTTCATCGATGTAGGCCACGCACGACGAGCAGTGCACGTTGCTGACGAAGAATGTGCTGCGCAGTGATCTGGCGCTGAGGCCGGCAGGCGCGCGGGGCGCGATGGCCCCGTTGCTGCTTGTGGACTGCTGCTGCGACATGATTCAACCACGAGGTGGCTGAAGGGATAGATCTAAGTTCTGTTTCAAGGTTTGAGAATAATGTTTGCCCTCGGAATGTTTGCGACTGGTCACGGGGGCGAGCTTTGAGTCAGTTCATTCGTAATAGTTGTGCTTGGCTCTTGGCCGGAATTATGTTTGCAATTGTGGATGTGAAGTGGATGGAGGTAAGGGGGAAATGTGTATTTGAGTTAATGGTGTATGAAGAGAGAAAGGCGTTGTATGAGTAGTCATGATGGATTGCGTGCGATCATTTATAATTGTCTGTGTGGGGGAGAGGCAAGATTGCGCGGTTTGTGCGCGGAAGAATCTGAAGCTCTAAAGAACGCACAAATCGCGCATTCCAGCCAGAGGGTCGCCGATGATGTAAGTAGGTTTGTTTCTACGGTGCACGACCGCTTTCGGCTGCTGGGGACAAGGACAATCAACTCAGGAGATGCAGTGAAGAAGACGTCTAATGTAACTTGGGTATTATAATACCTAAGTTATGTCTTTCAAAACATCATCCATGTTGAAGATGGTAGTAGACCACTTGCGGTGTTCCGGAGCGCGATGGACGGAGTGGCAAAAGGCTTGGATGGCAGAAAGTCGCCACTGGCCAGAGATCTGATTAGATCATGGATGGGGGTCAGGGGCAGGCAGGCAGTCTATTGCCTAGTCCTTCATCATTATCATTGTTATCGACTTCTTGGATGGTTGAAGAGGCTCATCCTGCCCATGCAGAACGAAGGTGCCGCAACCGGCAGTAGAGTGACGGCTGGACTGCAAGACGCTGCCAGCCACGGTTCGTACAGATGCAACGGCACCGTCCAGTCATAGTCATATTCATTGTCGCGTATAGTGAGGGGTATTGAAGGGAGTATAGAATACTATAATCTGCTTAGAGTACGGAGTAAAGGTTAATGAGAAAAGAGTCGAACACCGAGTCGAAGGAGGATCGAACAGGAGTCGAGCGGGAGTCGAACGAAAGGCCAACGCGTGGACGCGACACGTGATCTCCCCGCTGGGCCACCGCGACGCTCGACTCGCGATTTTCCTCTCGCTCAATTCCGCGACCATCTTCATCTTCCATCCTCTCCCTTTCCACCAAGGGAAAAACCACTTATCGCGACTTCTTCCAGCTGTGACGCGTGTCGACACGTCTTCCTCTCGTCGCGATCTTCATCTTCACCACGATCTCTCTAGCAGCAAACCAACAGAGGAAGAGGTGCATCTGCACAATCAGCGCGGAGGTACCCCGCATCTCCCTTTCTTTGTCAACCCTTTTTTTTTCTTTCAAGCTCGACTTTCTCACCTTCTATACTGTTTGCTTCCCGAAGTCCGACAGTGGTTCGGAATTCCGCAGATCATCTTGGCCACTCATCTACTCGATGATAAAACATATGGCGTAACATCTTGCTCAAGCATCTCCCCTCAATATATTCACCAATCATTTGACCAATAGGGGCTTTCCTCTCCGGAGATCCAGTCTTGCATCATGTCCGTTCCAAGACCCGGGATGCGGCCAATGCCACCCCGGAATGGCCCGAGGGCACCTCCGATGGGACGTCTGGCCAGTCTCAAGCCACCAAGCTCCACGCCGATCAGGCGTCCACAGCCCATCTCCCGGCCTCAACCAGTCAGACCGACGACCCATCCCAAAACCACCACCTGTCCGAACCCAGGCTGTCCTGCCCCTCATATCGTGGAGGATGACGGCCAGAAGGTCTGTTCCGGGTGTGGTACGGTCATCAGTGAGGCCAACATCGTCTCCGAAGTCACCTTCGGTGAAACCTCCTCCGGTGCGGCTGTCGTTCAGGGAACGTTCGTCGGCGAGGACCAGTCTCACGTCCGCAGCACGGGCCCTGGCCGGTTCCATGGAGGGACCGAGAGCCGCGAGCTTACGGAAGCGAACGGTAATCGCTATATCACGCAGCTCTCTCGTGCTTTGATGATCCCCGAGAGTGCCTCCAAGGCTGCTACTCAAGTGTTCAAACTCGCGGTCGGGCTGAATTTCATCCAAGGTCGCAGAACCAAGACTGTTGCGGCCGTCAGTTTATACATTGCCTGCCGTCGTCAGGACGGCAACACGGTCATGCTCATCGATTTTGCCGATGTGCTTATGCTCAACGTCTTCAAACTGGGTCGGACCTACAAGGCCCTCTTAGAAGAGCTACGCCTGGGAGGCACTATCTTTCTCATGAACCCGATCGATCCCGAGAGTCTGATATATAGATTTGCCAAACAACTGGAATTTGGGCCCAGCACAATGCAGGTGGCCAGCGAAGCCGTCCGCATTGTGCAGCGCATGAATCGAGATTGGATGACCACAGGTCGTCGTCCCGCCGGTATCTGTGGTGCAGCGTTAATCCTTGCTGCCCGCATGAATAACTTTCGTCGCACGGTTCGAGAGGTAGTATATGTGGTGAAAGTAACCGAGATTACCATTAGTCAACGTCTGAATGAATTCAGTTCGACCGAAAGTGGTGAGCTCACCGTCGACCAGTTCCGTTCCGTTCAACTGGAAAACGCGCATGACCCGCCCTCGTTCGCTCGGTCCAGAGAGGGTCGAAAACCCTCGCGGTCCTTCAAGAGGAAACCCGCTGAAACGGCCGCAGAAATTGAAGGAGATGTACCGGAAGTACAGCAGCCGAGACGGGTAGACTCCGATGGCTTTGCCATTCCAAATCTTCCCATTGATCCGGCGTTGATGGCAGCCGATCATAGCCATAGACGGTTGTCGACTGCCTCCGCGACAAGCGATGCGATATCCGACACTGGGGATGACCCCGCTGCGAGTCGCGCAAAATCGAAGAGACCCCAGATGCCACCTCCCTCGGCGGAACAACTTGCGTCCGAGGAGGCGCTGGAAAATGAAATGGCCTCCTACTTGACACAGGGCTCGAACATGGTTGAGAGCACAGTCATCCCGCCCAAGCCAGCAGTGTCCGATAGCGCAGAGATCGATGCTGCCGAGTTTGAGTCGGACCCCGAAGTGGCCTATTGCTTACTGACACCCGCTGAAGTCGAGATCAAAGAGCGAATTTGGGTGCATGAAAACAAAGACTATCTACGAGCACAGCAAGCCAAGGCTTTGAAACGTGCCTTGGCCGAAGCTGAATCTCAGCCTGGGGCTGACGGCCGCGTACATAAACCCCGGAAACGCCGTAAGGGTAGACTGGGCGATGTCACTTATCTCGAAGGAGAAGGAGAAGACGGTGATGGACGCAGCACTCGTGCCTCCACCCCCGCGGAAGCAACGCGTCGAATGTTGGAACGGAGAGGATTTAGTAAAAAGATCAACTACCGACTTTTGGATTCCCTTTTCGACGAAGGGGGCGCCGACGAGGCCTCCAAGGCAAAGGCTGAAAGTCTCAGTCGAAGCCAGAGCCGTAGTCAGAGTGTGGTCTCGAGACGCAGCGCCAGCATCGAGCCCGAAGCGGCGACTCGGCGAGCTGGGCTCGCAACTGCTTCGACTGCTGAGAAGCCCCCAGCGCCTTCTGTACCCGTGGTGTCGACCTCAGTGCGTGGGCCGGCAGTGCAGGCAACCCAGCCCGCATCGACAGCTACAGCCGAGAAACCCGCTGTGAACGAGGAAGTCCTGGGCCCTGCTGCCGGCCAGAAAAATGGCTACTCAGATGAGGAGCAGGGGGAGGACGACTATGACGATGACGACGAAGTGGAGGACGGGGTCGACGCGGCTTTTGCAGGACAATACGGTGACTACTACGATGAAGGCAGTGACTACTACGATAGTGACTGAGCTGGAAGTGAGTCGCAGATCATTTGGAAGAACATATAGTATCATGGCATGTACATATAGCCAAGGCTTAGCCCCAACGAACTTGGCAGCTTGAACGAACTAATACCTACCATTCCAGGACTGAGCAATCCACCTATATATAGTAGCAAGCAGTGTTCCAATGAAGTAATCTTGAACCTTGAGCCCCTGTTTTCCTAATCTGGACTGGACTCATGGAACTTCACAAGCTTTTGACCTCCTTCCATTTGAAGCCGATATCACGTGCGTCCGTAGAGCCTCGACAACCACCACCACAACAACCACACGGCACGATAACCTCGATCCCTCGTCTCTGTCTTGCCCGGACCTCGGTCAGATCCCAAAAGCAACTTAAGATTCCCAAGGCCGGCGCCATGCATGGTGGCTGTCCATGGTCTAGGCGCGCAAAGTAATAAGAGAGCAGCTCTTCGCCCAGGACTTCAGAGCGTCCAGGAGTATAACGCTAACTTCCTCCCACAACCAGAGTGACTTTCTCAACCATAGGACCTCCAGAATCTTCCTAGCTCTCGGCGTTCCAAGGCAAGGGGCGTTGACCTGGTCGGGCTTTGGAAACCACTGCCAAGGTCCAGGTTTAGGCAGATGCTCCATGGAAACCCTGCTAGAGCCGAGTCGAAGCTCCTGCGCCCAAGCAGTCGACAGGCTGATACTCCACGTACAACGTCAAGTCTACATCCTATGGTCACGAATCCCTGCTCGTGGGGTCTCTGATTGCACACCCTACTCCCTAGATACGCGGCCCTATGCCCACATATAGCACTCGCTCCCAGCCCGGAAGTCCACCTTCCGCGAGCCCATGAGGAATGTGTGAGGCAGGGTTTTCTCCCCGGGACAGAATGCACGAGACAAAAGGATAGAATTACTGGATGTCACCATACTGTCGTCTGACTCTGGGGGATCCTCGGTCCTGTAGCTCCTGCGCACCGTACTTTTGTGGTAAGCCCTGTGTAATAGTGCCGAACCTGAACCTGTGGTATGGAGGGTGGCCGGTTAGGTCTACAACCGGTTAGTATGGCTTCAGCGATGATCGTAGCGGCTGCTACTTGGGAAAAAACTTCGCCAGTCTGCAGGTCTCGTCGTCATGCTACGTTAGCTCTCTCTCGTGCACCAAGTCCATGTGTTTTGCGGATCCACAGGCCCCCCCCCTCGGTGTGTATTGAGGACCCCTTACTATTGATGGCAACGACTAAACCCACTTGTCAGCGTATAAATACTTCGGGCGATTATTGACGATTGTACGTATCATCCGCCATTGTTCCAGCTTCAAGCCCGCTTCTCTTTGCCCGGGATCATGGCGAAGCTCGACATATATGGCCGAGGATTCGGTCTACGCATGGCTATTTTGTTCACTTGCCAGTTAGCCTTCGTGCTGTTTGGTAAGTTCTTTGCGCAGCAGTCTTGGAAACTGCGCTTCGCTGACTTGAGGCTTGCTGCTGTACAGGTTACAATCAGGGGATATACTCGGGGATCGTGTCAAATGAGAATTTCCTGGGGATGGTGGACCACCCCGGTTCGGCCATGGTTGGATTCATCGTGGCCATATACAACCTGGGATGTCTACTGGGGACGTTGATTTCCTTCCTGCAGAGTGACAAGCTAGGGTTCCGGAGGTCGATGTGGTTCTCCATGGCAGTGATCATGGTGTGTGAGTGTCTATATCCCATCAGCCAAAAGAAACATGCTAACATGGGACATCTCGATTGATTCCCGCAGATTGGAGGCACCGCCCAAACATGTTCCTTTTCCAGGACTCAAATCCTGGCGACCCGATTCTTCACGGGCATTGGCACCGGGGTGATGACAGCAGCCGTGCCAGTGTATCAATCGGAATTGTGTGATGCACGGAAACGAGGAATGTACGTCTGCAGCCAGCCTCTCGCAGTCAGTATCGGCATCTGCGTGGCCTATTGGTTCGATTACGGACTGAGCTATGTCGACGGCTCCATCAGTTGGCGACTCCCCATCGCTTGTCAGCTCCTTCTTGCCGCTGGCGTGGCTACCCTTATCCTCGGGTGAGCTTGCACTTTGTCGGGTTAAGGTGATTCTAGTGTGTGTGTCTGATGAGTTCCAGATTGCCGGAGAGTCCCCGATGGCTGTATCGCCATAATAGAGAGGCCGCCGCGTTGCGCGTGCTCTGCGACTTCTACGACCGGCAGGCGGACGACCCGAAAGTTATTCAGGAGGCAGAGGGCATTCGCAGGGCCATCGAGGCTGACAACGCTCGCGGCGAGTACAGGTGGTCGCAGATCTTCAAGAAGGATGAGCTCCACACTGGCCGACGAGTCTTGCTGGCCTATGGGCTGCAGTTCATCAACCAAATGGGCGGCGTCAATGTGATCGTTGTAAGTGTAGACGGCCTTGGAGCAATTGCGGCCATTACTGACGTTTACTCTAGACGTATTCGACAATAGGTAAAGACCCTGGCCTACATCTAACTTTTATCTTCCAGACATGATACTAATCCGTCACCACCCTAGTCCTGCAATACAACGTCGGCCTCGACGCCAAGCTGAGTTTACTGCTAGGTGGAGTGATCGAGCTCATGTTTGTCATAGGCAAGTCTCTCACGGTGTTCATTACTGGAGCGACGAAAAACTAACCATCTGCACTGCAGGATCCTTTTATCCCACGTTCTACGCCGATCGCCTGGGACGTCGAGGCCCGATGATGTGGGGATCATTCGGGCAGTTCTTATGCATGCTACTGATCTCCATTCTTCTGTCATTCAAAGGTAGGTAGAAATCCCCTTCCCCAGCCTTCCTTCCGACCTGAAAGTGTATTGCCCAATCCGGCAAATGGTGAACAACGCGGCGGCACCTCTGACAAAACTTTCTTTGGGTGCTCCAGGAACCAGCCTCGAAAGACCAGCCGCCACGGCATCAGTGCCGTTCTTCTTCCTGTTCATGCTCATCTTCGGCGCCTCGATTAACTGCATACCGTGGGTGTACGGACCGGAGATCCTTCCCCTGCATGTTCGCAATAAAGGGTAGGTCCGACCAATGGGGTTGTCTCTTTCCACATTCCAGCCGGTGGCTCTTCCTTCTCAACCACCTAGCTACTAGCCTGCACCAGGAATTATACGATGAACAACGATGCCTAACAAAGTTTCTAGGTCCGCCATCGGCATCTCCGCCAACTGGCTGTGGAATTTCTTTACGGCCATGATCGCCCCAATCCTCATCCGGGATTTGGAATGGAAGGGGTATCTGATCTTCATGTGTTTGAATCTTTCGTTTGTGCCGGTGAGTTTCTTTTGTCCCCCATCTGCCTTCCAGCTGGTGTTTTCAAGGCTGTTTCTCATGCTGGGACTGACTGGACCGCGTAGATCATCTATTTCTATTACCCCGAGACAGCGAACATGAGTCTCGAGACTATCGACCAGCTCTTCATGGATAAGAAGCCGTATCATCAGCAGGAAGTTTCTAGTGAGACGACAAAGGGGTCAGTGACCTGCACTGAGGTGACGGAGCTTCCGACTGTGAGTTAGGACATCAAATCGTGCCCTGGCAAGGTGGGCACGGTGGAGGTTCTCAGGTGAGTGGGCAATTGATTTGGGCGGAGCTGGGAGCGAAGACGATGACGTGAGGTCGGAAGATGTGGTAGCTTGGAGGTGCCAGTGTGCGGTGCGTGATGAGGGGAGTAGTAACCAAGTCATCGAGGGTTAGAGTCATTGATAGCTAGTGTATAAGTGGAATGTTGCACTGCCAATTTTGCAGGGCGTTGATTTCCCTCCACGAGCTGAATCTCTTTGATTCTCTGATCTTTCGAATGCCCTTCCCTCCCAATGATTATTCTAGGAGGATCTTTCTTGCAAAAAAGCTATATAGCCAGCGAAGATCATCCTCAGGAGCTGCGAGCAGTTTAGCGGGCCAATCTTCCAGCGGTTGACGAGATGAATTGAATAGATTGGTATTGGCTGCGTTGTGTTGTTCCTTCGGAGTAATGCTTCCAACTCCACATTTACACCGATGCCTAGATGGGTGTCCCGCTGGCTTTGGCGGGGATCCAACAGAAATCTAGTTATCTATACCGGGGTGGGGGTTGTAGTTTTAACAACTTCAACTTCCTATTTTTCTGCATAATCCACGTGACTCGCTGCTGCTCCCTTTCATGTCCTGCATTCATGCATCCGCAGACTATACCCCCATTCCGCGATACTGCCTTGTTCAACATTATGGGCCGTGTTTCGAGACCCAAAGCTGCAAAGTTCAATGCGTCCACTTTAGAAAAAGCTACAAAGTGCGATGGAGAAGGATCCAGAAGTTAACTCGGCCAGATTACTAGTACCGAGCGATACTCTACTCGCTCAAAACATATGTGCGAGAATAACGAGTCGGGTCAGTATACGAAGAAATACATAACTGCCATCTAGATTATCTTTGTCCATAGAACCGACCAAGCCGAACCCCTTCTTTTCAGCTTCCTGGCGGTGCGGTCTATACTCCCGTATAGACTAAACCAGAAGACTGTACTACTAGTACTAGGATTGAGATACCAGGAAGCTGAAAGGAAGGGGGGTCCGGGGGTTCTCCCCCGGGATGTCTCCCAGCATCACGCACTGGCAGTGGTGGTGATGACGATGACATTCGAGCATGCCCCTTTCGCGCGTCAGATGCTGTTGTTCGACTGGGAAATACAGTGGCTTCTATACCCCGATTACTATGAAGCTGGTAGGTGCACGAACTGCCTGGCATCGCTTGAGGAGATGTACAGTACCTTCCGGAGGGCGTTTCACTCGAAAACGTATGCTCCTTGGTGGCTTCTTGACCGAGTCCGAGAACCGAGATTTGTAGGATGATCTGCTTCTCGATTCGATGGAGAAATAGAACACTTGTTTCCACTGAGGTGCGCACATTTAGATGATGGCCCCTCTCTTTGATCTTTCAGCTCCTTCCTAGTCTTACGATAGTCCTCGTTGTCTTTCTTTGAGATATATACTTTTTTTAAGGCCAGGATGGCACGGGGTCAGCGATCAAAGACGCGAAGTCGAACCCGAAGCTGAAGCCGGGCGGATCGATCGCCGCTTCACCCTGGCTCGGAACGGAGTCCTGGAGCCCTTCACCCTGGACCGTGGCGGAGTCCTGGAGCCATTCCGCCCAGCTGGGGTCCGTATCCTGCGCTATCTGCGGGGACGGCATTGATTCATTGTTGGGGATATCTGTGATGAGACCCATCCCTCCCGCGGAAGAGCTCTGCGAAGACAGCGCAGGGCATCCAGCGACCACCTCCCCGAGACCCCTACAAGCGGTCTTCAGCAGACGTTTCACCAACCGCCAGCGATGGTCCTGCAGCAGCGTATCACGCTTGAACAGATCCTGCATCGCTTGCGCTCCTTCCAGCAACCCTATCAATCGGTCCCGCCAGGCTTGTTGCTCTGCCTTCGGGGCGCGGTCCCACAGAGTGAGGACGTGTATGAGGGCTCGGCCGAGGGCGTCTAGGCCCAGAATATAGAAATGGAGCGAGGGCGACCTCGTGCTAGCCACTGGGTCATGCCGCGCGGTTGCCTGGATGGCCGGAAAGAGTTGTTCCAGGTCCTGCATAGTGGTGACGAGGTCTTGAATGAGCTGTTCGGTCAATCCCAAAGTTTGTAATGTGTCACGGGGAAACAGTAGATGCAGGGCGACAGCCTGATAGGAGGCAAGCAATCCAGCCCTCCCGCATTCCTCTATCGATTCCTGCTCTACGATCGCGATAACGTTTCGCAAAGCTTCTCTGGCATCAGTGCAGACCTGCGGCAGGCTGCGCCCGCGGTGTAAGAGGTTATTGAGCTGGCGCTGGATGCGTTGCTGCCACGGTTGCGGCGCGGGCGGAGTGCGCGGGGGCGGGGGGTATAGGGCGTACAGGTGGGTGGATAGCGAGGTGATGTGCGCGAGCAGCCAGATGGATTGCAGGGAGGAGAGTTGCGGTTTCAGGGTGGAGAGGTTACATGTTGCGCGGTCGAGTTGTAAGATGCTCGACTCGGGCTCGCTGCTGGCTGGGAGCGTCTGCATTAGCCGCGCGGGCAGGATATCCGCGAGAGGCATGTCCATTTGCAGGAAGGACCATACGGTCAGCGCTAGCACCACCCAGCAGATATTGTGGATCAGCTCCGCCTCGACTACGCCCTGGTCGATACCGTTGATGTGCGCGTGGGGTTGTCGGGTCACAGGCGACTCGTGCAGCTGGGACTTCAGTTTGGTGATGACCCGGCACGCGTAGCCCGTGTAGCATAGTGCCCGGCGCGAAGACCCGCGGCAGACGTGATACCAGCCTAGCAGTAGCGCGATCTGCGCTGTAGATAGTTCCGGCTTGGCCTTGTCTGAGGAAATACTCGGTAGTTGAGAGATGGCCCATCGCAGCAGGACATCTCCCTTGTCGGAATCATCAGTAAAGTGATGGGCATCCGCGAGCAGGATTGCTAGCAAGACCCGATTAGCTGCTCGGCTGCGCAGGTCGCGGAGAAGCAGGGATTTGGAGATGAGAATAGATAAGGGATGGTTGCCAAACCAGACCTCGAGATACTGGGCGATGAGATGCGGAGTGTATTCAGCCAGAACATCCGACTCTATGGAGGGGGACGGATGATCAAACATTGTCCTAGAAGAATCCAGCAGCATACAAGCGCGAAAATACCGTTCCCCAACCCCAAAAAAAGGATGACAACCCAGCACACCAAACTTCCCGACCACCGTCTCGACCAAATCCTGCATCAAGAGAGCCAAGAACCCGGCATAACTGAGACTTCCCACAGGGACAGACGGCCGCCCCTGGCCCTGGACACCAGATACTCTCCCCGAAGCTAACCGCCGATTAAAGGTAGCCACTCTATCATGGAACAAATTTGATGGAGCAGGCGCCGTGGGACCATCGCTGAAGTTCTCGCGAAACATCGCATCCAGCTCTACCCCCAGATTCGTGTTAGGGCTTGTCGTGGAGTTGGGACGGACTTCTTCGCCCGTCTGCCCTTCCTCCAACATCCGAGAATTCTGGCCTGCAGAACCGGCCGTAGACGTGGGCTGAGCAGATGTCGTCGTCTTCTTCGGACGCGGACGACGGCCCTTGGCTGTTTCTAGGTCGTAGACACATTCGATGGAGCGGTCGCGGCAGGCGGTGCAAATGCGTCCCCCTGAACAGGCGATCTTCCGGGCGCGACAGTAGGCGCAGCTGCGCCGGAGCGAGGGTTTTTTGACCATCGCGGAGGGGAAGAGGATGTAGTGTGTAGTCGACCGTTGGTCTTCCTTCTGGGGTTCACATCCTGGCCTTAGTCAGACTGCTTGACTTTAGCGGGCGTAAGCGCTAAGCCCTATGTTACTAGGTAAGTTCCTGTCTTCATAATCTTGATAGTTTGGTAGACTCTGTATTCCAGGAGTGGGAACCTGGAGATTGGCTCTCAGCGGGGGATTGAAGACAGTTGAATGATCCGCGGGGTGAGTGGATCTGTGTGTGATCACATTTAGGTTGTCGTCTCTAGAGAATATAGAATCAGGTGACTAGGTTAATGGCTGGACTCTTCCAATTGTTTGCATACACCTGACCTTCTCTGGAAGACACTCGAGCCATTATGAGGTCCAGTCGAGTGAGAATTGAAATATAAGTCGAGCACTGGAGAAGTAGACTGGGCGTTGAGCCAACTTCATCGTGGTTGGCAGAGCATGCGACTCAAGTGACGGCCTGACCGCTCTTTGCTACTGAATCCTTGTGCCTCCCAAAGTTCCAACCCAACCCAACCCAACCCTCCTCTCTTCCCCTCATTCAAAATTCTACTTCAAGTCCAGTAATCAACTCGTTTTCATTATCTTGTATTTCTTTTCTTTCCTTTAATTATTTATGTCTTGCAAATATTGAATCATATCTGACGATAAACACCAGACATATGAATAAAATATCAACAAACAAGAAACGAAAAATGCAAAGAAAACAGAAATCAAATGTCAGACCAAAGAAAACAAATCCGAAGATATCATGACGGACTTCGCGGTTCATGAGACTGTCCCTACCCAGCCATGCCCATACCGCCCATTCCTGATACGCCAATGTCCAAGAGAGAAAGAGGAGAGAAAAAGGAAATGATTTCACAAACATGCATCAATGACATACGGACGGACGAGATCGAAAGAATTTAAAGAACTGCCCCGGAAAGAAAAGGAAGGTTAAGTTAGTCGGTCGAGGCTGCTTGTGGTTTTGGCCCATCGTCGAGGTCGATTGATTCGGTCGAGTGGCGGGCTGCGAGGCAAACTTTTGATGGAATGTCGCTGTTGCTGACGGATGCTGTGCTGGCTTTACGTGTCAATCTCCATCCCCGTCCCCATTCCTACGCTGTTGTTCAATCCAGCACCAAGACCGGTGTCGACCATGCTGGGCTGGGCACAGAGTGTTTGCAAAAGAGGAAGACCAGGCTCGGCCTGCGTGGCCCCCAAGAGGTTCTGCGTTGCCGTGGCGGGCATGCTCGAAGCAGGTCTGTCGGAGGCATTGAGAATCTGAGTCCCCTCAAAGACGATCGGGTTGGAACGCAGGTTCTGAAGGCAGAGCTCCCAGTTGGAGCCCACGAGTTGGGCCTGGGTGAGGTCATCGCTGAAAAGGAAGAAGGCAGGCACGAATGCAGGGCCCATGGGAGTAATAGGGCGTGCAGTGACAAGGTAGGCATTCAATGCTCGGTTCTTCATGAGGATCTCGGAATCCATGAGGTACGCGGAGAATTGGCGGTCAATGTATTTCTTCCAGCCGCGCACTGCAGCCGCCATGTCGGAGTCTTCGGTTACGATCCGCTGCCAGCTGATCCCCAACAGGCGGGTGGCATCGTCGACAGTGGGCTCCTCCGGAGAGAGGCGAGAGCTTGCAGGAAGAATGCGACGATTGTCGTCGGTATTACTGGTATCATCGAGCCGGCTCTGGATGGAAGAGAGGGTTATATCGTCGACAGTCGGGGCGGTAGGATCCAGTCGCTGGGATTTGCGACTGAGGTTATCGGATGCGCCGGAATGGAGCATTTGAGATCGGGACGAGACCGGAGCGGCAGTTGTGGCGGTCTTCTCCGCACTCTCCTCGTACCACGTGCCGGTTTGACTTTCGGCAGAGATAGCTATCTTGGTACGAGGATTCAGCAGGACCATGCCTGGGCCATAAATGGGTTTCTCTTCTTTCTGTGCCAGGGGCGCAGGGGCCGATGCGACAGGTCCACCCGAGCTCGGGGCCCCGTCGTCGAACCCGACATCATCTCGCGACCTCTTGCGGGAGGGTTTGGCAGTGAAGTTATTATTGGAGTTCGCGAACCCATGGGCGCCATTCGTGAAGAATGATCCCCGGTGTGCATCGGCGCCAGGGTTAAAGCGGGTCTGGTGAGGATACTGAACAAAAGCGTGTTCCTGGGGAGGGGACAGGACCATCGCTGGGCCGTCGGAGAGGCTGTTGAGCATCATAGGGCACATGATGAGCAGGGAATCGCGGCGAAACGCAGGAAACTACAACGAGACGAGAGACGAATCTGTTCTGTCTAGTGAGCTAGAAACAATGAGCTGGAACCACCTGATGGAGCGCAAAGACCCAAGCCGTTGAGGGATCTAGCCCTAAGGGAGGTACGGTCGAACAGGTAGGCCACGAGGTAGAATAGGTAGGAGAGATATAACGAGGAGAGGGATGGAGGATGGAACGTGAGCAAGTATGGATAAAGTGGAGAGGATGGAAACAGGAGGAGTAACTTATGGCAATGGGATGAGGAATAAAGAAGAATGAGGAGGAGGAAGAGAGAGAAAAGAAGGAAGACGGGAAGAGAGGGAGAAAGTAGGGTTATGCGAGATGGGTAGAGCTAGCCAACAAGAGACGAAGAATCACGGGGATGAATGGATGGATGGATGGATGGATAATGAGTGGATGGAGCAACGCGTGAGAGACCCAAGAGAGAGAGAGAGAGAGAAAGAAGGAAAGACGAGACAGCCTGCAGCTTGTCTGTGTTAGGAAGATGAGTTGCTGACGGATGCGGAACCAGCGATTGCGATGCGGAGAGATTCCACGAAGAGCAGGATTTGCCTTGTCTCAGTACGGCCGGATACTGTAACTAACCCATACAACGGGTCGAGTATGCCGCAGCAACGATCAGCATGATACGGTACGAGACGGCAGGGATACGGCAGGACGGACTGACTTTGACGGGTCCACCCAACCTCCGATCAAGCAGCAAGGACGGAGGCATTATTGGTCAATGGAATATTGCCTGGGGCAACCCATGCGAGTGGAGATCTCGACTGTTGGCCGTCTGTCATTGGCCATCCAAGGGTCATCCACGAAAAGCCCAGTCCGCGCGTCGGCCCTGAATGAGTCCTTGCCGACGCCACCGCCTGCCGTTATTGGCTTGTGCCCCATCCTCAAGCCCGAGCCCGTCGAGCCTCTTGGAGCCTCCGTGATTCGTCCTGTTCCAGCGCTGACTAACAAACAGCACACCCGCGTCCGGGTCGGAGAAACAGCTGGCTGACAATATGGAATCTGCTCAGCACGAAACATAGGACATCTATTTGGTTATAACAGGTGGTAGCTTCATCATAGGGTAAAAAGAACGGGACTGTAAAAAAAAAGGTATAATCACAAGAAAGTGTTCTCGAACAACACAAAATAGATATCAATGGGGAATATAAAAGGAATATGAAGAGCATGAGGAAATGGTAGCAACATCGAACACCATGCCCTCCCGCCAATGGGACATGTCGAAAATCTTTGTGCATCATCGCAGGTCACAGCAATGCACCAACAAAACCCCTTTCTAGAGCCTGGAACACCATGACGAGGGAAAAAGAGTAAAAGAGAAAAAGGAGCTAATTCACAGACATTGGAGACTGAGTGCATCCGAGACCTAAGCTGCGTTGACTGGGCACAAGCTACATTTCCCGCATGTGGCCGGCCCAGACAATTGCCATCATCCTCGTGCACGTCCATCTCAACCGGAAGCATTATCTTAGGCAAATTGAAGCCGTACATATCCAAGTGTGAATCTAGAAAAAAAAAAGGAAAATAGAATAAACGAACAAACGGACGATGCCGGGGAACTTTTGGTGTCCAACTTATCGTCCCATAGTCTCAGGCTCTCAGTAGCGCAATTGCAGGCTGGATGACGGATCAGTGAGGCCGGACAGTACGCCCAAATCATGGGAGGACCGCGCGAGATCTCTCTAAGCGTTGCCGGCAGTGGCTCCGCCGAGCATTCCCTTGACGCTAGCGACCTGCTCGGGCGCGTAGCTGGGGGCCATAGATCCCATGAGCAGGAAGAAGATCAGAAGGCCAGCGCCGATGATGATGAACTTGCGCTGGGCGGGGTGGGTAGCACCATACTCGGCCCAAGCACGGTTGGCTTGACCAGCATACTCCTTGATCTTGTCGCCTCCAAGCTTGTAGTAGACGAGACCAACAAGAGCAATCGAGTAACCGAAGAACTGGAGGCCAGTGACAGGAGTCTGCCAGATCATCATGGAGGCAACGACGAGAAGGATATCCTTGAGGACACCGCAGAGAGTCATTACCAAAGAGGAAGTCTTGCCAATCTAAGCCAGGGGTTAGTATTGATTCCAGGTAAAGAGAAGGGTGAAGGTGGCTTACCAGGAAGACAACGGAGACGTTGAGGAGGAAAGCAACAACAGCATTGGCCAGCAATGTCCACACACCAACGTTGTAAATGTGGGCCATGGTCAGGTTGGGAACCTCAAGGAACAGAGCCGTGACACCGTTCATGACAGCACAGACGGGAGCGAAATAGTAGAGAGACACGAGAGGGTCCATTTTGTACTCGGCAGAGCTGAGCAGGCGCTGGACCATCACCAGACGAGTGGCCTCGAAGATGATACCACCAATCTGGAACAGGAAACCAATCATGACGAATTGGATCTCACCGAAAGAGGCAATGACAACACCAACGACGATGATGCTCACGTTCATGAGCACCTTGTAGTTGACAGGAGCCATGCCCATACCCCAGGTAGCGAACAGAACAGCAACGGGTGTAGTAGCCTTGAGAATCAAATCAGCGATCCAATCAACCAGTTTTGAATTTTTCTTTCAACGAACCTTGAGCATCTGAATGAAGGCAACACTCAGGTACAAGTATGTCACGTTGCCGCAAATCAGACTCAGACTGAAGAACAAGCCGATGGGGACAATCGCGCGCAGGTACACACGCCCCGTCATCTTGACCGTTTTGCGACCATCAAGCAGGGTAGTGGTGCGAGCAAGAAGCTGGGTCATGAAGGTTGCGAATGCCAGATGCCATGTTGTAAGGAGAATAGGGAAGCCTATGGTAGCGCAAGTCCAGATGTTAGTGCGAAGCGCATTGGATCAGGCGATAAGAGCCAACTTACGGAACTGAGCGTAGTCGAGAATATGCTTGTTGAACAGGATGACACTGGAACTCAAGGCAATCCAGACGCTGGATGTCTCTTAGTACCAATCCATGACCACCGAGACTCTAGCCGATTCTGGGGCGACATACCTGACATAGACGGCCGGGTGGAAAGCAGGCTTAGGAGGCTCCGACTTGTCGACAGCGGGATTGACCGTGGGCAGAGTAGGCTCCGGGCGAGAGACCTCGCCAGAGGTTCTGACCTTTTCTCCTTCGGAACTCATGGTGAAGATTGGAGTCTGGTCGGACAAGAAACGTTGGAAGTCGAAAGGGCGCGGCCGTAAAAGGCTGCTTTGTCCGAATTTCGCAGATGCCACGGGTGAGGATTAGAATAAGAGAAGAAAAAAAACCGTTGAGCGAGCGCAGCAGTGAGGGTCTGCGATCAAGGCGACTGGGCGAAGTAGATTGGATGTTAACGAGTGAGACTGGAGTTGGTCCAAACAGCGATAAAGACAAGGGGAAGTGGGAAAGAATTGAAAGGCAAGGGAAGAAAGAAGATGATAGAGGTGAGAGGACGTTGAAAGGGAGAGAAGAAGAGCGTGGAGGAAGAAGAGGGGAGGGGGTGGTGGTGGGAGGCAGGGAAGGGGGCTGATCAAACCGATCGGGATGGATTGGGGTACGTATGTGTCTGGCTTGTCCGTCGAATAATAAGGGTCATATGGGATGGGTGGTTCGGGACTGGCTCGGGATGGATTTGGGTTTTGAGGAGGGAGGGGGGGGAGCCTGGAGGAAAGGGAAGTGACTTACGGCTCGTTTCTTGTTGGTTCGCTCGCAAGATACAAGTAGGTGCGAAGACGGCACGGAAAATTGATCTTAGAGGGGCGAAAGGGTCGGGTAGATGGAGGGAAGTGAGAAGAGGAAGAATTAAGAAGGAGAGGAAGACATAGAAAGAAAGAACAGAAGGCTGAGGTGGGTTCCGCATCAATACTCCAGCAGATCAAATTGCTGTTCGGTGAGATGAGTTGAGTGTCTATGAGAGAGCCCAGGCAATCAATGATGGGGCCAGTAGCCCGGAGGAGGGAGCACTGCAGTGAGCCCGAGAAGGTCAAGCTTCGGGACTCTCCAGTCTCCTCCCACTTTTCCCCTCCCAAGTTTAGCGGCCGGCCCTGCAGTCTCCGTCGCTCGTCGCTGCAAGCATCCTGCCGGAACTACTTGTACATTGACCCCTACCAGATAATACTACTACTACATAGAACGGTACCACTGTACTTCCTTTCATCTGCTACCTATCAGTGGTAGGGAAAGAATTAGCAGTAGCGCAGGATCAGAGGCTTGGATGTATCGTAGTACCAAATCAAGGGAGACGAAATGATTGATAGACGACCTTGTTGGCTGATGATGGTCGGTCTTTTCTTCTTCTCTTCTTTCCTTGTGGATATTCGTTCGTTTTCTTTTTCTTTTGTAATTTTTGATAGACTGGTACCTTAAGCCACCAGGGTTTATATTTAGATTCCAACCCTAGCCTTAAGATACAGGCTATCAGTCTTTCCCCCATGGCTACCTATTTACCTCTTGTCACCGCAGTAGCTCTGACGGGCGATTTCGCGTTCTGGCCTGGATGAGGCAGGACTGTACTGGGCCTGAGTGAGTGGAGGAGAGCCGAACAACTGAGGGGCCAAAAGAGAGAAAGACAGTGGAGTTGCCAGAGGATGGACTGGGTCCAGGTACATGGGAAGATTATTACCTGGGAGCATAGGTGGCGTGTACTGCTTGGTACCAATACGGTACGTATACCCATCTCACCCCTACAATCTCCGTCTCAACCTCCATGACTTGCTGGTTATCACAGCGTCATGACAGAAATACGTGTGCATCCATAGTCTGGGGCATTTTTCCTGTATCTATTTCTTCGACTGAACCACCTTGGGCATATCCAAGGGACAACAGCCTTCGGCAAATGTTCCTTGTCCCTTCGACCACCAGCCTTAACCAGGTCTAATAGCGTCGATATAGACGGGGTCTTGATGAACCGGGCAGGCCATCCATGAAACTGTCGTGGGGCGAGGCGAATATTCATCTCTCGTGGCGATTCCTGGCGAGGACCACTGGTGCAGTGGTTGGTGTCAATCTCCAGGTCTCCACACCCCAGCGGTAGCCCCTTTTCCATTCGCGTTCTTTCGAAAGCATGGGAAAGGCGATTCGAAATCTTCAGCACAGTCAGCCATGAATCCATCCAATACGAGCTGAGATGGAGCAAAATGACTTGGGCAAAGTTTTTCGTCTACGCTGCGCCGCGCCACCATCTTACTCGTACCTGTGTAGGGCCTCCTCTCCTGTGTATGGGAGGCTATGCCCTCTGATCTGAGCATGACGGCTACGGACAAGGCGCTGTACTGTATCTATTCCCTGAAACAATACAGGGCCAGTCGAGTTGTGTCAGATAAAGGGCTGCAGGAGGATCCAATCGAGGCAAGAACACCAACCGAGTGCTGATCAAAATTTATGGCTTCTGGTTTGGCACCGGCCGCATTACGCAAGCAGCCCACTAGCCAAGCACTGTCTTACCCGCGTTCAGCGGCCACTTGTCCATAGCGCTGCCGCGAAGGTCCCTTGCCGGTGGAGAATGCGGCGATCGGATGGCTGAGGGCCGGACGACATCGCCGTGGTTCAATGGCGCGGGTTTGGAAGCCGGTGCCATCAGGGACTTGCTTCAATGCCTCACCCACGAGGGTCCTACTATAGCAACCCACCAGCAGCTGCACGGAGATATAGTCTTCGTCGTCGTGATTATTGTGGCTCAGAGACGTTGAATCTGGAAGTTTATTCATGTGCCGTCTCGCCCCAAAGCCACGATCCTCTCGCGGCTCTTCTGGCGACAATGAGCGGAGAGCAAAGCGCCCCGGAGTACGTCAGACAGTCCCCAAGATCAACGTGAAACGAGCGAGTTGTGCCAGAGGGAGGGGCCAAATTGAAGCTTTTCTTTAGTGCATTGATCCCTCGGGCCCTGAGTGGGTGAGGACTTTGAGATGGGTATCTATCGTATGCGATAGTGATAACCGTTAACCTCCAGTTTCTGGAAGACGATCTCCATTGCCCTTCCTTTCTCAGTAGGATCCATCAGTGGACCCTGCCAGGTTCGCTGGTCTTTGGTTCAGCTAACGTGTCGTGCTCGAAGGGCACAGACTGCGGACGATCCCATTGCCGAAGTTCATTGATGACATTCGTGTCTCTCCCAGTTCTACCAAGTGCTGGACGGATGTCGTAGAGATAGACCGTCCTCGTAGGTAGTACCCGACGGGCCCTCTTGTCACTCACGCGTGGGAGATCCATACATCAGGGGCTCAGGGCGGGATACAGATCCCTACTCTTCAGGGTAGTTTTATGCTGATCGGATGCCCATCGCAACTTACATAGTAACAAACCATGTTCTTGGTGACCCCAACGGACGAGCAAGACAGGAAAGCTAGGAAAGCGGTGTTATTCATCACATTCCCATGTGCTACAAACCAGGGATCGTGTCAGAGCGTCAACCAGATTGCTGTGGAGGTTGAAATAAACGTGGTCTGTGATTTGTCCGGAAAACGCATCATTGCTGACCGGGGAATTTTCCAGATATTGTAGCCTAATAAGATGTTTACTGAGTCGGTAGGGTCTGTAGCACTCCTGAAACGGATACAATTCCAATAGCCTGCGCCAGGTCGGGAAGAAGATGATCGGGCAATGGGCACGCCTTCACTGGGATGGATTTCATTAGTAGATTAGACTGACTACGGAGTACTTAGCACTAATCTAGCAAGTTTGCGTGGTGGGATTCATCTAATATCGATGGTCGAGGTCGGGGCCAGCCGAGACAATGCTTGCAGAGGGAGCTTGGACGTTCGATAAGGATGGATTGATAGACCAATTGCATTGATCGCAATGTCTCACTTGTACTCGCAATTTCTGCCCCCCAGCTTGCGACGACTGGCGTGAGAATAATCAAATTCTAGTCTATCATCCAGGTTGACCAGCACCGATTCGACCAATTGAGCCTAGAATCATATCTGTGCGAAATTGCCTCTGGGATGGCTTTGCCATGGCGTTTGTCCAATGTCCAGTCAATTAAGTAGTAGTTGACGACGAACCGTAGGACGGAGCAGCCACACTAAGCCTCAAACGGTTGAACCAGACCAACCGGGCGGAGCTTCCCCTTTTTTTTTGCGATGCTCTCTCGACTTCAAAGGCTTTGCCCCTTTCTCAAGTTTGACGGAAATGGGTCCAGCCCGTTGCCATCACATTCCCTATTCGTCCCAGTCTTCCTCGAAAACTCTCATTATTTTGCATTTATTTAGGGCCTAAACTTGAAACAGATCTTCCAGGCAAGCCTGAGGCCCTCCCATCCCCCCTCCACCCCTCTCCACCGCTCACTTTGTCACGTTTCGTGTTCCCCGACCCGGCTGCGTCTTGATACACCTATACCTCCCCCCCCCGCCTCGCTCTCTCACCGTCTTCTTCCTTTCTCTTCTCTTTTCTCCTCGTCTTCCTCCTCCCTTTCCATCATCCTCTCCCTCTCTCCTTAAAAGCCAAACTGCAGTCCTTTCTCTGCAGCTTCACGATTCTTCTTCTATGCTGAGCCTCGCCCGCAAGACTTTGAATCGCGTCCCCAGCTTCCAGGATATTCTACAAGGCAGGATGACCCACCCAGACATGTAAGGAGTCCTCTGAGCTTTCTCCCTCCCCCTTCTTTCAGACCGCTGGGTTTTTGAGGCTATACTAACACATGGTTTTGCTCTTTAACAGTTCCGTTGACGTTCTCGTCATTGGTGCCGGTCCTACTGGTCTCGGTGCCGCCAAGCGTCTCAACCAGATCGTACGAACTTCCATTCCACCACGGAGCGACGGAATATTCAATACTAATGCGCGAGACAGGATGGCCCCTCTTGGTTGATTGTCGACAGCAACGAGATCCCCGGTGGTCTCGCTTCCACCGATGTGACTTCCGAAGGCTTCGTATGTAGTCTCCCACAAGAACAACACCCCTCGTGCAACGTCGCCCGCTAACCAGACTGGTAGCTCTTCGACGTCGGTGGTCACGTTATCTTCTCCCACTACAAGTACTTTGACGACTGTATCAACGAGGCCCTCCCCAAGGACGATGACTGGTACACTCACCAGCGTATCTCCTACGTCCGTTGCCAGGGTCAATGGGTTCCCTACCCTTTCCAGAACAACATCTCCATGCTGCCCAAGGAGGAGCAGGTGAGATGTATCGATGGTCTGATTGACGCTGCTCTCGAGGCTCGCGTGGCCACCACCAAGCCCGCCAACTTCGATGAGTGGATTATCCGCCAGATGGGTGTCGGTATTGCCGACCTTTTCATGAGACCTTACAACTACAAGGTGTGGGCTGTGCCTACGACTAAGGTGAGTCGATGCCGTCCATTGTCGTAGATGGACGTGATTGCTGATACTTTGAGATTAGATGCAATGCGCTTGGTTGGGTGAGCGTGTCGCTGCTCCCAATGTCAAGGCTGTGACGACCAACGTCATCCTGAACAAGACTGCCGGTAACTGGGGTCCTAACGCTACTTTCCGTTTCCCCGCTCGTGACGGTACCGGTGGTATCTGGATTGCCGTTGCCAACACTCTCCCCAAGGAGAAGACCCGCTTCGGTGAGAAGGGCAAGGTTGTCAAGGTCAACGCCAACAACAAGACTGTCACTCTCGGCGACGGCACCACCGTCGGCTACAACAAGCTCGTTTCGACCATGGCTGTCGACTATCTTGCTGAGCAACTCGGCGACCAGGAGTTGATCGGTCTCACCAAGGAGCTCTTCTACTCTTCCACCCACGTTATTGGTGTCGGTATCCGTGGTGAACGCCCCGAGAGAATCGGTGACAAGTGCTGGGTAAGCAGTTTTCCCAATGTCATGCAGAATATGTGCTAACGAGGCTTTTCTAGCTCTACTTCCCCGAGGACAACTGCCCCTTCTACCGCGCCACCATCTTCTCTAACTACTCCCCTCACAATCAGCCCGAGGCGTCCAAGAAGCTGGCGACCCAGCAGCTGGCCGACGGCTCCAAGCCCAAGAACACTGAGCCCCAGGATGGTCCCTACTGGTCGATCATGCTGGAGGTTTCCGAGTCTTCTATGAAGGCCGTCAACCACGAGACGCTCCTGGCCGACTGTATCCAGGGTCTCGTCAACACCGAGATGCTCAAGCCCACTGATGAGATCGTCTCCACCTACCACCGCCGCTTCGACCACGGTTACCCCACCCCCAGCCTGGAGCGTGAGGGTGCTCTGACCCAGATCCTGCCCAAGCTCCAGGCCAAGGACATCTGGACCCGTGGTCGTTTCGGTAGCTGGCGCTACGAGGTCGGCAACCAGGACCACTCCTTCATGCTGGGTGTGGAGGCTGTTGACAACATTGTCAACGGAGCGGTTGAGCTGACCCTCAACTACCCTGACTTCGTCAACGGCCGACAGAACACTGAGCGCCGTCTGGTTGACGGTGCCCAGGTCTTCGCCAAGAAGCAGTAAATGGGAGCGGGAAGATTTATAGACGACACATACTCTAATTCTTATTTTTTATTGAAATGACCGAGGGGGCCAAAATGATACACAGGGAGTGCGATTTGCTTTCTGCTCATAAACTGTTACCCTTTCTTTATTCCCCTGACCATGTTCTTTTTTTGATTGAGAGCGATGTATGAGAGATACTTTTGCTGGCATAGTTCTTGTTCCGAGGGATGGTAAAACACCCCGCTTTCTCTTCTTCTACATTATTTGCTAGAATATCCAGAATTTACCATGGGCAAGAATTGACTCGTGATTTTTGTATGATCTGGACCTTGTGTGATCACCGATCTATATTTGGCTGTCGCCACCGCCTGGATGTCGGGTCGATCCGCTGCCTTGCTTTCGGATCGATGAAACATGCTTAGTATGAGTAGTCCTAATCGGCCGAGGAGGTCGATAGATTTCACGCGCGTGTTGAATGTGAGACGTCCGTTGCTATTCTGGGCTGTTCTCTGGTAATGCACCGGCTTGCCCGATCGAGCCTTCGATATGATCTTGCGTACTGTTCTTACACAGGTCTAATGCAGACCCGACCGTAGCCACCATGGACGGCCAGGGCCACCAATACCTAAGGAGAAAGATCGAACCCACCGAGGCCTCTCCTCTCCTACCCTATCCTAGATATGTATCCTACCCTCGTACTCCAGTTGTCCAAGACAAATCCACCTCCAGTGAAACCACCACGAGACTAGTAACTAGGTAGTTAGACTAGGAATGTAGGGCTGAAGGGCACAGCGCTATTCTTATGACCCGTGGCCCAGTCCAGTCCCGTCCAGCCCAGTCCAGCCTATCTTAGTTCTTTGGATTTGGTTGGTGCTGTATGGAGCCTGTGGAGGTGTCTTGTCTGTGGCCTGCACTATACCCCCCTGTTGCATTTACAGCTTTTACTTGGTCTACCAGGGCTGTTTCTTGTCTTCTACTGGATTGGATCGTACTAGCCTTCCAGCGAGATACCAAGAGCCTAACTGGAATTTACCATGAAAATACTGTATATATGATCTGGCCGAGCAGCCCAGTCTGAGACAGTATGTACTAGGTACAGTACAGTACATAGGTAGTATATCTGAAATACTATCAGGAGCATACCATACCTACATACCATACTCACGCAACCAAGCCAAATCAACCCACGCCAACACTACCACCAGGAACGAGTACTCCGTACCTTACTACTACTTATAATATGTAACAATTAATGTAACGCAACACAACCAATAGATACCCACATTCCTCCAGCTTGAACCACAGCTGAGGGCACATTCAATCGAAGGTTAACAAAGAAACAGTTCTGAGCCAAGAATAACAACACACTAAGCCAAAACAATACTAGCCTACCCCCAGTGCATCCACTCTGAGGAACCGACCACACGGCGGGCACTGCCAGGCACCGAGTCAGACCAGAAGTTCCGGGACGCGTAAGTGCTTCCACTGCATACCTCTTATCCATGGAGACTGACTGCCCGAGAGTATCTGACGGTATTGCTGCTCCCCTGACCACCCCTGTGCATGGGTTGTTAACTTGTTAGCGGGTGGGATGACTGTCACGACACCATGGTGGCGATGGCGAGGATGGGGTCCAATGGTATTCTTCTTTCTTTTCAGTTTCTATTAAAGAGGGCATGCTTTGATTACCCAGGTTGAATATCTTAGTCTAAGTGCTGTGGGAGAAAGATTAAGAGGTGCCCTGGGCCGACCTGATGTAACGGGTGCATTTCCGGCGGCGGGTCTTGGTGGCTTACTCGCCCAATTGCTGGTCTACCAAGAATAAGACACGGAAGTCGCCAGGAATCAGTGCACCACACGATTCAAACTTGAAAAAAACAGCAACAGCTAATTGAATAACAACAGTCTGATCAATAACAGCACAAATAAGAATTGCAGAGGGTCACACAACCTAGTCTCGTGTTTACACAACATCAACTTCACCCCGTCATGCCTCCCTCACCTTGGCTGTACCTCTGATCGTCGACACCACGGAGCCTGCCTGCCGAATCACACTACATGACAGCTGCTGCACTGAGAGATGACGTACCTCGCTGCCCACCGTTCCAGACACGCCAAACTCAGGAGCAGACCCGACTGGCTAGCCCTCAACGCAGCTCCCACTCGGAATTCGCGAGCTCCAGTGACTCGGGGTGTGGGAACATCTCCTTCATCATGAGGTTGACGTACTTCGCGAACTCTCTGGCCTCCACATCAATCGGGTGAAGTGTCGATTCTTGATCCTGTCCAGTCCAAGTCTCATCGGAGGTCGATTCAGAGACCGTACTGGGTGATGGCATACGTACCTCTGCCTCTCCATCCTGAGACTGATTTTGTGGGGTTGGAGCGCCCGGTCTCGCGATCAGGTCTTGCACGTTTGACTTTCTCGGTGTGTTTGGCTTCTTACTGCCGGAAGAGATGGCTAGTTGAGCAAGTGTTGTGGACACCAAGTCAGACCTCGGGGCCTGGTTCTCTTGACGTAACTAGTGGACAACAAAATATCAGCCCTGCAGCTATTTTCTCGGGCATGCTGAATGAAAGACCTGCACTTACCTCAGGTCCGTTGACAAGACTCGCTTGTGGGTCCCCCTGGTGCTGACAGGGACTAGTGCCAGTGCCTTGGCCGGTCACTTCAAGCGATGGGTCTGCGCCTATCTGGGAATGTGGTATGGGCTTGTCAACAGCCCGGCTGAGTCCTTTGAATTTCACCATTTTGGATGGACGCCGGGTATGCTTGAACTTCTTGGCGTCAGGCAGAGAACCGAGCAAGCGTGTATCGGTGGGTTGGGGACGAACGCCAAGCTGCGATTTAGCGACGGAAGCTGTCGTATCACTTGAAGGTTTAGCATCGTGGCCCTCCACAGCCTGTCTGTCGCGGCTAAGCACAGCTTCAACCATGGGAATCCTGGCCCGCTGACCGTGTGTCGATCTTATCAAAGCTCGCGACTTCTTCTTGACACCATCAGTTATCGCGTTTGATTTGTTGGCTTCCAGTGTGGTAGGCTCCGCGCTCTGTTCTGACTGAGCAACAGGTGCCATTTCGGGGTGGATCTTGTCCTCGGAGCTTGAGCCACGTGCCTCATGCACTGCTCCAGGTGGTGTATGGATCTGGCTCGAGTCTTCTAGGATCCAGGCAGGATGTTAGCCTCCTTCGACGAATCGAAGTGTGGTGAGGTAACACTCACCTGAATGTCGCATTGTCTGCTCCTCGAGCAACGAGCTGATGGGGATCATGGTTCTTGTTTCTGACGATACCGAACGGAAAGCTGGAGAAGATAACTCTGGCTGATGGAGGGAAGTATGCGAAACAGATGGAAGAGATATCTGAGAGTCACACTCTAGTGAGTGAGATCCCGTGTCTTCACATGAGACCTCATCTGATCCGGCCCGTGCGGGTGTTATACAATGAGACAAAGAACTTTCTCGAATGACGTAATGGCCTGGTGGTGAATATAGACCTTGTGCAGCAATTCGACTCTGTGAGGAACTGCCATCACCGCTTTCTGTTGAAGGCTGGAATTCACTGCGCGTATCTGCAGTCCCCTGGTCTGCAGCAGATCCCCCAAGTTCCAGCAATGACAAAGAGGAGGATAGAACAATGACTGGCTGGTCTGCGTCTAATGACGACGAGGCCGATGCAGACGAAGATCCAGTGGATTCCTCTGACGGAAACGCAGGCCTGGAACCTGTGTTGTTGCCTCTGCCTCCCCCGCGCGGCGTCGAGCTACTATCCTCAGGAAAACCGTCTGGGTTCGACCCACAGACCGAACGCGAGGGAGAGAAGTCCGGTGGGGAGAACAGATCCGAGTCGGACTCGAGAAAGGCATCGTCCTCGTTCTCGTCGAAGTCGCTGCCGTTCAGATATTGGTCATGTTGATGCCACTCCGCCAGACGAGTATGGCGCGCTAGAAGCCGCTGCAGGTGAAAGCGCAGATCTTCGTCCCCGAGCGTGATTCGCGTCGGTTTGGACCTGATCATGGTTCTACCTTTGTAGATTGGACTCGTAATCCTTATTTTTGGTTTTCTGGGGAGGCTCGGATTCCACTTCCGACGTGAGACGGTTGATGTTGGGGGAGATTTGTGCTACGGTGATTGTTTTAGGTGAGATTTGCTACTTCGCTATGGTATTGTGTGTCATTTTAGAACTGCAATGAATGGGGAAACTACATCATGGCTAGGATGGAAGAAGGAGCGAGGTGGTGAATGTCTTGTTGTGGATGGATGGAAAGAGGCCAGAAGGCGGGAAGGGGGAGAGGTGGAAAGTAGGTTGTGGCGGAGTGTAGACTATCAGATCAAATAGATAAATAGGCACCAGTGTAGTGACTGGTGACGGGTTGAGTGAGCACGATGGAAATGAAATCTATTTTTATACCCTTTCCAAGAACTTGGTACGAGTCCCTGTTCGCAGAAAACTTCATGTGGCCGCATGGATGTAGACGCGGACATACAATTGTACTGAAGTAGAGTGGAATACAGTGTTACCTAAACTTATATAGTACAGATTGAGGCGGAGGGGATCCAAGCAAAGCCACGAGCCATAATAAGAATAGAAGACGGGTCTGAGAAGAGGATTGGATAGGTTCGAGTCTAGTATTCAGAGGGACTGATTCATTTTGGGGATTGATATTGATGGTTGTATTTTCTGCCTAATCACCAACGACTTCACCCGATACTGCAGTGGCTAGAGACACCGTGAGAGGGATGAAAAGCGACATGCAATGAACATTAGAAGATCAGAAGACGGAAGAACAAAACAAGTGCTGGTAAAAGGTGGGAAGGTGAAAAGAGAACAATTGAATGCCATGAGACTGTGGTGGTGATATTGTTGATATTGATAATACCTGAGGCTGCCATCCGTGGTGTCTTTCAGCCTCACCCATTCATCCATCCATCCATCTTCTCATCTTCTTCTCTCTCTCCTCCCTCTCTCTCCCAACCCTCAACATCCCCCTTCCCCTCCCTTCCCCTTCTTCTTTTCTACCTTCACCACCATCATCCCACCCTTTTCTATCGTTCTCCTTCCAGTCCTCTTCTCTTGTCTGGCGCAGTTCTCTCGCTTGTTGTGCCTCGATGCCTCCTCATCCGCAACTTCTCCGACCGCCGCCTCCGCCATAGTTCCCTTCCTTCCCTTCGCTTTCTCTCTCGCCCGCCCCTCTCGCTATCTTCCCATCCATCTCAATCAACCTGCCTATCTTTTATTTTACCCTTCCCCCCTCTTTCTTCACCCCCGCTTGTTTCTTCCTTGTTTCTCTGTTTCATCCTGTTGGTAGAGACACCACCGTGGTGCCTGACGAAGGTACCTAGTCATTGTGACTTCTTCCCCTCCTCCGTCTCCCGTCTCTATTCTCCATCTTCGCTTTTCCCCCCAAACTTCACTTTCCCCAATTCTCTCTTCCCGCCCGCAACCCCCTTTCATTCCGCATCCCCCC